TAGATCCGCACGACCCAAGATCCGACGCTGGCTGGCAGACTGGCAGACGGGGAGCAGTAGCTCCTTACGCCTATGCAGTCCCGATTACAACGTCGTGTTCGCACGCACGCCATGGGCAGCTGTTGTGGTCGTGGTTGTTGCGCATGGACAGCTGTGATTCTGGTGATGGTCTTTGTGCGCTGGCTGGTCGGAAGAAACAGCCAGCTCACGACCATGGGAATGCACTTGGAGTTCAGCCGTACCTGCCTATCCACAGGCTACCGCACCGTGCTGTCCGTGCTGTCCTCCGGAGATATATGCCCATGTAACTATAGTCTATGATACGGTGGCTAAGGACTGCCAGCTGTAAAGTAGGTACGGTAGGTATTTCTGTATGTACCTAGGTAACCACTCTACCGTACTCCGGCGATTGCTGCCTTGCAGCACGCCAGCGGCCAGCAGCCAGACAACTGAATCCCCCATCCCCTCCATCCAGTGCTCAAAAACATGCGCAGATTACAAGCATCACACAAACTCCTCTATCTTTCGCACCTTCACCGAGTCCATTGCAATTGGCCAAACCACAACCCGCTCGCGCACCCATCCACAGCCAACCAGCAAACCTCCCCAAGCCGGCCTGGACTTGGCCGTGGGGCATGGGCATGGCCTTCCGATTGGGGCGATAGCGCACGGGGCTCGCGACGGAATGATCGACGTCATATATTAACTACTCTCCTACTCTACTGAGAGGCGAGTTCTGTAAAGTGCAGCGTCAGCCTTAAACGAGTGATTGGGACATGTTTCACACTGACTCGCAATGCCGAGAGAAGCCTACGGAGGGCACGTGAGGTCGGTAGGACGGGTGAGAATGCGTGATGAGCGAGCCGGTGGTCACCATGGCTTCGGGTTGCGGGGTGTGAGTCCGTGCTCGGTCGAATTGGCCCGAGCTTTGGGGTGCATCGCAGATGGAAGAGCAGGGCTGGAAGCTACGTGTACTATAAATGTGCTTCCGATAACTGCTTATCTCCTCCTTGTCCCGCATGGGCTCTGTTCGAGGTCGCAGTCTGGTTGGGCCACAGTGGGTTGAATTGAACGGGAATGTTGCCCGATCACCGGTTCCATCAGCCGTGAAAGAGTGCTGGAAGGAGATCTTTAGAACAACGCCCGGAGGCCGGAGCTTCATCACTCCCAGGGCTGAAAAGCCTTCATTACCAATCTTCTCACATTTGTCTCCAACGTCAGATCACAAAACCACACTTACACTCACCGTGCTCCCTTCCGGGATGCGGGCACACGGATAATTGTAATCAACCGCGCATTCGCTCGTCAGCACGGATGCCCTGGTTCCGATTCCTGCGGGGTACAGCCTTACAGGAAGACTGAGTTGACATAGGCACCCCCGGTGGAACCAGGGCCATTTCTCGGTGCTCCATATCGAACCCCCCCCCATCACTAGCCGCCCTTATTCCCGTAGATGTGCGTCGAGGGTGGGGGTCTGAAGTCCGAAATTGAAGCTGCTACTGCCCCTGGTCTCTCGCAACGTCGACTCCGTCAATAGTGAACGACGGGAGACTCCACGGATCTCTGAGCTTCCGCCAACGCCTCGGACCCATGCTTGGCTATGGCCTCGGCGCTCACGCCAGCTCCGCATACCTCCCGTCGTGCGACTGTGGAAACTGGGCGTGCAGCTTCGGCTCATCGGCCGAGGCATCGATAAGAAACAGGAACTGGGATTCCAGACTTTTAGTGCACCTCGCGGTTGGTTTTCGACGACGGCCGGTGGCGGCGGACGGGCCAAATTCCTAAGCGCGCCTGACGCAGGCGATACTCGGGGTTCCAGGAGCGTAAAGACTCTTAACTGTGTGGCGCCGGTGGTCATTCGGAATATACCGTCGAGGGCTGAGATTGTGGTAGTGACAGTGACAATACCCAGTGCCGCGTGTCGTGGGCGGAATGGGCTTGGACATCTGCCATCGTGAGAATGGAACTGTGTGGAACCTCCTTCAGCTCGCTCTAGCTCTGCCAATCCCCCGAACCAAACTCCTGCGACTGAGCGTTTACAGCAGCCTGCCATCCTCCTCGATACCAAGTCTGAGTTTCTAGGTAGTTCAGTGAGGCTTCAACCTCCGTCCTCCAGGGCTACAATGCCATCCCCGCCAGATCTCCGACCATCATGCAGTTGTGTATGGACGAGTCCACTGTCCACGCAGCAGCCGGCCATAGTGCCCAACAGAGAATTCCACCGATCCTCGATGATGTGAATGCCTGGCCTAGTGCAGGAGGTGGTTATGTATAACTTACTCTTCGGCGTCGGCACCGAGTCCGTATGTGTGTAAGTAAGTAAGTACATAATGTACTGTGGTTAGAGATTCATTTGTCACTGGGGGGCAGCAGCCAGCTGCGTATTGCGTATTGCGTACGCATGATCTGCTGTCAGACGGCATTAACTACAGTGCTGCTGCTGCTGCTGCAATATGCGATGGTTAGCCTGACGGGAGTTGGGCAGCCTATCACCATCACGGCCGACACCGACACCGTAAAGCCAGCCAGTCCTGTATAGTTACGCGCGTACTGTTGGGCTGAGGTATGCAACTCCGGCCTCGCCACTTTCCCACGCATAACTATCGTCCACCATCCACTATCTGCGGCAGTACTCAGCTGACGACTGCTCTGGATAAGCGCGCGTTCACACCGTGCCGCACGAGCACTGTTAAGTCCAGCCGTTCGTTCATGCATTCCACGCACTGACGCCGGAGAGGGCGGGGAGGATTTGCCAAAAGCAAGTGGTTCGATGATACACCCCGACACAGCTCACTCACCCATCCGTTTTCTGGGATAGAGTGCTCATGATCTGTCGATGCTGTCTGCCTGCCTGCAGGATATATTGGAGGAGAACATCTCCCCCATCGGCAGTGGCAGTGGCCCATGCGCTCGTCATGAAGGTGGGAAAAAGCACGGTACACAGAGTACTATCAATAGTGGTGTGGATTACCCCATCGATATCTAACCTACCCCGCAATTTCGTGCACCCACATCCTTCTCGCCATGCCGTATTTCGTTTTTCCTGTTCTTATTTTTTATTTTTTCTTCATTCTTTTTTTTCAGCCCGCTAGTTAGCACTCCTCGCGTGGGTTGGCTGGCGGTGAGAAAGCAGTGTCGGATCGAGCTGAACGTGATCTGGGCGTGATCTGGGCGTTCGAGTGGGAATTACTATCCAGCGTGCTGTTGCTACCTAAAAGTGTAGCTATTCACAACATCTCGACTGTACGTCACGGTTGGGCAGAGCGAGCATTCCGGTGTCGACCGCTAATATTGGGCGGGAGCGGGGTGACGGGGGCGGGGGATGCAGCCTTGCATCGGCTGGTGGCCTGCTGCCTGGAGAGGCAGAGACAGAGACAGAGGGAGCCTTATACGGCAGTCACTGGGGCAGTCATTCCGTGGGCTGCGGACTGCCGAGGGGTTGGGGATGTACTCGGGCGTAAGGGTAAGTGCTGCCTCACTAGTTTTTCCCCCATACAACTTAGTCACAGCCACTCACTCATTTGACTGTATCTGGCTTAGTTATAATTTGTAATGGTGGTGAGGCATCACTTATTGGCAGCTCCTGGTACACACATACACACATACACACATATGGGCATGTAGTGGTTCTGTCGGGGATCGTCCTCACGTGTGGCTGCGGACTGCAGTGCAGGGCTAGGGTAGAGTAGAGTAGAGTAATTGCTCCGTGGATGCATGCTGACCTGACCGGTGGTCGATGGTCGATGGCCTTGTGCGCCTGTGGCTGGTTGTGGCTGTGGATGTGGATGCAGTGCTGCAGGCATGCAGCGCTGCACGTGTTTGCTGCCCGCGGGGGCACTGGCGACGGTGCATGGGTGGGAGAACTCGCTTGCAAGCAGGAGTGGGAGCTGGCAGAATTATTGCGTGTCATTGTCATCGACGCTGGTACAACCCAGCCAGCGGATTATCCATATACTCTCACTCGACATGGAATGCAAAACTATGAACCCCCAAAAAGTGAATCACTATGCCAGTTGATCCTAGCTGCCATTCGGACTAAAGTTTGAGCGGGCTAAATGAGCTTTGTGAATAGTCCGCTACGGCGATGTTCCAACTTGTCCCTACCATAGCAAAGATGTGGCCGGCCGGCCGGGCCATACCATACCCACACTGCTGTCTCTTCATCCGCAGTTTCGACAGCTAACACGATCCACGACGACTTCCAACGTTCACGTAGTTTCAGTTTCACTTCCCCAAAACCTCTGAGATCCATACGATGTATGTCTAGGATCTCTATTCCCCCTCCCCGTTTCCCCGCCACTGTCCAACCCAACTTTCACCGAGCGGCCTGATGTGGCTTTCCCTGCCCTCCGCCCCGGCCTGTCCATATCAACCCATATTCTCCCATATCCTCCCATATCCTCCCATATCAATCCGCATTTCCCCATATCCACCAATATCAATCCATATCCTCCCATATCAATCCATATCGATCCATATCCGCCCATAGCAAGCCCATATCCAACCACATCCAGCTATATCTAGTCATATCAATCTGTATTCTCCCATATCCTCCGATGCCCTAGCCTCCAGTGCGGTCCAGGTAGTCCCTTGGAAAGACGGCGCCGACCGGACCATGCCATACACTGCTACCGGTACTGCCGTCTTTGCATCCGCAGTTTGCCAGCCATCACGAAATTTTCGGACATTCACGTGGTTTCACTTCCCCAAAACCTCAAAACCTCTGAGGTCCATGCGATATATGTCTTATGTCTTTAGTATCTCTATCCCCCTGCCCGCCCGTCCCCATTACATACCACCCTCACCACCACGTGCACCCATCAGTTGCCTAGCATACATACACCATCGGTCCTTCGCTCTACCCTCCACTGTACTAGTAGCATACACCCACCCATCCTTCCAACCGCAATGCCAATACCTATAAACAAGCCTCCCTCATCGAAGCGAAGCAGAAACAAAAATCAAACTACAACCGTATAAGTGCGTGCAAGAGTATATCCACCTAAACGAAAAGAAAAGAAAAGAAAAAACCAGACGCGAAAGCGAAAGCGAAAGAAAAACGGAAAACACCACCCCACTACCCGACCACGCCCCTCCTCAGCGCCTCGAGGGTCTCCTCATACGCGCCGGGCGAGTGATCGCCAAAGCATCGTTTGGCAAAAGTGACCTCACCAAACCGATTCTCGACATCCTCAACCACCCACGCTCTGACGCGCTTCTTCCCGGCGGTATCCGGATCCGTCGCGGCGACCCTCCAGACCTCACCGGGCGGGACAAGTTTCTCCGCGGTCATTCCGGCACGCAGAGTCTTGAGCACGGCGACCTCCCAGCTCCACTCCTCGCTGTTATTGTTGCCGTACCAGAGGCCTGCAAGGAAGCGCCGGCGGATCTCGGCGAGCACGCCGCCCGTGTCTTCGCGGAAACTTAGCGCGACGCTGTGGAAATCGCGGATTACGCCGATCGAGAGGCTGGGCACCACGTCGTTGCCGTTTACGACGGTCGTGACCAGCCCCCGTGTAGCTTTGCGCAGGCGCTCGCACACGATCGCCGGTGAGCCGAAGGCGTAGCAGTGGATCGGCCGGCCTTGCGGGAGCGAGTCGTGCGCCGTCGTGAATACCGCCGAGTCGTCCGGCGAGGAGATCAGTATGCTGACTAGCGCTGCGACACCGGCGCCGAGTGAGTGCCCAGTTAGAACCAGGCCGTAGTCGGGGTAGTTGGCTAGAGTGGTTGCGAGTGATCCGAGGAGGCGCGAGCGCAGGAGGAGGACCGCGGAGTTGTACATGCCCTTATGGACGCGATAGTTGCTGCCACGTATTGATATGGTGGTGTATTCACATGTGAGATCGGTCAGAACGTCTTCGAGTCCGAGTGTACCACGGCACGTGACGACAATTGCCGCGGCTTCGTGGTCTACGCACATAAAATGGACCAGTGGCCGACCAGTACCTGTGTGACCAGCGGAGTCGAATCCACCGCTGGGGTCATAGTGCGATGATAGCAGGATAGTGTCCACCGGGAGCGAGGTGTGGAAACTGAATGCCTGGTGCTCTAGATGGTGATTGCGCTCAGTGGGCGCCAAAAACTGAGAGCCCAGGAGGAGCCGCATGAATTGCACACCGTACGAAGCGGCAGCGAAACGAATGTACTTTCTAAGGTTGTGCAACAGATGGCAAGATGAGGGGTAGAATGGGCCCGGGTGTTCGGTAGTGGGCGGAGTGTACAGGAGGTGCAGTGAGGTGGACGAGTGAGAAGTATGAAGCGTGTAGACCGACGGCACATACTGTTTGTGCGGGGATGAATACATGTCGCCGTCGTACGACGTCATGGAAATAGCGCTGCTCGGTCGTGGCGGCAGTTCCCGCCGGGGTGAGTGTAGAGAGTGGATGCTGACAAAAGGCTCATGATGGGTGGTCGTCGTGGAAGTGAAAGATCCACGGCGGTAGTGGTGTCGTGCGGACGGACTGTAGCGTGCGTCGGGGGAGGTAGGACGCGAAGTGATGGATGACCGCCGACTGTGTACCTTGGTCGGTGATGTCTGGGGGGGCGTCAAGACGTTGATTGCAGAAATTGAGCGTTGCATACTATGTTTCTCGCTGTTCTTGTTCTCTTTGTTCGGGCTCGGGGTGCTGTGAAAGACAGGAGGAGAGAACGCTTTCCTAAGGGCGCCGCCGAACCCCTTTTCTTTCGCCCTTTCCTTCTCCTTCTCCCGCTCCCTTTCCCTTTCCCTTTCCCTCTCCCTCTCCCTTTCCCGTGCCTTCTCTTTCTTCTTCTCCTTCTCCACCGACGGCAGTGAATTGGCCCTTTTCTTTGGCTGGTTTGCAGCAGCCGGCCGTGGAAGGGCCGACGGCGACGAAACCCTGGTCTTCTTAGGAACCGGAGGCGGTCGATCCGTATCAGAGTCTGACAGTGGGGCCTTGTCCTCCGCCTTCATGTCTCTCCGTCTGCTCCTCTCATGTTTACCCAAAGTATCCTTCTTCGGCGCCATCTTCGTCTTTTCATCATTCGCCGTGTTCTCTATCTCGATTACACGCTGCTCGTCGGCAATCCTGGCATCCTCTCCCGCCGGTGCCGGCACATCCACCATTTCCAGCTCGCCACCATCCTCCCTCCTCAGCCGCTTGCTCTGCTCGTTCCGTGTGACCGTCTCGTAGACGATTTTATACCTTTGCTTCCCGTCGTTCTGCGAGCTCTCACTCAGTATCACAGCGCCGGGCGGGGGTGTGAAATCCGGCGGACTCGTGCCAACCACCTCGATGGTGGTGGTGGAGGTAGTATTCGACGTGGTCGACACCGTAATCTCCGCGTTGGGCGGAAACTTATCGAACAGCATTGACGGCAGGAGGTTATCGTCCGACCCGCGTCGATCCATGCCGAAGTCACCGGCGGCGTCCCTGCGATCCAGCTCCGTGGGCTCCGCTGTAGCAGAAACCGGCGGAGTCGCATCAACCACCACATCCCACATCAACCGGCCGCCGGTTACGGCCTCCGCGTCCAGGCGCGCGTGCGTACGGTACTGCAGGATCGCGAAGCATGTCAACCCCGCCACGATGTCCCGCATGCCGACTTCGCCATCGTGCTCAGACGAGTCCTTGAACTCCTCGGTCACCAGCTTGATGATCTCGGAGATTGCGCGGGACGTCTCGGTGGAGCCAAAGATTGAGTCGAGGGTGAGAACGTATGTCTCGGCGAGGGCGGAGACGCTCGACAGCGTGGTCTGGCCGAGCTCGAAGGCCGTGGACAGGATCAGCTCCGTCAGCGAGATGGACGTGTTGAAGGCCGTCAACTAATGCAAGTCATCCAGCCGTCGTTAGCTGTTTTGCAATTGCCGGGGTTGTGTGAGGGGTTGCGTGTGTGGGGAAGGAGGGAAGAGGCTATTTACTCCTTTCGTTGCCCAGCCCTCGACCTCTGCTTCGCGTCCGCGGCGCACAACCACTCCCTTCTGTCCCCGGCGCACAATGCCCTCAACGGCGGCCCGCGACAGCTCCAATGATGTCATTGTGCCCGAGCGCGCGGTGTCCAACAGCGTCGCGCCGACCTTCGAGCCGATGCGTATCGAGATGCTGGTGGACTTCGAGAATAGCGACACCATTGCGGCTACCGACGCGGGTAGCAGCGTTGGCCCGGTTGGCGGGGTGTAGTGCGGGATGGTCATGACGGTGGACGAGGTTGCGGTTGCGACATTTTTCTGCTGCGAACCTGAGGAGAGCATATGGTTGTGGTAGCTGTTGTTCGGGTGCTGTTATTGGAGGTGGTGGGGGGATTAGCAGGTAGCGTGACGTAGGTATTTCGCTGGGTGCTAGGTATAGTTTGCAGGTAATGGCCGTTGTGTGGTGGCAGGTGAGTTTTGATTTTTCTTGCAGCAGATGTTCCGGTTCAGGGCGGCGGCGGTAATGATGGCATCAAGATTATGCGTCAACGATGGATGAAGAGATTCGGACGGGATTCACGACCAGTCGCAGGGCAGAGGAGGTAGGGAGTGCGTATGGGCAACTACTAGTAGAGATTGCTTGGTTTGTGTCCGGGTACGGGGGGGTGTGGGCGGGGGAACATGGACCATCGTCCACTGTCCATCACCAGCATCGTCACCTTTTTCACATGTCGACGAAATAACGACGAAATTGATTTCCCCTTTCCAAATGGAATTAATTAATCTGTTGACCCGACGAAGTCATCAAAGTGTTGAGGGGCGCGATCCCATTCGCGCACTGTTCACGCGACCGCATAGAGTGCGTGCAGTAGTGGTGGGTGCCAGCTTGGCAGTGGGGCATGCAGGGAACAGCGAAAGGGCCGGAACAGCTGCCAGCACCCAACGTGGCAACGCAAATAAGACAGACAGGATCCTCCAGCATCACGGTGCATCACTCACAGCAGCGACATCAGCGATCCGGATAAACCCGTGATCATTCCGTCTACATACATAGAGTATGATCTGACAAGTGACCAGTGACCATCGACATGCGGAGGCGTAAGAAACCGGGGATAAGTAGGCTGCTCCGCACAAGATAGAGTGCACATGCACATGCATAAATTCCCCGCACTGCTCGCTCAGAGGCTAATCGGCTTTCGTCGCATGGTCCGGCGGGTCGTGCTTCCGAAGAAGGAAGGAAAAATCCTGCGATGCAAGATCTGGGGATTCCGCTTAGGACTGGTATGTGAGTATGTAGAGTCGGAGGTATGTATAAAGTATAGAGTTAAATCCCAAGAATGGTAGCCTCGTCATCATTCTCTACCGAATTCCGGATCCGAAGACTCTTTGGAAGCCCGGAAACTTCTAGCGAGACTGAACCAGAGGCAGAATGGGAATTTGAATTCTCATCCCCCCTGCCAAACCACCACCAAACACCAACCAGCCAGTAGCTAAGCGCTGCTGAAACCGCGTCTCAACGAATGTTCCACCATGGAATCTTCAGACACGCGCCAAGACTCCTCTGGCACCGACACGACAGCCAGTCAACAGATGTGCAGCTGCGGTGGCAGCTGGACTGGCCCCGCGAGCCGCCGTCTAGGAATGTTTGTGAATGCTTATGTGTGTAAGCGAGCCTCTTGGCAAACGCCAAGTTCCCAGTGAGACACCCACAAACGATTTGAAGCAGATACACATGGCAAATAGGAGTGCAGTACTCACATACATGCTGCACTTGGAGAAGCTGGTGGCAGACCAGGCGCGGGCTACGAAACGCTGAAGTAGCGAACGACGGGTTTCGAACTGTCTGGAGACGTCCGCATGGCTGTTTTCATCGGCGCCGAGTGGCCAACAGCGACGGGCCTCAAGCCGCCCTTCCCCTGGCTTGCGTGGCTAGGGCACGGGAGGAAATAGAGAAACGAGGTAGACAATATCGGATAGCGTATGCATGAGGTAGAATGGAAGAGGGGGAAGGAGGAGGAGAGAGTCAAGATATAAGACTTCTGCTGTGTCGTAGTGGTCTGATTCTCTTCTTCTTCTTCGTCACTATTCATCCATCAGCATTCGATCTTTGTTCCTGTTCGCTTCCGCGTGTTTGCTTCGTCTTCCCTTCTTTACGCACACTGGCTGTGTCCTATACATATTCCATATACCCTATTAGACTTTTTGTTCATACACTCGACAGCTAGTCTGCTCGTTCATTCACCTTATTCACCTCCATTCACCTTCATTCGCCTTCATTCCCAATACCTATCCATCTTTCACCAAGTCAGCATCATCATGTATACCCAGGCAATCATCCTCCTCGCCAGCGTCCTCGCCACGACCGTGTCGGCATCGTGCATCCACAACACCTCCCTGAAGCCGCGGGCAGAAGGAGAAGTCCCGATCTCGACCTTTGGATACACTGGCACGCAAGGGCCGTTCAACTGGGCCGGTCTCGACGCAGCCAACATAGCCTGCTCGACCTCGCAAGTGCAATCACCGATCAACATCGACACCGCCACAGCACAGAAGCTCACGACCGCGCCAACCGTGAAGCTCAACAATGTAGCCACCGCCGAATTCGAGAACCTGGGCACGACGGTCGAAGTCCTCGCCACCGGCACGACGATAATCGGAAACCAGTCCTTCAACCTTGCACAGTTCCACTTCCACTCGCCCAGTGAACACCGCATCAACGAGGAGTACTTTCCGCTCGAGATGCACATGGTGCACGAGGCCGCCAATGGTGATATCGCCGTCATCGCCGTCATGTTCCAGCTATCGTCTAACTCCAGCACCGAGCTGCTGAAGTCCGTCACCGAGAACATCGGCGCTATCAAGGAGCCCGGAACGGTAACGGAGACTGGCGCACTCGACTTCGCCGAGCTGCAGAATCACATTGCCACCTCGCAGCTGTTCACCTACACTGGCTCGCTCACCACCCCGCCGTGTGCAGAGGGCTTGACTTTCATCATCCCCCAGGAGCCCATGGCCCTCGATGTCGAGACGTTCAATGCAATCAAGGCGACTGTCAAGTTCAACTCGAGATACACCCAGAACGGTCCTGGCAGTGAGAACATCTTGGAGCTCGGCTGTAATGCCGCCGACTCAGGTTAGTTTCCTCTCTCTCGGGATATTTATTTGATTGAACATGTGGCTGATTGAGTGGATGTAGCACGCAATGCGCCCCCTGCTTCCTCGACCGCCGCTGAAGGTGTCGCTACCGAATCTGCCGTTGCCACCTCGAGCGCTGCCGCGACCACTGACGCCGGCACGACCGAATCCGCCGTCGCCACGGAATCCGCCGCTGCGTCTGCATCCGCAACCGCCGCCCCCATCGGAGAAGACGCCGCACCCGGGGCTCCGATCACAGAGGAGGAGATAGTCCACTGCATTGCTGGAGCGTGCACGAACCGCCCGGCACGGATGGCGAAGAGGAGCCGGTGGACTCGGTGGGCCAAATACTAGGTGGATTGGTAGCATTTAGACCGATCTGAAGGAGTCTGGGTATTCTTACGTATATACTATGGGGATGAAGGTTTTTTTTTCTCTTTTTTCGGCTGGTTGTGGTCTGTGGAAATTGATACCCGTGGAGTTGTGAGCTGGGGACAGATGGGAGCATAAGAAGGGATGAATAAAAGAAGCTGTCGAACTCTGTACTCGTTTCTGGGACCTGTAGACCGAGATAGTTCACAGACTGCAACTGTAATTAGTGAAGTCACGTAAGAGAGAGAACGTCAATTTATCGTCGTATATGTTAAGTGACACGATTTGTTTGTTAAACCATTGATTGCACGCGATTTTAAGTGACATGATGTATATACATAGAGTACCATGCAGGGCTAACGCTGCACGTCACTCGGTTGATTCCCAGTGAGCATGCTCAGAATGCCTAGCGTGGTGGTCACCTGACGCGCACATCTACGCGGCTCGACTATTCGCCAATTTTCCACGAACGCGTTTTGTAGACGGCCACCCCTCCACTCACCAATACACAATCTCTTCTCGGCGCTGGTCCCATCCAACACCTCGTACCACCGACCGTCTCTCCTCGGCGCTGGCCATTCGCCGAGCACCAACTACAACGTGCACTACCAAACAGTCGATAAACTTCAGCCTCGCACTTACTGACCAGATAACGTTCCGCGATGCCGTCGGCCACTAGAAGACGTCAACCCGCGGCAGTTGACGATGATGATTCGGACGAGCAACTTCGAGAACCGGCTGTCGATTCCACACCAGGTACTGTGCCACGACGACGCCGTGGCGTAAGACCGCCGAATGGACGCGCTTCAATTGCTGCCGACGGTGATGACCAGATGGAGGAGGTGAAGGAAGAGACCGACGGTGAGGGGAACAACGAAGAGGGGGATGAGCGTGAGAATGAGGAGGGTGAGGGTGAGGGTGAGGGTGAGGGGGAACAGGAGGAGGAGGAACCGGCCGAATTCGCCGACAACTACCTACCGCCCGCGGACGACGATGAGCTCGACGCCGAGGAGGACATCCTGGGTGACGACTACGACATATCGCAGGAGGAGGAGATGCCATTCCAGGCTGGAGCGATAGTGCGCATCACTTTGAACCACTTCGTCACCTACAATTTCGTCGAGATCTGGCCGGGACCGAGCTTAAACATGATCATTGGACCCAACGGAACCGGGAAGTCGACGCTGGTGTGCGCCATCTGTCTGGGTCTCGGTTACAGCACGAATGTTCTGGGTCGCGCGAAGGATATCGGCTCGTTTGTCAAGCATGGCGCAAAGGAGGCGTATATCGAGATAGAGCTGCAGGGGAAGGAGGACGAGAGGAATCCAATCATCGGAAGGAAGATCACACGGGCCGGGAACTTGTCGGCGTACTACCTCCACGGTGGGACAACTCCTAGGCTAGGCTAGCGGAGCGGATTTGCTGACATGTCTGCCATGCAGGCAAGTTGACGAAGTTTGCCAGCGTCCAGAAGATTACCAGAGCCTACAACGTTCAGATCGACAACCTGTGTCAATTTTTGCCGCAGGACCGAGTACAGGAATTCGCTAACCTGCCGAATACCGAGCGCTTGGTTGCGACTGTCCGTGCGGCCGCACCGCCGGATATGCTGGAGTACCATAAGAACCTGATCCAGCTAGGGAAGGAAGTGGTGGGCGACCAAACCATGCTAGCCAATGACGAAACACAACTCAAGAAGCTCGAGGCCAGGCAAGCAGTTCTGCAACAGGATGTGGATCGTATGCGGGAACGCCAAGAGGTAGCTGCGAAAATTGATAAGCTTAAAGACATCAAACCGTTCCTTGTTTACCATATAGCCCTTCAGGCGGCGAACGAGGCAAAAACTGTCAGTAAGCAAGCGCGCGCAGAGCTCAGACAGCTGGAACAAGAGATAGAGCCGGCGCTGGAGCGACAGGAGCGGAAGAAGCGCTACAAGGAGGCCATCAAGATTGTGCTCAAGAGGCGCGCGGAAGCATTCGGCAAGAAGGAAGTGGAGCTCACAAAAGTCCTGGACACCACCATTCCCGGACTAGATGAAAAGATGAAGGAAACACAGCAGGAAATTAAGGCCGAGGTTGCGAGCGAGGCGAAGCGGAAAGAAGAGCTCAAAAAGCTCAACAAGCAGTTGGAAGACACACAGACCAAGCTCGAAGCGGGACCCCCGGAGTTTGATCTCACTGTCTTCAATAACCAGTTGGTAAGGAACTTTGTTCTCAAATGGTTTCTTGTGAGGTCGCTGACGGCGACAGTATAGTCAGAGACGCGTGCTGCGCATCGCGAATGTCAAAACCGGGTAGATGAACTGAATAATGAAACTCAACAATTCAAGGAACGGGGAACCAGGATCGCTAGTGATCTTGACATTGCTCAAACAAAGTATACATCTTCTTCAAGTGATATATCCCGCCTGAACTGGTCACTGACTTGGATTTAGGTTGAGCGAGCTAGATTCAATCAGTGGGCAAAGGGAGGCGCTGCTTCTGCGACATCACCCAGAAACGTCCAAGGCGTGGAACTGGTATCTCGATAACAAAGACATGTTCGAGAAGGAAATATTTCCACCTCCTATCCTTTCCTGCTACGCCAAGAATCCTGAGCAGGATGCCGATGTGATTGAAAACCTGATCGGTGGCGTTTCGACCGCTTTCGTGTGTCAGACCAGAGCGGATTATCTCAAATTCTCACTAGAGACTCTTGGTTCTCAGGACTACGTGGGATTAGGTTTGGCCCAAATCACCATCAAAGATTATTCCGGCAGTGCAGTTCCACGGTTGGAGGGCCACCGGAGGGCTCTCTCACCAGAGATGGTAATATCAGTTTTTCAGCTACCTAGGAGATTCATACCGCTGACAGAAGAATAGCTTCGCCGCCTGGGATTCGACGCAATTGCACTGGACCTTGTCAATGGGCCTCCCGAGGTGCTGAACATGCTTTGCCACGATTGCGGTCTCCACAACACTCCTGTGTCTCGTCGGGAGTTCAATTCACAGGAGCTGAAGGCTTGCGAGGACACACCAGCTATCTCGCATTTCATACATGGAAAGAATATTGTCTCGATTCGACGTCGCTACGGCCTCACGGGAAGTCAGTTCGATAAGCTTCGTAAGGCGACCATCTACAGCTCACAGAATCTCGATGAGAACCAGAAGAACGAAATCGAGCGCAGCATTTCGGAGCTTTCAGACGAGCTCAAGGAGATCCGCGAGGAGCTCAGCGCGAGGAAGGCGGAGCACGAAGGTATCCGCAAGCGGATCATGGAGATACAACAGGAGCAGAAGAAGATCACCGACAAGAAGAACAAAAAGCAGCACGAACTCTCGGAGTTTACCCATTTGAAGGCGCAATTCAAGTCGCTGCAGGAAAAGCTCGCGATGAAAACGCAGGGTGGCTCCGGACACAAGGAACAAATCGAGCGGCTGGAAAAGAAACTCGATAAACTGGCCATGAAGAAGGCGATGGTCGTGCAAGATGTCGAGGTTTGTGATTCGAGCATATCTTCCCCGTGTGTGAGTGCTGACGCGTGGTGCAGCGTCTAGTGGGCGAGGTCGTGGATCTCCGTGGAGAACTCATCAAGCTACGCATCCGTTACGCGGAGGCGATGAGTTGCGAAAAGCTCTACGAGGAGAAAAACGCAGATATCATTGCTAGGAGAAATGATAAGCAGGTTGAGGTAGAACAATGTAAGTTTCATCAGTTATTCTGGGCAAGTCGAGTAATGCTAACAGTCGGCAGTAAATCGCGAATACGTGAGGCTGAAGGCCAAAACTCGCCAGTTACTCGATGGTGCTAAGGAGGCAATGACAAAAATCACTCCCGAGGAGGGCAAACAGCTTCTTGAGACCATGCCGCACGAGAGAACGGTCGAGGAGCTGGATGACGAGATCGATGCGGAGGAGAGTCGTCTCTCATTGATCCATGAAGGCAACCCTGATGCGATAAGGCAGTTTGAACAGCGCACCGAAAGGATCATTGAGCTCAAAGCTAAGATCGACTCCATAAACCAGAGCCTGGAGGAAAAACGGGCAGCCATACAGGAAGTGAGGCAGCTGTGGGAGCCGAAGCTCATCAAGCTTGTGGCCCGTGTCTCGGACGCCTTTTCCAAGAGCTTCCGGAAAATCGGATGTGCGGGCGAGGTCCAGGTGTTCAAGCATGAAGAATCCTTCGAGAAGTGGGCCATCGAGATCCTTGTCAGCTTTCGAAACGGCGAGAAATTGCAGGTGTTGAATGCACAGCGACAGTCTGGTGGTGAGCGTGCCGTCAGCACCGTGTTCTACCTCATGGCGCTCCAGAGTCTGGCGAAATCCCCGTTCCGTGTCGTCGACGAGATCAATCAGGGCATGGACCCCAGGAACGAGAGGATCGTGCACCACCGCATGGTCAATATCGCCTGCCAGCAGTACACCAGCCAGTATGTCCCCCTCTACCCCCTCCTATTCCCGAAGCCTAATAGCTCATGTGGCGTGCAATAGATATTTCTTGATTACTCCGAAGCTGTTGAACGGACTGTTGTACCACCCACGGATGAAGGTCCACTGCATCTATTCTGGTGAGTGGGTGATGGACGACTTCAAATTCAACATTACCAAGTTCCTGAAGGCGGGAGAAAGGCAGTACGGAAAAGGCAAGCAGATCAAAGCTCGCCGCCAGCTGTCCGAGGAGGAGGAGGAAGAGGAGGACGATGATTAGAATTTCTTTTGGACTGGTTTGAGCTTCTATCTATACCTTTTCGACGGAGAATTTAGGGGCGTGACATGTTTTTCTTTTCTTTTGGTGGTGTTTGGCGTAAATGTATTTGGGTTTCTACATATGTTTTTCTTGTGGACGGTGGTGGTATGTGAGTACAAAGTGGATCACTTCAGAAGTACACATTCGGGTGTCAAGATCTATCCTAGAGTACAATTCCCAGGTATTTCATCCGATTACTTGTGAAGCGATCTGCTGAGTGTGAACAATTGACGGTTGATGTTTCGTCTCAAACTTCGCCTATGGACTATCTATAGTGACAGAGCTGAAAGAAATCTGGAGTTCAATTCTCAACCGCTGAGGCGAATCCAACGAGTATATACGATACACGAACCGGTATGTCACATGCCATTGCGAGCGGTGGCAATTGTCCACTCCCTCGCTCGCCAATGCACTGTCATCCATCCAGTTCATCGGACCCCAACGCAGGAAAGGCTAGGCCAAAATTAACTCTGTTCAATGCCGATCGCATCGCAGGGTCGTCGCAGTGCAGGCCCACCAGGGCCACCACCACATCACGGGCAACAAAATTAGACTCATCACACTATCTACCACTACCGACCGTACTTTACATAACACCGACCCAACTTGCCCGCGATTTGCAAAAACAACGCCAGCCAGCCAGCCAGCTCGCAAGCCAGCCCGCCCAGCTATGTCTTCAACGACGCCGGTCGCACAATCCACATCCACATCCACACCGCAAGCCGACCACAGTCCATTATCGCCTCCTGGGCCACCTCCTTCCGCGACGGGAAGCACCCGCAAAGCATGTGATTCCTGCCGGCTGTCCAAGTCGCGCTGCGAATCGGCCGCGCCGAACGACGCCGTGTGCAACCGCTGCAAGAAGACGGGGAGAAAATGTGTCTTTGGCGAGCGCAGCCGGCGCAGGAAGCGCGCAAAGACCGATAGTGGGGACGAGGCCGGCGGGGAGTCGGGCTCCGGAGAGAGGGATAAGGTTTCGCGATTGGAGAAGAAAGTTAGCATTCTGGAGGCACGACTGGGAGCCGGAGCTAGTGGGGCGGGGAGGGACGGCGGCGATGATGGTACAGAGAGTTCGTGATTTTTTCTCTTTCTTTTCTTGCCGTTGTTCTGTTCGGAATTGTTTCGGCTCCCTGGGGGGATGCGAATGTGGGCTGATTCGGTTCCGATTCCGTAGGGTTCCGAACACCTCCAGCGAGTACTACCGCTCCGCCGCCATCGGTGTCGCCGTCCGACGCCCCGCACCATTTGACGAATCCGCTGTACTTCTTTACGGACCGGCTACAGCGGAATGGGACGTCGAAACCGTCCGGCCCTGCGCCGCCAGATGTGTTGGCTCGCCAGGTGCTCACCCTCGAAACGGCGACGACGCTGTATACGCATTTCATTTCGTCGATGCTCCCGCACTTCCCGTTCTTTACCGCCTCGTCGTCAATGAACGCCTGCCGCGAGGACAAGCCGTTGCTGTTCCTGACTATGCTCTCCGCCGCGGCGGCGTCCAGTGGCGCGTCGGAGTTGCATGCTACGCTACTCGAGGAGGTATATGCTACGCTTGCAGCCCGGATTCTGCACTCTGGCGATAAGAACCTCGAGCTCGTGCAGGCCATCATCACCACCGTGACGTGGTACCACCCGCCCGCGTCGATCGACCAGAGTCGGCTATGGATGTTGACTATGCAAGCTGCGGCGATGGCAGTGGAGCTGGACTTGGGGATTGCGGCGGAAATAGATGCTGTACGTGCGCTGCTCGTGTGTTACTCCTGCAATGGAAGCATCAGCATTGTCCTCCGCCGCCCGTTGTTTTTGCGCTGGGGGAGAAGGATCGAGGATGCGCTTGAGCGCGTGTTGAAATGTGGTCGGGACAGTGATCGAGTACTGGAAGTGTATATCCGGTTAGTCAAGCACGTCGAGGAAGCAGTCTGTGCTTGCGGCGTCCTGGATGGCGGTAGAGTATCCATCTCTGGCGCCAGTCTAGCATGGACACTCGACGCGGCGGAAAAACGCGTATCAGCGACGTGGGCCAAGCTCGAGCGCACCAGTAGCACCTGGGGCCTCGCACGAACCAGCCTCGACATCGCACACCATGGCGCCGTCCTCCAAGTCTTCTCCGTCCTCTTTGAAGCCAGCAACTCCGACCTCATCCTTCTCCCCGCCAATGCCCACCTCCTCTCCAACGCCCACCGCACACTCGACGTATTCCTCGCCACGCCCGCAGAACATCTCCGCTGCGCACCATTCCACGTCTTCGCACGCGCCGCAAATGCCTGCAGCGCGCTCCTCTGCTTCGCCGCTCGCGAGCGCAAGGCCGAAAAAACCATCGAGCATCTCAAGCTGCCGTACTACCTCGAAACCCTCATCTCCCGTCTCCGCCGGCTTCTTGAGTTAGGCGGCGGGAGCAAGACCATGGTCATGTCCCTGGCCCTCGCGGACGGAATGCGCCTGTACTTTCGCGCGAACCTGGCGTCTCCAGCGAAGGAGGAGGAACACGAAGAGGAAGCCGTCGCCGCGGCAGAGATCCTCTGCGGTACGCCTGCCGCTTCCGCCGCAACTTTCCCCACCGCCGCACCGCCGCCCGCCATGCAGCACCAGTACCCTCCGCCGGGTGCAGGGCTGAGTCCCAGTGTAGGGTATAGCATGCCCACACCACCCGACCACCAGCAACACCAGCTGCCACAGCAGCACCAGCAGCAACAACAGCCACAGCAACAACAACACCAGCAGTCGCACCAGCAGCAACAGCAACAGCAACAACAGCAGGGGATCTTCCCGGAACCAATGGTATACGACCAGTCCGGCATCATGAGCTCGCAGGCGCTGGATGCGTTCTTGGCTGGCGTGGACGGTCAGATCATGATGGGCGGTATTGGCGCGCCGGGGCTGGACCAGGGCTTTCCGGGATTCGGAACAGGGAATGAAACGGGTGCTTGGGGAGGCGGCGGGAGTGGTGGCGTGTGGGGGTGGGGGTTAAATGGTGGAGGTGGTGGGAATGGGGGTGGGGGGCAGGGTTATGCATGGGTTTAGGAAGGAAGAGGAAGAGTAGGATGATGATGAGGATGAGCAGGAGGAGGAGGAGGAGAATGTGCATGGGAGGAGAGCATTGGATTACATAGACCGTTGAGCGGGAGTTGGCGCTGTTTGCTTGTTTGATTGTCTGATTTGAGTGTTTACTTTCGGTTTGCATAGTAGAAATGGTTTCTTGCTAGACTGCGGAGTGTAGATTGATTGCACTTTGATAGGGCTTTTTCTGGTAATGGGTAATAACTAATAGTCATGTTCTTCTCAGTTTTTCACGATGAACGAGTGGCTACTCAAATAGGTATTTCAAGTAGGTAAACCGCCTTTGGCTAGGGCAGGTAGGTGCTTTGGTGATAAGTATCACGGCGACACAGGTAGTAAAAGGCGAAGTACATATTGGTTCTATGCAGCACTTATCATACTCGAATATCCAGAGTAGATACTGTAGCTGTGCCCCCTATCCTTCCCCCAAACTCACCACTCCAACCAGCTTGACGGATCTACATACAAGGCTCCGAAGTGCCCGAACTGGTGTCCTGGATTCTTATCTCCCAGCAGCAAAACAACTATTGAGTAGAATAGGTAGACGCCTTCGGTGGTTCGAACTTTGGTGATCAATTGCATCTCAGTTTCGCCGCCGCAATGCATGCCCGCCTTCCGCCTTCCGCCTTGGGTAGGTATCTCGCGGCTATCTCACAACTGTTATGTAGAGTACAGTACTTACGCACAATAATCTTGATCTCGATATAACCACTGGGAAGAAGCAGGCTACAGACGATCTTGTTCCTGCGGTTCGAAGAGTGTTTTACCGCTCACATTCACCCCCAGTTTCCGGACTTGCTTACACTCGTCTGCTCAATGCTCTTGCAATCTTCTCTCGATAAGGAAAAACGATTAGGCAATGATGATCTACCGTATGCATCTTGTGTTTATTCAAATTTAGATCTACAGTAGATACTCCGCGGGACATCCCCCCGCCCCACCACTCCCACTCACTCATCCGCCTTCCACTGCACCAACTCATCGACGGAACACCCCTCCAGGGCCCTCCTGCCAGTAGCGCCCAGCACGACGCGGGGCACCGCGTCCTTGCCGACCTCGCCGCGGCCATGCGCCAGCAGCGCCTCCTTCCACCTGCTGACGCAAAGACACCACTTACAACCGCCCTTTAAGCCGATGCTGGTCAGGTCGTTCCCGCGGCTCTTCGAGAACTCGAGGAACTCCGGCGTCAGGATCGCCGCCACGCTGTGGTTTCCCGGGTCGGATGCGGGGGCATGGCAGTACCCGTCTCGGACGTACCCCGTGGGTGGCTGCAACGAGTGCGGACGCAGCGGCGTGGAGAAGATGTTTAGCTGGAAGACGGGGTGTTAGCTAGCGGAGGTATGGGGGAGGGGGAGTGGGGAGGACGCGGTCGCTGCTGCTGGGGGTGTGTTGCGTTGCCATGGCTCTAGTCGTGGTTTTGGGATTGGCGATCTTGCTTAGTAGCGGGGTTAGGCGGCGGACATAGAGATGCATCGTGAGTGGGACCCGGAGTTTGAGGTCTTTATTGGATTGGGAGGGCGCGGAGACGGAGCGGGTTGATGCGGTGGTGTCAGTGACAGTCGTGATTATCAATCGAAGGTTTTCGGCTACTGGTGCTGGGATGATGGAGCTTGACATCATGCACGGCGATCGTGGGACCAGGGCCGCAACCGCGATGATGGGTAACACACGTCATACCCAAGTATCGACTTCCAATTGATGTAGCTGGAGTGGATGAGAAATCGAGTGAATAAATCACTCGCAATTCCCACGCATAAACAGATATATCACAATTCCACACAAACGCATACCTACATCAAACACCAAGCATCAAATATCACACATCAAACATACCTACATAGTAAGACCAAGCACAATGGCAATGAACGTGGCAGCAAACCTCGCCGAGAAGGTCCTCGGCAGCGGCGACAATGCAACAGTCACTACAGGCGTTGCGAACCCCACCGTCGACATCGAGAAGTTCGCAGACACCTCAGTGCCCATGAAGGCGCTGACGTGGATGGGAAAGAATTCCGTAGCCCTGAGTAAGTCAACACATCCCTCGACCGGTGATTGAAACTAATCTTCTCAGGCGACTCATACAAACCACGCATCGTGGACCCGGGTGACGTGGTCCTCAGAGTGACCGGTAGCACCATCTGCGGCAGCGACCTACACTTGTATCACGGTGCGGTGACGAATATGCAGAAGGGCGACATCCTCGGGCACGAGTTTTGTGGTGTGGCCGACAGCGTCGGCTCAGCCGTCACCGGCATCCAGCCCGGAAAGCGTTACGTCGCCTCCTTCCAGATCGGCTGCGGAACGTGCAAATTCTGCAGCCAGGGACTGTCCTCCCAGTGCGACAACACGAACGATTCCACGGTGCAGAACATCCTCTACGGGTCGCGGACTGCGGGTCTGTTCGGATACTCGCACCTCACTGGAGGCTATGCGGGTGGCCAGGCGGAGTACGTGCGTGTGCCGTATGGAGATGTCAACCTCCTTGAGCTGCCAGACGATGTGCCCGACGAGCTTGGCCTGTATCTTAGTGACGTTCTCCCCACATCCTACAACGCTGTGCAGGACACCCGCGTGTATCCCGGCGACACCGTGGCGATTTGGGGCGCGGGGCCGATCGGTCTCATGGTGGCGGCGTTTGCGTTTAAGAATGAGGCCAGCAGAGTCATCATGGTCGACAGTGGTTGGAGACTCGACTACGTCAAGAAGAAGCTGCCGAATGCCGAGACCCTCGACTACAAGGCGCTCGGCTCGGGCAAGTCGGTCACCGCCGAGATCCACGAGAGGGTGCCGGGCGGTGTGGATGTGTGCATTGAGTGTGCAGCCGGCGAGTACGCCAAGGGCGTCAGTACTCCTCAACCCCAGCTTCTCTATGACCGAATCCTAACGTGAATAGTGGGGCCACTACTTCGAGATGCTTCTCGGCATGGAAACTGACACCTCCGAGATCATCAACGAGATGATCACGTCGACAAGAAAATTCGGCCGCTGCGGAATCACCGGTGCCTACATCGGCTTCACAAACCACTTCAATATTGGCTCTTTGATGGAGCGCGGCATCCGACTCATCGGTAACGGACAGGCGCCGGTACACAAGTACTGGAAGGACCTGCTGAAGATGGTACAGAGTGGCGAGGTTGACCCTGGAATCATGCTGACCCACCGTGTCTCGCTCGATGATATGGCCGAGTTGTACAAGCGGTTCGATGCCAGGAAAGAGGAGGATGGGATTATGAAGGTGTTCGTGGAGACCAAGTTCTCCGCGCCGAGAGCTGAAGGAACACCGGCTTTGACGAAGCTGTAGGTTGGATGGAGGGATGGAATGGGCGTGATGATTAATGATTTGTGATATGTATTGGAATGTATGAACATTAGTGATAGAAGCAATTGGTTACACTGCAATCGCCTCGACCTCGTGCCGCCATGGGACCCCACCCATAGCTCCCCGCTTCTTGACCGCTGCCCCGGCCGCCCTGCCCGCCCATTTGACTGCCTCCTCAGTAGTCTTACCCTCCATCAGAGCGACCGCCAAGGCACCCACAAACGTATCCCCAGCGCCGGTAGTATCTACCACCCCCTCCCTCTTCACCGTGACGCCCTGCCAGCCACTGTTGCTCGCCCCATCACACCAATAACAGCCTCTCCCACCCAGCGTCACGACCACGGCACCACACCCCTTCGCTTTCAACCCATCAGCAGCCTTCACCACGCCCTCATTCTTATCCAACTCCTGCACCTCCACCCCAGTCAATATCGCCGCCTCCGTCTCATTAACAACCAACCACCCAACGTTCCCCCAGCAGCCTTCCAATCCTTCCGCCAACGCAGGCGCCGGATTAAAAACCGTCTTGACGCCCCTCCTACTCGCCTGCATGAGCGCCCAGACCACCGTTTCCACCGGCACCTCCAACTGCAGCACCAGCAGTTCCACACCATCCCACAACGCTTTCTCCCGCTCCACCAACGAGCGCACACTCACCGCGCCATTAGCGCCAGGATGAATAAGGATTCTATTCTCGCCGCTCGCCTCATCAACAATGATGACGGCGGTGCCAGTGGGGCCGTCCACCGCACGCACAAGTTCCGTGTCGACGCCCGACGCCGCGAGCTCGTCCGCGAGCAGCGCCGCGAACGCGTCCGTGCCGACGGCACCGCACATGCGCACGTCCAGCGAGGAGCGCGACGAGAGCCGCGCGCACGCTACTGCTTGGTTCGCGCCTTTGCCACCAGGCGCGATGCTGAAGCCTGATGAGGTCAGGGTTTCGCCCAGCGCGGGGAGACGCGGCGTCGTCGACACGAGGTCGGTGTTGAGACTGCCGATTATGAGGATGGCGGGCGACATTGTGGCGAGTGGTATGGCTGCGGGTGCTCTGGACGGAGCAAAGGTGGGAAAGAAGATGAGATAGATATCAATATGAACGTTGGATTGGTCGTTGGCAACTTGGTGTAATAGCGTGCGTGCTCACATGATACCCTTCGCCAGGCAGCGCTAGCACATGCGCGTAGGCCATCTCAAGCATCGGTCATCTCGCACATCGGCCATCTGTGGTCCGCACCATCAATGAAGACGTGGAGAAGCGGAGAAGCGAAATCTCAAATACCATACATATCATACAAACTGGATATCCGCAATCTAAGATTATCTCAACATAAATCAAACCATCATAACCGAAGCCAAAACAGAACCCAAAAACAGTTCGTCGCGTAAAGCTCATACAAAATGCCGTGTCGTTTACAGCTCGTCGGCCTGGACCTCCCACACCCTCTCATCCTCTTGCTGACTCTGCTTAATCATCTCCTCCATCATATCGTGCCCCACAAACATGGCATTCAACCAACCCGCCATCCTGAACCCGGCGATCGCCACCTGCTTCTCGACAATCTGTGTCGCACCTTCATAATACGTGCCATTCAGCTCCATTCCGTCGAATCCCTTGGGGTACGTGCCAGGGAGCACATAGTCGCACATAATCTTGTTGGTCTCGACGGCCCACGAGAGGGCGCACTCGGTGCCCTTGGATATGTCGAGACACGCGCCCCACAGCTGCTGTCGTTCTGTCGCATTCGACCAGCGTCCGTTGACAATCTCCTCGTAGAGATCGTCTGACCAGGTAACGGCGTGGCGGATCGAGTTTCCGCCCCGAAGCTTCTCGGGGATCGCACTGTCCCACACGTGGTGGAGGTTCGTGTCGTGCCCGTCGAAGCCTACGTGGATGCTGTTGCCGCCACGCAGGAGGTCCTCGGTGTGGAGGGGCTGATGGATATCACCTATCGCGCCCACCCAGTCAGCCGTCGCTCACGCCTCCCTCCCCCGCCCCACACACCACAACTCACCTAAGAAATGAATAACCCATCTCAGACTCTTCTGCCTCTCGGCCCAGTCGAGGTGGGTATCGACGACTCTCTGGGTATGATTCGCGATGGCAGAGACGATGCATCCCTGGGCGCCGCCACAGTCGCGCGAAAAGTCTATGCCGCAGGCATGCGGCGGCGCGTCCTTCGCGTCGATCCAGTGCCACGGCGCCGAGAACCGCCCCTCCGCCGTGTGCGCGTAGTAGTCCGCCCACGTCGACGCCGTCACCATCGACTGCGGCTTCAGGATCTGCCGGATCTCCCGTGCCGCGTCCCGGTGCAGGAAGCGCGACGCCAACAGCGCCGTCGTCCGGTGCCCTAACATCCCCCAGCCGAGGACGGCGGGCGCGAAGAGCGTGAGCAACAGGAGGAGGTGCTGGGCGTGCATGGTCGTGGATGGGTATAGTAGTATGGTATGGTAGGTATATGTGGTGAAGGTGAGTGAAGGTGAGTGAAGAAGGTTCAGAGAGCTGAGAGAGCTGGGAGAGCTCGGGGGGTTGGCTGCTATCTGCTATCTAGCTCGGTCAGCTGCGGAGCTACATTACCGTATCTACATTAGATTGCGTGGCTTGGTTTCCGCAACCGGATCCTGCAAGGAACACGAAGCAGGGATGTGGTAACGTGCATAGTAATACCGAGTGCTCTTTAAGAAATCACTTGAGATCACGGACCTTGAATGGAACATCTCGGGTTCTATTCATTGTGAATAAGCCTGTACGCTCTCTCTTCCCCACCCAAGTAAGAGGCCCTCCACGCCCTACCTTTCCGTGAGAGCAAACACACTCAAAAAAACAATATGCTCGCCGCTCATGGGAAAGCAAAGCCCCAGCCTCTATAGTAGAACTTCGAGCTTGCCCTCATTTCACCATTACCTCTAGTGTTCAACAGAGTTCAGTCCGTCCATCCTGAGCCTCGGACTGGACTGGACTGTATCTTGGCAGTCCGTCCGGGTGCAGTGTTCGGGCGGACTGGTCAAAAACATCGAGGGCGGGACGGACTGCAGTCGACTACAGTCCGATACCAAGAAATGAAAAATAATCTTAAGTTTCGATTCTACATCTGGATGGGCTTCCTGAGGGCGGCAGAGGTAAGGAAGCAAACACTCAAAGCCGTCGAACAGCAATGCGTAGTGTGAGACTCTGTCTGATCATTGTTTAACTAACGTACATGACCAGAACCACCCAAGCTAAGAACTCAAAGAGTGGTGTTTCAGCACCCAAAGGCGGTTTTTTTCTTCGGTCATAACTGCAACAATACCGTAGAGGATGCTGCGGATACAGCCTTTGAAGTTTAAATCACTACCCCAAGCAACACTCTTGTTGAGCTCCACACCAGCCCAAACGTCACGGCGGTTCGACGTACTTACAAAAGAAGTTGATCTCGTTCCGGCATTATCCGCTGGGATTATAACACCAAATATCACTCTATAGCAACGGTGCCTCCCAAGCTTCCGAGTGGGTCATCTTTGCAATCGACCAGTGTTCTCCATAGTCCAGTCCGGTCCAGTCCGTCCGGACTCATGGACGCGACCGGTCTACATATCATACATCCAGTCCGTCCGGGGGTGTCTGTCGGACTGACTACCTAGTCCACCAGTAAGGTCGGACGGGACGGTGCAGTCGACTGCCAAGACCGGCAAAAAATCACAAGGTGACATGATATGAATCACAAGAAAAAAAGCTCCACGAGAATTATCGGTGGTTGTAGTGGCTGAGGGAAGCACTCCATGAGTGAAATATGCGCACGGGCTCAAGATGACCCCGCGGCATTGCTGGTACTGGACGACGATTGTGGCGCAGCTTTGCTGGTACGTACTTGACGAAATTGAACACATGATACATAGTGGGAAATACTGTCATGTTTGGTAGGGTAAGTGCTGAAAAGAGTGGCAGTTTTTTTCCTCACTACCGGACTGCAGTCGACTGCAGTCCAACGTAACCCCGTCCAGTAGATTGGCGGACGGGGCGGACTACTTCAATCCCGTCCTCCAAAAGGCACGGACGGGACTGGATCCATCTTGGCAGTCCGTCCCGTCCGGACTGCAGTCGGGACGACGATGGGGGAATCTTCCTTGCGGTTGTACTTATTCTGAGCCATGGGGTTGCATTGGGCTCGGAGTAGCACTACCTACCTATTTTCAGTATCTTGAGGAAGGAGCGCCCGCCCGCCGCCCGGGCTTCTTATTGTGCGAATTGCCGACGATGGATGGATGGATGGAAACGAACCGAACCGAACCGAACGATTCTGAAGGCCGAAGCTATTAACTATAGCTCAGCCCGATATCTCCGTATTTCCACAGGCTATATACCTTCCTAGATCACATCACGGTTCTCGCACACGAGTGCGAGATTGTGATGACGAACCTATCATGTACCTGGTAGGCCACAAGGTACGGTATGTATTACATTGCTGTACGTTGCATAAGTACCTATCACAAGACTCCGAAATATCTACCGAGGGGCCCGGACAACGGCTGTGCCTCCTAGGTATCCCACATGCTCCCCGCCTCTCCGATTACTAACTCAAGGAGTCGCACGTCCCGCCGTGCCGTGTGGCCACTGCCCACCGGAAAGGAAAGAGGCGCCCTTACCTATGTACCTGCCTACCGCACCGGATAGACTACTTAGGTACTTATGTAGGTACCCCGACGGGCATGCAGAAAGAAATATTTGGATAGCCGAGCCATGATCGATGACTGCAACCACACAAAGGAAGCCGAAAGTTCGAGGTGCCGGTTAGCAAGAGGAATCGTCAGAGAATGCACCAACTCCCCTTCAGCCTTCTAACCATGCCAATATTGCTAAGAAGAGCCCCCAGGAGTCCAAGACGCCTGTCGTATCTTCGCTTCACAGAGGCCAAGCCGTTAGGAAAAACGGCGCCGGAAACGTTCTTGAATGTGATTCTCCAAGCCGCTCACTGGGCAAGCCGCTCAATGACCAAGCAGCTACGGGGAAGCAGTGACGGATGGGACATTATGGTTCTGCTGGTAGGTAAGTACTTAGGCATGGCCTTGTGCCGTCGACAAGATGACGACTGCAACCTCCCGACATGCCCACAGCTAACCAATGCGAACCACTCCTGTTCCATTCAACTCAGGACGAGGCGCACATCGACTTTTTTCCGACCAGGATCTTTATTTGCGGCTCTGATTCTCCAGTTCAGTTCAGGGCGTGAACGCTGATGATCCTAGGGGAATTCTGGAGCGTCGCATCTCGGAAGCATCTCCTGGAAATTCAAATCTGAGGTTTACATAAAAATGGTTTTGCTCATCGATCCGATCCTAGGTCTCCCTGGTGCAAGACCGCAAAACATCTCCCAGCGAATGTTTGACGCCTACGTACCGTACCGTAGCTGGATGAGTAATCGATTCCCGGCTCGCAATACATATACCCGGTTCGCAGCGGTAGGTAGGTCTGTATGGGATTGTAATGTAACCAACCTGGAACCCGTCGCACCATCAAGATTCAAACGAACAGTCGCCGCCCCAAACACTCACCCCCGCCCCGCCCCTCCCCTCCCCTCGCTCCGCTTGAAGTCCGTCTCGGAATCGCTACAATATGCCTCACCGGCCAGTACCTATCACGGCACAGGTTACAGGTACACACTCTCACTTTCACTCTCACTCGCAGTGATGCAGTGATGTAGTGATGTAGAGTAGAGTATGCCAGTATGAATTGATTAGTTCGAACTTCGCGCATGACCGCAGATCGGTATACATAGCCACGCAAGCCGGGCGAAAGGCGTCACCAAGACTCCGACTAAATTATCTAAATATCATTTGTACTAGCACCACCTGCGGATTTCAATTGTCGTCACCACCACCACCATCACCACCTTGACTTGACTTGACTTGACTTGTCACTTGGCTGACCGGAGGGATGACGATGCCAACGCATACGAAGTTCGAAGTTCGAACTGCCCAAAACAAAAACAAAAACAGGAACTTACGGGCGAGAGGAAAGGACGTATGTATACCTAGTAAACGAATGTAGCAGTTACGTACCTATAGAAACTCGCTTGCAAGCTGGAACTAACTAGGTGCTGACTCTGAGCCTTGAGGAAGCCGCGGAGGAGGGGGGAGGGGGAATCTCACGTGTTATGGATAGTGGCATGGCATGGCCCGTGAAAGCGAGGGAAAGCGAGGGTGGGAGAGAGACGAGACGAGACGAGACGAGACGGGGGTTGTGACTTGTCGATCGCCCGGTGAACAGTTGGTACTCTACATACATGATGTACTCTATGTACAATACATTGAAATTTCGAATCAAATCAAAGATAGTCAGTTAACTAACTGAGAGTTCTGAGCAAGGACTCAGGAAAGGAGGCCTTTGCTTCACTTTCGCTTCCAAACATAGATCTGCTCTTAGACTCTTAGCACTAGGCACTAAGGCAAACACGAGCCGGCGATACCATACCATACCTACCGTTCGCTACACAAAGCTTGACCTGTCAGCAAATCCGGGTGGCTGCGGCAATGAGTTCACTCGAACACAGCATGTGAAGATTAATCAAGGAAGCTCTTTGGTCCGTGTTGTCCAACACTATGGAGTATGTAAGAGAGTACACTGTACGAGTACATGCCTGTGTGGGTGAGATCTCACGCTACCTACTACTCGAGTGACAAGTCCTCCCACGGATTTCAATTTTCGACTGAAAAGGCATGCCGATGTATGTGCTCTATGGTACTCTAGCGATTGGGGGCCACCAATAAACAGCAACTGGGGGAGTTCAATTGGTGGGCAGAATCGGTTACGGAAAGAGAAAGAGAGGTTGGTTTGTATGGGTTTTGTTCGTTGTGATGTACATAGCGGGGGGATGAATGGCCCCATTCCGTACATGGGCGGGATGGACGATGAGCGAATGTCAGCAGGTACATACATACGATTTCTCCGCCGCCACCGCGATTCTTCGGCTTCCGATTGAGCAATACAGTTCCCGCTCCAGCTCCGTTTGGGAGGGTGGCTGGAATCTGGAATCTGGATTCTGGATAGAGGCACGATGCGCAAGAGACACTGCGGAACCGAACCTCAAGTTCGGTTTCGTGGTGGTGGTGGCGGTCGTCGTTGGAGTCGTGGGTAATTGAAATTCCCTCACACACCCACCGCGCGCGCGGGATGCAACCCTCCCCTTGAGGCCACTCTGGATCTCAGACAGCATGAAGCGGCGGGTGCTGGGGAACCGGTCAAGGCACTCTGTGATAGTACTTCGTCACACCAACCACCACGATCAAAATTGAGGTCGTCGGGCAGTCCGAGTTCCAGCGAGTGGGCAGACACATGTGATGCTGTCCATCCTGGCCACCTTCCTTCTCTTCGCAGCTTCACGTCGGTGGGGGAGTCCGGATCACCTACCTGAGTACCTCCCTAGCCGGCTGCACGCCATCTGGCACTTCGAAGTTCACATCCCCCGCAAAAAAAGACCTGTGCAGAATACTTGGTTTGGTTCGGCGGATTCTCACGGCACAAGCGCTCCCGAGAGACATACGGCGTCATGCCTCGAAAAGGCGATTTCTTCATGTGCACCGGCGATGTTTGCTCGTTGCGGAAGGTTCGACTTGCTCGCCGTTGACGAGTTGCCCCCCAAGTTGCCCGATGCCGTTAGATTGGCTCGCCGAGACGGGGTTCTCCAGATGATGCGCGCAACCGATGACACTCGCGCATCGACCACCACCAACCACCACTAACCACCACCACCGCCACCACTACACAGCAACCCCACCGAATGCCTCTTTACTCTCGAGCACTCTAGGCAAATCGGATGCTGGAATTCGCAGCCGCCGCCGCAGAGCCGTTCGACTGTTCTCTCTCTGGTGATGACGTCCGGGAGAACTTTCCAGCGCCGGTACCGGTTTGAGGTGTGGACAATTTCCCGCGCGAGTCGGTGTGTCCTGCTGTTGGTCAGAGGAAAGGAGATGATTGCACGAGCGTTTCCATCGCGACGTCCCGCGAAGCTGAACCCATCGCCAGGGGCGGGAATCGGAATGCGATCGCTGCCGAGTACAAGCTGTCGTGTGCGAATGAATGATGTGTTGCGCCGTACGGGGGCTGGTGTTCGCACTGCACTCTTTATTGGCTTTCCGCGAAGATTTCGACTCCCGATGGGTACACGGTTGCCAGCGAACTGCACTCCTGATCCCCAAGAGGTTGACTGGAGTCTGGCCTACCCAGGTCATTATTAGTAGTGAACGTAAGCACGCGGGGGATGATCAGCCACTACCGAGTGACGGCGCCCAGGTCGAGGCCGCTGGAGCCAATAGAATCGCCTGCGCGGCTTGGCTGGTTATGCCATGAAACGGGAACGCTGCACCAGCAAGTAGCTTGATTGGCCACCGGATGCCCGGCGGACAGATGAGCGCTGCCCTCTGGTGGTCGCACACCGCCGCACCGTCAGCTCCGCCCGAATTCTCGCTGTTTTATCGGAACCCGACGACCAAGTCGCTCGCAATTCGCATTGGAGGAGCACGAGGCATGAGGAATTCTGTCCTCCCCTTTCTCCCACATATCAATTCTCCCTCCCGCCCCACCCCGGCATATGTATGGCCACCGATTGATTGACGAGGCACGCGAGTGGGTCTCCCAGAAGCCAGTCAACATTGAGTCTCGCCCTCTCGCCGCAGGATCTTGAAGTCTCACATGTATTAGTGGGCAGTCAACATCGAGGGGGCTGGCTAAGCACACACTATCATACCCCGCAAAAAAAACCATCAATTAACCGCAGCTGCTTCCGCCTCGGCATCGAGCCACGAACGCCCTACTGGGGGTATCCCGGCACTGCCAGGGGATTTGCAAGCGCGCACCAACTTCCAAGCCCCCCCCCCGAGTGGGTAACTGTAGTTTGATATCGTGGCCACCAAACTGCCCAGTACGGCAGTCCCCACACTCTCTCTGAGCACTCGGCTTATCCTCGATACATGTGAATTATGTCACCTCCGCCACTGAGGCACAGGAAATAGCCCGCAGCCCACATGTCGGATAGTGTCTGCCCGCCCCCCTTCCTGTGCCATTCTGCTGCCCTCTTGGGACATCGAGGGATCTTGGAGCGTATAAAGAGGGTGGTATCCGTACCTGCTTCAGTTGCTGTTTCATCACTGTCCAGAACACATCCGCTCTTCCAGTCCATTCGGTATATATACATTCGCTATCCGCTCCCGCATCCCACACTCGCTTCAGCAAGAAACCCCCCCAGACAAACCCCAACCGCAAAAATGAAGTTCTCCACCGTCGCTATTGCCGCTACCCTCGCCGTCGTGGCCTCTGCCCAGCTCGATGCCTTCCCCGCCTGTGGTGTAAGTCTCCGCGTCCGCCCTCGAATAGCCGCACCGATACTAACTTTCCTACCAGCTCTCGTGCCTGACCTCGAACGTCGGCGCCACCGGCTGCGACCTGACCGACTTCGCCTGCTCCTGCTCGAACACTGCCTTCATCGCCGCCGCGACCTCGTGCATCGACAGCGGCTGCGAGGTAGCCGACCAAGAGAAGGCGCTCGCCGCGGCCGTCGGCCTGTGCAAGTCCGCCGGCGTGGACATCAGCCCGCCCAGCGGGACCTCTGCAGCCGCCACCACCGCGAGCCCCACGCCCGAGCCCACCAGCACCGAGGCCGCCGAGCCCTCCACTTCCGAGCCCGCCGCTGAGCCCACCTCCTCCGAGGCCCCCGCTGAGACTACCACCCTCGTCCCCTCCGCTAAGCCCTCCAACGCTACCACCAACGGAACCATCACTCCCCCCGTCGAGACGCAGCCGCCGTCCTCCGGCGCGTCGCGCATGGCCGCCGCCATGTCCGTTGTTGGACTTGGCCTCTTGGCCGCTTTCGCCTTGTAAGCTGGCCGCTTTCGCCTAGCCTGATGGATGTGTGGGATGATTGGACGCATTAATGGTACGACGGATCGATGGGATGGGACGGGATGGATGAACGGATGGGGAAAAAAATATGTATCAATATCTACGTCTTTTATTTTTGGTGTGATCGTGTGTGCCTTTTTGTGTGTGTGATTCTTGGACATAATGTTTTCTCTTCTGCTTTTTCTGCCGTGTGTGTGAGCGCACGGATTTACCTATTGAAGGCATCTAAACTTCTTGACGTTTTTTTTCTCTAAAGAGCCTGTGAAAGTGAATTAAGGAAAGAAATGAGCGCATTGTGTGTAGGAGCGCATAATGCAGCGCTCTGTATGCGTGTAAGTACAGTACCACCATCGAAACTGCGACACTCGGAGTCGCACAACAAGCCGCGCATCCGGCCACCGCCGGATTCCCAGAACACTGCAGACTCTCCACATCACATCAAATCCCCAAACTACACACCCGTACATAACTCCGGAGCGCACATATGTACCATCTACCGAATCGAAACGCGGACTTTCGATCCGGGTCTCGTGCGCTTCTACTTGGGGGGCACCCACCTACCCACTCGGAGCAGCGCGGATATCAGCGGCGGCGGGGCTGTGGTCGGGGTGGGTGCGGTACATGCGGCGCAGGTATGTGTGCGTGCCGGTGTAGTAGGGCACAAACACGAACGAAACGGATGCGGCCGGGATATCCTTGTGGCGTGCGGACGGGCGCGACGTACATACACAGGTAGATTCCTAGGTATTGTAGTTTCGGCATCCGGAGCCAGCCGGTGGGAAACAGAAATAGAAACTAGGACCGAGGATTAAAGGTTAAAACGAAAATCATGGCGGAAATCGGCGCTGGTGCTGCGTGGGGCGGGCGAGCGAGTGAGCGATCAAACGCTTTGTGTGCGAGCGATACTAGCATTTTGGGAGCGGGGGACCTGGGGGAGGGATGTCCGCGTGAGAATCGAGACGAGAGCGGTGTGGTACAAGCCGCGTACTGTGTAGTATGTGATACTTAAGTAGGACCTAAGTAGGTCGGACAATGCACCGCAATGGACCGCGATGGATTCCGAGGATGGTGGGCTGTATGTAATAGGTGATGGCGAATAGGTAATAGATAATGGGTGGGAGTAGAGTACTGGTATTCTGGTTGGTCGGGATGGTCTACCGGTATGGTTAGTTCGTAGAAATGATAGCATTGGAGGTGAGCGGAAGTTCTGCATTGGTTGTCACTCGGATGGCTTTCGCTCGGGATTGGGATGAGACTTGCTGAATGGAAAAAAACACGAGGCCATAGCTCAGATGCGCTGAATCCCTGAATGCGAGTTGGAGCAAACAAAAGAGTCCTACAATAATCTCTTTGCTCACTCATGCAGTCTATCCGGTGCGATATGTAAGGTAAGGGAACCCCTTTCCTTTCCTTTCCGGTGGGCATTAGCCACACGGCGCGGCGGGACGTGCGACTCCTTAAGTTGGTTATCGGAGAGGCGGGGAGCATGTGGGATACCTAGGAGGCACTTTGTACCATTGTCCGGGTCCCTCAGTAGTATTTCGGAGTCTTGTGATAGGTAACGTACAGCAATGTGATACATACCGTGACTTGTGGCCTACCTAGGTAGGTTCTTCGTCACAATCTCGCACTCGTGTACGAGATCCGTGAGGTGATCTGGGTAGGTAGCCTGTGGAATTATATTCCACGGAGATATCGGGCTGAGCTATGGCTTAGTAGCTTCGGCCTTCATAATCGTGCAGGTTCGGTTCGGTTAGTTTCCCTCCATCGGCCGACGGCAATTCACACAATAAGAAGCCCGGGCGCCGCTCCTTCTTCAAGATCTTGAAAATACCTAGTACTACTCCGAGCCCAATGCAACCCCATGGTTCAGAATAAATACAACCGCAAGGCAAGCTCCTCCGTCGTCGTCGCCGCTCAAAGGGAATGACAAAATAAGGGAAAGAAGGGAAAGAAGGGAAAGAAGGGAAAGAAGGGAAAGAAGGGAAAGAAGGGAAAGAAGGGAAAGAATGCAAGAAAGTCGTCGTGATGCTTTGAAGATTTTGAACAGGTGAAATACACGAAGGCTATCCGGTGGAAACACAATTCCGCGCAGCAGAAGGAAGAAAAGAAGAAAAGAAGAAAATCCCTCGCTCGGTCACTCCAGTCTTGAACATTTAGCAGTACCGCTGATTTTGACATAGCAGGCGCCCACCTTGGCAATACTAGTAGGTAGTTCAAACACCGCCATCAGCTGGTTCATCGTAGCCCACATCGCCCCAGGCAGCCGGGCCACACTTTCCGTCAACATCCACTCCGCCCCACAGCTCCTCCATCTCCGCAGTCCACACCTGCGGGGACATCCTCGTCTCAGGGACGCTGTGCGGCCAGTGTTCGGCTTGCTGCAGCGCAGAGAGGCCAGTGAAGGAAGCGCCGTCCTGAGACTGCGAGACGTTAAAGAGCAACTCCAGCGCCGCGGCTAAATCATCCACCAACTTCAGTCTCAATCCTTGTGGGGCGGTGAAGGGAGGGAGCACTACGCACCTTCGGAGAAGTGCGCCGCAACCGTGCCGCCCTCGCCGGGACCACCGCGGGAAGAACTCTTGGGCGCCGTCGGCTCCGGCTGAGTGTCGGGAGACTGCGGGTCGTCGCGGAGCCACGCCTCTATCCGAGCTAGATCGGCCACTTCTTTCGTTTCAGCAGTCTTGCAGCGCGGAAATGGGGTTGTCACCGGGGATGTGATGTCCGTCGTAGGTACCTTCCGAGTCCGAATGTTTGAGGAGCCACGCCGCCATTATCCGATTCACCGTCGGCTCCGGCTGAGGGCCGGGAGACGGCGAGTCGTCGTGGAGCCACGACTCTTCCAGAGCTAGATCGGCCGCTTCTTTCGTGTCAGTCTTGCACCGCGGAAATGGGGTTGTCACCGGGGATGTGATGTCCGTCGTAGGTACCTTCCGAGTCCGGGTTATTGCGGAGCCACGCCATTTGCCGATCCAGATCGTCTGATTCATTCGTGTCAGTCTTGCACCGCGGAAATGGTTTTGTCGCCGGGCATGTGATGTCCATCGTAAGTACCTTCCGAGTCCGAGGAGGAATCGGACTCCTCATTAATGGGCGCTCCGGCTCCGGAAGGCGCGGAGGACGCGGTCGGCGGCTGATATGTGAGGCCTTCTGAGTCCGAGTCATCGTGCTCTTCATTGATGAGTGCGCCGGTTCCCCCGTCGACTGCGCTGTGAGGGGTTTTGGGAGACATTTCGGTAGGCGGTAGGAGGGTGTAGTGCGACGGGTTGAAAGCGTGGTAGAGAAGAAGACCGTGGTAGAGAAGACCGTGTCAAAGAGACTGTCCGTGGGGTTGTGCTGGACCGTGTTGCGAGACTTCGCACTGTATTTGGCCACGGCGCCGTGCCGCGGTAACAGCTTGGCCGAGTGATGTTAAGTGATGGCCGTCAAAGAGACGCATCCGACGAGGTCTCGACGGGAACCACGGAAAACAGATCAACAAACGGCAGTTAACATCACCCGTGCCGAGCAGCTTAGTCGGGGCTTGTCTACAGGCTGTTCTTGTGGTGCGGGTGCGCCGTGATGGATAGGAATGTTGGTACTCGTGCAGGCAAGTCCTTCAATCATGGACTACTCCTCGCGATCGACGAACGCTGGCGATACGGACAGTGTCTGCTCCAGCTATCGCACTCGTTAAGAGGCCACTCAACGGCCTTTAGAAATCAAATCCTGCTGGCGGCAGGGGCTACGTTTGCTTGGATGAAGGCACCGGAGAAAGGCTTTACAGTACATACGGTGACATTTTGTTGATTCTCCATATTACTTGATAACAGACTACTCGACGCTCTACTCGCTTCGATTATCCCTTGCAAACTGACCTTCAGTGAAAATACTGTCATATTACCGCCGGTATCCCTAAGTGCCACTGGTTACTATTCGGGCGTGTTGACTTAATCGTATGCGCTACATAGATGCACAGATTTATACTCGTCGTGGAGGCACGTGCTCGCTAACCGAAATAATCCGAGGATAGACAAGCTCAGGCCTGATGCCGCATGCGGCAGCGGCAGTGCGTGCGTCATCGGATTTTAATTTTTGGGGGATTGGCGAGTGGAACAAAGCAGCGATGCGAACCGCGGAGGTTTAACTTTCTCGCAGCCCGCGACGGACCAACTAGAGTAGTGCTATGTATGCGCGCCTTCCAAGTCCACTCTCGCACTTGCAACCCCACCAGCCGCACGTTAGTTACACACCGAGCTGGACCGGGCCCGCAACCGCTGCCACTTCGTCTCGCCCCGCAGGCGGTACCCGAAACCCCTGGGGCTCCGGATTCCGGACCATCTGCCGGACCCGCCGCTTTCCGTCAAGTTGAATGTCAGCGCTCCGAAGCGATCCGCCCACAGCTCGCTCGCAAGTGCAAGTTGAACACGGCCTGCGGCCTGCAGCCTCGCGACTTCCGCCTATAATCCACTCCCGTAAGTCCATTCCATTCCACTGAAAACATCAACTGTCCGGATAACAGACCCCCCAGCAGCTATCGCAACGTCAGCCAATAGCTATGGCTGTCACTAGTACCGCTAAACTTTCCCGCTGCAACTGCAACGTCCCCATCTGCCGCGAAGAGGGCGTCGAAGGCGTAGATCTCATCAGATCGTGTGGTGAGCACTGGGTTCACTGGAGCTGCGTGGGCCCCTGGTGGGACACCCGGCTGAGTGAGTATCGCGAGTTGCCGTGTGGATGTATGGGGAGTAAATTAAGCATCATGGTGATGTGGATTAGAGGGTGCATCAAGCTCAAGAGGCGGGTCTAAAGTAGTGGTACATATGTCCCAGCTGGCGATAGGGGCTTGGGCTTTGTCAACTGGGTTGATGAAGTGGATGTGGAAGTGGAAGGCCTGCTGGAAGAGCGTTCCTGGCGGGAAGTAGGTATAGATATCCATACTTCTTTGTGTACATTTCTCCCGTTACCACCTGCAGACTGGAGGGCGTACGAGCGAGCGCCGCTGCACAAAAGTCATCTGATCCTTCGAGCTTGATTGAGTATCGTTTCGCAATGACTACACATGTACCGCGGGCTAACAGACCACAGTTCCCAAATTTCACCCGGCCGCCCAACAGGTTCCAGGAAGCTTGGATCCTCCCCACATCTAATACGTCTTCAATCTCACCAGCATAATACATCTAGACTTCCTCCGGTTTACCCTCACAGCCATCGGCAGCTGTAACCTCGTCCTGCCTCACCCGAACCTCCCATAAGCTTATCAGCCGCTACATCCCATACCTACCTAGTACTGACACAGGAGATGAGAAGGAAGGAAGGGAACCCACGGGATATAAAGGCCCCTCAGCTCCCTCGGCGGGGGCTTCAGTCGGTACTTCAAGCAGAAGAAGAAGAACCGCCAATCACTCTCTTCCAAACAGCCACACGGCATCTTCCTCTCCCCACTAATCCTGACGATCCACCACCAGTCGACGCAGCGATGGTGCGCGTAGTGTCCGCACCGCCCGCAGCGCCGGAACTCGTCGACGGGACCGGAGAGCTTGCAGCCGGCGTGCAGGCCGTGGTTGGGAGTGATGCAGCGGCCTTCGGGGATGAACGTGCTGGTACTGGTGAGCGCCATGAGTCGTGTGGGGTGGGGATGGGGATGGCGTGGCGTGGCGGGGTGAAGGTTTTGAGGTTGGGGGCTTTTAAGTTTTAAGAATCTTGGGGTGTGAGCAGTGGGTGGGTGCGGTGGGAATGTCAATGAATGACGAAATGCTCTGGCACTGGCACTGGCAGCAGCCGTTTAATATGCGGATAACCGTTCATTTCGTATGACCTGCTTAGCGGCCGGCCATGCTTGTGTGCTCCTCGTGACGACTGGACGGGCGCGAACTGGAAATCTTGATTTTGGGTGAGACATGTGTGTGCGGCTGAATGCATGCTTTGAAGTTGTTGTGGAGAAGTGCAGTGGAATACCGAACGTGGAAAGAAGGCGTACGGTAGGTACTATGGGGATGTCCTGGATCGTTGATCTGTACATGGATTCTCACTCGCGGATTCCTGCGCAGTCACACGCGGATGGTCTTTGGACAAGAAAAAGGATCGTTTTGTCTCGAGAACTGATAAGCTTTGATAATGAATCTGCAAGCTTGCTTGTGCTTACACGATTCCTGCGCAACTGTTGTCAATTTCACACAGTACGTGGGTGGTCCATCGGGTGGGGTTCATTGCGATACTATGACGGATAATGAGTAAAACACAGCAAATTTGGCTGACAAAGTGCATCTCTATCCGCCGTGGTGTAGTGGTTAGCATTGGTCGCTTTCATGGACAGAATCACTTCTGAACTTCTAGTGCCGACTAGACCCGGGTTCAATTCCCGGCGGCGGAACATTCGTTTTATTTTGCCTTACTCACAGTGTGACTTGATTAGTGGAAGTTTATTTTGCTCATGATGAACGAGTTTGGCGAGTGACTGTACATGTATCAATGAGCCAGTTCTACTTCTGGTGTTCGTGCGATGCTATCGGGAATTGCACTGCCCTCGGCTGAATCTGAATCTGTGTGTCCACACCTCGTCTAAATTCCAATCACCGACAGGAGCCCAACTTGAGAGGAGACCCTAATTATCCGCAGCTCCATTCGATTCGCAGCAGCCGAGAAAATAGTGCAGCCATCATTCACGCCTCAAGAATCAAGGAGGTGCTTGTCCAATTCCAAAGATCTTCTGACATCTGACAGGCCTACCATACTGAGGCACGGATTTTCAAATCGGGAACTTTTTCCTCGTTCCCTTACATACAACTGATCTCAAGTTCGACGGAATTGTGTGTGTGGACATCACTTGCCTAAATTTCTGGTGATTAGAGTACATACCCTATGAACCCCCACGGGCCACTGTAGGTATCTTCGATATTCATGCCGGTATATGTCGTACATGTCAGACATCAGACATGAATAGAGTTCAGTTCGTCTAATCATATATGCATAACAAGCACGCTGCACGGCTGGCTTCCCCGCCTTCAGGCTTCAGCCCCAGATCCTCAACTGGCTGTTAAGGATCGCGGATATATATACAGCACAACGCTCCGCTCGTGTCTCGCTCTCCGCATTCAGCCTCAGCTGGCCATTGAGAATCGCGAATATATATACCTACAGTACAACAGCACAACACTCCGCTCAGACTCGAGTATCCCATTACCCACCTTCAGCCTCAGTTGCATTGAGGATCGCGAATATACCTTATATACAGCACAACCCTCCGCTCGTATCCCACCGCCAGCACCATCTAAATCTATGGCAACCCTCAATCCCCCACCAGGAGCAGCAGCAGCACTCCCCCCGCTCCTCCGCCTCCCCCCCGAACTCCACCTCCTAATCGCCACGCACCTCTCCCACCTTTCCCAACTCTCCAAACCCACCCACCCCGCCCTCACCGCCCACTCCGCCCTCACCGCCCTAACCCGTACCAACCACTATCTCTACCACGCCCTCACCCCGGTCCTACACCACCTCTCCATGACCAGCGCACTCACGCAGCAACCCCGTCTGCGGCACACGATAACTTACAACCATCCCCTCCTGCTATCAACACTCCTCCACTACTACCGCGACGTGGCGCGCCCACCCACCGGCGATCCCCGCGCGCTGCCCTGGACCCTCGAGGAAGCGCTGCGCTTCGCCGTGCAGCGGAATAGGCCCGCGTGCGTGCGGGTGCTGTTGGACGCTGGCGCGGACCCGGAGGCACAGGCAGATCCGGCGAGGAGGTGGGTAAGCTTGAGGGATCTGGCCGCTGGGTACGGGTTTGTGGAAGTGAGGGGGGTGTTAGATGAATGGGGTTGTGGGGGTGGTGGGGGAGGGGCTAGGGGGGAAGGGAGGGGGTGGGGGAAGGGGAGCGGGAGGGACTGTGGGAGGGACTGTGGGAGGGGGCAGTACACGCCGCTGCTGAGGGCGGTGATTGGCAGGAACGTTGTGAGGGTCGGGGAGGTGCTGGGTAGGGATGCGGATGTTAATGCTCGCGCGTCGGATGGGAGGACGGTGCTGCGGTGTGCGCTTGCTTCTGGGGATAAGGAGGTTGTTGCCTTGCTGGTGCGGCATGGAGCGACGCTGGGTGAAATGGGGACGGGCACGCTAGGAGTGTCGCGCGAGAGGGAGGGCGAGGAGGTGGATGGTGTTCAGTATGCAGCTGTTACCGTATTTCGGAGAGGCGAGATAGTTGGGATGTCTGGTGGCTGTCGATGATGAGTACGGTAGCAATTTGCAAAGAGTGGGGTGCGATTCATGCCGAAGGTCTCCAGTAGTACCACCGCACAGATTTACACCCAGCAGTCTCAAGAGAATACAGATTTGATCTAGTATGTATTTTGTTTTTTCCCTATAGTCTCAATTCTACAGTATCGAAAAACTATACGCAATGTTGTAAAGATACGCTTATTAAAAAGCCTGAAGACCTACCGCAGTTCTTCCGAACACAAAATAGTCCGCGGTGTCCAGAATACTAGAGACCTACCAGAGAACTACCTTATTCGCACAACAACTTCGTGGAGAGAAAAATTTCTCTGATTCGCAGTGTTTAACGTAGGTATCTAGTCCCTCGGGACGGACGGACTGGACTGGACTGTATCTTGGAAGTCCGTCCGGGAGCGGTGTTCGGACGGACTAGGTAGTCCAAAAAAATATCGAGGGCAGTCCGTACCCAGTCCACGAAATCAATGGACTGGACGGACTACTCTGGACCAGATCTTGGCAGTCCGTCCAGTACAGACTACAGTCTAGACCGGACTATGGAGAACACTAAACCGTCCAGCATGTTTGTCGAAGAGTGATGCCTCGTGTCCCAGACCGTTATCTATAGTAATACCAAGTAGTAAAATTACCGCATCAATGCTTGCTACCTTGCACCTCTGCATGCCAGCTTGACACATCTCAACTTGAATACTTAGTACCTCGTGGAAGAATAGTGACAGCAAGTATCATAGAATGATACCACGTTCCCACGCTGTTGCCCGCGTCAGTGGTCAAGACTCAAGAGATACAGAAGCCAGTAGAATAACTCGCATAATCGAGACATGGGTTCCTAGATACACCGACAGGTCCTGATGGAGGATGGAAGAGAGTTTCTTGTGGTACTCGCGGCCATTATGAGATCAAGAGCGTAGAAGCAGCCGAACTTACAGCCCTTCACTTTACGTCACTCGCGTGTGCAGCCCGCAGCAAAACTAGCGAGCCTGCATGAGCTGTTTATGTACGCTAAATCAATGATATCATAAGCCCTAGATACACATGTGACAACTATGAAAGAAGCCCCCAAAGATGTTTCACGGGACCGGAACGTTATGTAGATATGCAAGCTTCATTCATCCCAGGGTATCAAACAGTAAACAGCCAACTCCCGCCAGTGCAGTACAGCAAAAAAAAAAAAAAACTACCAGTGACAAAACCCGCAAAAGCAAAATCTTTCCGCCGCCGGGAATTGAACCCGGGTCTAGTCGGCACTACAAATTCAGAAGTGATTCTGTCCATGAAAGCGACCAATGCTAACCACTACACCACGGCGGATGGGGATGCACTTCGTCGGCCGGATCCGCCCTGCGTGTTCCTCCGTGGCATTTCGCCATGGTAGAGTATTCCGTCCTCGAGAGAAAGACCCACCTGCCATTGCCGCCTACCATGTGAAACCCCGCATCAATGCCTCCCTTCAAGCAACATCTCCCTAGTCTCGACCATATCCCTCCCATCGACGCCGAGCTCCGCCTCGGTCTCTCTACAGCCGCACCAGCCGCGCTTCCCGCACTGTCCGCACGCGTCCTTATCCTTAACCAGCTCCCTAATCTGCTTCTCAATCTCCTCGTTCTGTCCACTATTCCTTTCCGGTTTCTCCGCCAGCCCCGTCTCCGCCTCTGCGCGATCCCAGACCTCAACGATTCCCGGCGCAGGGTCCGACGGCACGCCGCCGTTGTCGCTGCTGCGTTGCCGGCGGCGCCGGCCGAGCAGCTCCTCCTCCAGCTCGGCGACCTGCCGCCGCAGCACATCGATTTCCTCCTCGTCGTCGGGCTGCAGCAGGACGCTCCACCAGCGGCTCCAGCGCTCGCCGGCGATCGGGTCCACGCCGCCGACCGCGTCGCGGTCCAGGCCCCGCGGCCAGCAGATATTTGGCGTTTCGGGGTCCCGCAACTCCACCGCTTTTAGCAGAGAGCTGATTACGCCCACTTCTAGGTCCGGGCATAGAAGTAGCTGCACCGTGCTCCATGCCACGAAGCCGGTGATCGTTAGTGCTGGCTTGGGCTCGCCGCCGTCGCGCGCTGGGACGAGGTAGTACTTGCAGCCCAGCCATGTCCATAGGCGCGCTAACCCCCGGTTCGTCGCGGTGGATATGTAGGCCGCCCGGTGGTCCAGGTCCGGGTGTGGAGAGAACGCGCCGTAGTAGTGCGCGAGTTTGTCGCGAGTGATGATGGCCTCCGTGGCTGGCGGCTGTGCGGACAGGTACGTTGCGATGCTGGTGAGGAGCCGGTGGAGCTTGTGGGTAGCTACTGGCGGCTCCTGGGGCACGGGGGCGTGGGCGAAGAGGTAGCCCCAGGGCGAAGACGAGGACCGGGCCGACGAGGCGAAAGAGGCGGTCGGTGAGTGCGGGCTGCCTGGGCCGTGTGACTGCTGCGGCGGAACGGGGGATTGTCGGCGCGCGGGCGAAAGGCGGGACGGCTGCGGCCGGTTCCTGGCGGGTGACATGGGTGTTTCCGGGACTGAGTCCATCGCGGAGATGTCCTCCGAGACGTGACGACGCCCCGCAGGTCGATAGTGCATGCCATTCACGCGGAAGGTGGTGTGCGTGGCTACTGAAGTCGTGCGGCGGGGCTTGCTGCCGTCGGCCTGTGGATGTGCCGCGTATGAAGGGGAGGGCCCAGAGTCGCGCGGAGAGTAGGCGATGTAGTCTTCGTCGGACCCGCGATGCTGGTGGGATATGTGCGGCGGCTGGTAGTGGTGTGCCGAGTTCGGAGGGAAGTAGCCGCTGTCGTGCGGCGATGGATTGTGCGTGTATCGCTGCGGGGAACCGTTGGAGCCGGCGAGCCAGACTGGCTGCTGGTATGTGTTTTGATAGTGATCATGCTGCTGTTGTTGTTGTTGTTGCTGCTGCTGCCTGTCCTGTGGGAGCTGGCCATAGGGGAACATGGTTCGACTGTGGCCTCGACGTGTTGGGGTCGGTTTCGCGGAGTTTTGTTCTCGGGTGATGGGTGTCGGTGGGATGGATTTGTAGGCCGGGGCAAACAGAGCAGGTTTTGGTATAGATAGGATAGATACTTGAGTACGCAGAACCCGAGGATCGGTAGCCAAGGTTGGGCTGAGCGTGAGGTTTTCTTTTTCCCCGTGGCCGTGGTGTTACCTGTCGAGTTGTACAAGTTGTACGAGTTGTACAGCAGCGCTGGGCGGCGGAGGCGATTGGGCGGGCCGCTCAGCTAGCTGCAGTCGGAGAGATGTCATTGGGAACGAGAATTGGGTTCGAAGCATCGGCGGCGGGGTAGGCAAGTAGAGACTTGCTTACCTACGCAGTTCCTTCATACTCTAGAGAGGAATGGGCAGAGTGGAGAAGTCGGGGGTGTCTAGTCTGCGCGGAGAAGTCGGGGTGTCTAGTCTGCGTGTCATCGTTGTGGCCCGAAGAAGTCGGGGTGTCTAGTCTGCGTGTCATCGTCGTGGCCTGAAGATTATTGCCTTGAGTACTCTATTCCTTGCCGTGGCACGGCTGTGTTGGATAGGCAGTGATACGGTATCATAACTTACGGACGCCCGGGTTGCAGAACCTCCATACTAGTTGCTCATCATGCCCAAGCTACGTGGATGTAACTATCTCCTTAGCATACGAGCTTCTCCTTCCTGGCCTCTGAAGATCATGGGCGTCCTTACTCGAAATACTCTAGCTGTGGAGAGCCTTGTGCGGGCGTGTTGCAGTGCGGCTTCTCGCTTATGGTAGCTTGGCCAGGGGAACTCGCCGACAAAGTCGAACCAAGTCGTCTGAGTGTCGCAATCGAGTAGGTAGCACCTGAAGAGGCTGTCGTGCCTGGCGTTGAGGTAACAGGTCGTTTCGGAGTGCGTGAAGCATAAACTCAGTGTGGCGATGCTACATTCTTCTTCACGACTTCTCTCCGAACAGTCATCCCGAGACACGCTGACCGGTAATTAGTCATGTAGAGTGCTCTACTGCCCCGTTGCAATACGAATCATGTCAGCACGTGCCGCTGCCGTGTCGAGATCCGCCCAAGAGTCATCAATGAAGCTGTGTCGTGACAGCAGGCTGACGTCTACTTAATGGCCGGTCGACGGGGAAGCTCCACTGCTCGTAGTTCTGCAGTTCTTCGCCGCCCGAGCCTTCGTGCTCTCTCGTACGGTACAATCGGGACTCCGTTTACACCGTCGAGCCCTGCAGCAACCCCCGCAGCAGAAGTAAGACATCCACTGCACGTCCACTCTCCTCCACCACCGTGAAGACTTCGTTCGCCAACCTCCGTCAGAACTGTCCGTCTCGGTCCGAGTTTGTGAGAAAGGCCGATCGAGAGGGCCGGGAACACAAGCCAACCGATCCAGCCATTTCCGTCCACTCCTTGTGGTTGGCCATTGCGTGGGGTTCGTCTCGCTTCGTCTACCCCTACGCATTTCTCCATGTCTGCCTCCGCCGCGCCATCATAGTCAACCACATCTACCTACCAGTACACTCTTGCTCTAGAGCTCCAGCTCCACATCCCCCGTCGCTATCTACCACAACCACCACCGCCTACGATCATGGCATCTTCGCTGGAGCTGCCAGCTACGAAGCGGAAGCGAACGGGAAAGTCCCAACCTTCGCTCTCCTTCGCCGCCGCCGCCGCCGCACCCATAGTCTCCTTCGGCTCGTCCACCCTGCAGGTGTCGACGTCGGCCGCAGGCGCTACCGAAGCTGCCCCACGCGCCCCACTACGCTCCCCCCAACCTCCAAACAACAACTCCTTCCACTGGTCCTTCCTCTCGCACCCGGTGCTGGAGCATCTCCGCAAGTGGCCTGGCCTGTCCAGCACGGCCGAAGTCGCCGTAACCGCCACGCCCTCAGCCGCAGGAGGAGATCCCTCACCCGCCTCGCCCTCGCCACCACCACCCACCACCTCCGCCGATGTACCGCAGAAATTCGCGCGCCTCCTGTCGATCCCGCCGATCGCATCGTCCATCGCATCGGGCCTATACGGGCGCGACCTACTTTCCATCCGCCTACTGAGCAGCGCCTTCCACGACGTGCTGTCGACACAGATCTCGGGCGATGGCCAGCGGCCCTACTATCACACGCTGCTGCTCAAGTCGCTGCTGTGCAAACGCACCGACGTCGCCACGGAGCCGCTCGGCACCGCGTGCAAGAGCGCCGGCGGCAATGTCGGGCCGTGCGTGCTGTGCGCAACCCCGATCTGCTCGGTATGTTTTATTCCCGGGCCCGCGGCGACGCCAGCGGTGTCTGTCTGTCAGCAGTAGGATTAATATCAGCGTGCCGTATGTATGCAGACGTGCGTCTACCCCGAGATCTGGACCGTGCGCCGCTACCGCTACCTGTGTCCGGGGTGCTGCTCATCGGCGAACCCCAAGGCGTGCGCCTGCCAGGCCAACATCTGGATGTGCCGGCCGTGCTATAAGACCCGGTGGGTCGAGGACCTGGACTACGATACCGCGGGTCAGTGGCTCGACGTCGGCGCCGCGGCCACGTGCCACCGCTGCGGAGAGGCACACACAAACAAGAGCGACCCACGACTGCCCGCGCTGCCCGGCCGCAGGACGTTCCGTGGCTGGTTCGTCGACCTCACCGGGAAGAAGCGGCGGCCCGTGGACTGTGCGTGGTGCGATGGCCGTGTCGATCCTAAACGCGAGGACTGGACGCTGAGGCCGCTCGTTATCAAGAGGGGTGAGGAGCGGGGTAGGAATTGGATCAGGGAGGTCGAGAGACGCAGGAAGGAGCGAGAGGGAGAAGTCGATCCCGGCGATAATGAGGGGAGGGATTAACTACTTAGGTGGCTGGCTAGAATTTGCTGATACCCACTGTGTGTGCACGCTTCCTTGCTTGTTCTTGCGCTTGCTTTTCGCTGCGGTAGCTGCGGCGTGTCTGTCGCTCCCTTTTCTTATTCTTCTACTGCTAATGGCCGCTTCAGTGTGAAATTCGTCGGACTGCGGACTGCGGACTGACTGACGGGGCCCGGGGCTGGGGCGTTGGCTGGTTGGCTGGTTGGTGCTTTTCTTTCTTTCTTTCTTTCGCGGTAGTTTCGCGGTACGGTACCGGTGTAGGATATATGATCGACGTCGGTCAGGGCAGCGTAGAACTGTACACTGTACGTAGGATGAGGTTGGAGGATCCACCAGGAGGCACTTTCTCTTTCCCAGCGGTTGCGGTTAGATGGTACACTACTGGTACACTATATTGTTTTGCCCGTTTTGCCCTTGATTGTTGCCGCGCTGCGTTGGGGCGGGGGCGAGATATCGGAAGTACATTGGTTTGGTTGATTGTAGATGCGATGATGATGTGCATTGAATGACTCGGGGCATGTGGTTTATTTGTCTACAAACCGAGTTTGCCACCATGAACTGAACTGAACTGCCACCCACCGTGTGCACTATGTGGCCACGAAAGAGAATTGCAGCCTGCGGCCAAGGGGCTTCAGTGGATCCTGTGAGACGGGGATGGAAGATGAGATATCCCATCAGACAGTCCTCTCCTCTATCCTGCTAAACCATAAACCTCACCTCCAGCCCTCAGTAGTACCTATAATACTAACTACTACTACTAATACTACCACTGCCTCCACTCCGGTGACTCGGCGGAGACCATAAACATACCTCCCGCGCAGTACATACCTGTATATACCGGTACCGGTACCTCAGGTTGACAACTCCGCCGCCGATATACCTAGGTAGCTAGTCCGGAATCACGAATGATTCACGAATGATCCACGAATGATCCACGAATGATCCACGAATGAAACCGAATTATACAGTACAGACAGCATTATATTATACACTATGTAGATACTATTATCCCCAGATCCCCATTACCCAACCCAACCGTCCGTACCGTCCGTACCGTGCCCCTTATTACCGTACATATCATGCAAAAGTTGAAACCTAAACCACCAACACCAAAAACCAAAAACCAAAGACCGAATGAAAAGACTAAAGACCAAAGACCAAAGGAAAGGCAAGGAAAAGACCAAAGGAAAGGCCGAGGGATAAACTAAAGGAAAGAGAAGGAAAGACCAAACGAAAGACAAGGGAAAGTCCAAAAGAAAGTCCAAAAGAAAGTCCAAAAGAAAGACCAGCAGCACAAGTACTCATACAATATTTACACCCTCCCCCCGCCCCCGCGCATCAATTCGACGCCAACAACCCCAAGCTCTTCGCAAACGCATCTACATCACTTTTCCTTATCAGCTTTTGCCCACCCATCAATCCCCCATCAAACCCCCCCCCCCCCTCCCCCACATCCCCCTTATCTCAGCAGCTGCAAACTCACCATTTTTCCCTCTTCCCCCCCTTCCCCCAACTGCTCGCTCGGGCGGGTATATGATCGCTAAGCCGGAAATTCGTCGTCGCCGCCTCCTCATTCTCCCAGGGCACCTCGACATCGTGGCGAACTATGCGAGGCACGGGGCTGGTGGGCGTGGACGGGCAGGGGCTTGTCGGTGTAGGCGGCAGGTGCTGCTGCGGCGGCCGCAGCGTGGTCGGTTTCGCCGCTGTGGTGGTGGTGGTGTTGTTGTGGCTGGGTCGGCGGTCCTCCCAGTCGCCGTGCCTCGTGCGGTCGGCGCCGGGTCGGCGCTCGGGCGAGGGCGAGGGCGAGGGAATGCGGACCTGTTCGCGGTGGTATACAGACGTTTCCCTGCGGCCGCGGTGTACGGGATCTGCAACGATAACCATCCAGACGCCGACCTTGCTTTCGCCGTCCAGCAGGGGGGTGCAGTGAACGAAGCGCTCGCGGCCCTCGGCGGACTCGCGGTTGGTCAGCCACGTGACTTTTGCGGTGACGCCGTTGCCGGTGCGCAGTGCGTCGTGGATCTCGTCGCGTACCCGCGGCGAGCCGCCGATCTTGTTGAGGAAGTGGAGCTGGTGGATTCCGGGCGTGCGTAGTGAGGGGGACGTGAAGAGGATCCGTAGGGAGGGGTAGGGGCGGAGCAGCATGTAGTTCTGGTATACGCCCTTGAGCGACGGGAGACGTGGGATGGATACCGTCGGTTGTTGGTCGTAGCTTGGGGGCCCTTCCTGCACCATCACCCGGGAGCGCGCGGCGGATGGGGCCCGCTCCCGGCGGAAGGCGCCTTCGCGCCGGAGACGCCGGCCTTTGTGCAGGCGCCCGGCGAAAAGCCGCGTGGTCTCGATTTCGACGTCGTTGAAGAGCTCGGCGAGCTCCTGGAATACGTCCTTTTCCTCGTCTTCCTTCTCGCCGGCCAGTTGTCGCTCGAGCTCCTTGACTGAGTCGAGGCCGATGCCGTCTTTGAGGAGCTGCGTGACGTCGACTTGCGCTCCGATGTAGTATCGGAGCTGCCCTTGGGAGTCGAAGAGCGGGGCCACCATGAGGAGATTGAAGAATGGTGATCCGTCTCGTCGGCTATTGCGTCTATCAGCTAACTGTAGTGGACATTCTCAACGCTGGTCGGACTTACTAGTTCAGAAACAGCTCGCTCGTCTCCTTCTGTGCGTCGATGGCATTCTTGAGTCTGCGGACCGTCTTTCGGTCTGTGGCCGGGCCCTGGAGGAAGCGGCAATTCCGTCCCACGGCGTAAGACACGCCGTACTGAGTGACCCTGTTGAATTCTACTCCTCCGTTAGCACCACATCCCAGGTTTCCGGGGTGGAGGATACACACCTTCACTCATAAAGATGATAGGATTCCCGTCTCTCCGTGGATCCGTCAAGCAGAACGATTCGCCGAGACCATCCACGGCATCCGCCAGATCGCTCCTAAGTTCTCCCGTGATCCTTCTAGTGACATTATGCGAGACGACGTCGACGACAGTATTTGTGACATAACCCGCCAACTCCTCCAAGAGTCCCTCGAACGCCTCGTCACTGCACCGCTCCAGCCCCTTGCTCCTGACATCGGCAGGGACGGCGCCGCCCTCGAGGCCGCCGGCAATCGCGTTGGCGTACGCTAGCGCTTTTAGCGCCTTCTGCGAATCGAGGTATTGCACTAGCGTATTCAGCCCGCTGGGCGAGCTGTGCGTGAGGAAATCGGCGAAGTTCGAGAGTAGAGTCGGGTTGGACAGGATCGTGGAGAGGTGACCCGGGCCGAGAATCTTGGCCCCCAGTGCTTCCGGTGAGAACCCGGGTGTCGGCACAGATGATAGTGGTAGGAGATCGTAGGAGTGCGATTCGTCAGAGGGCGAGTAGGAGCCTTCCGAGGAGCCCGGTCGGTAGAAGTCGGCTTGGTGTGATGGGTTCAACATGTTGAGGGTGGAGTAGCGGCGGGCCATGGTGATTGTGGTGGGAGTGTATATTCTCCGGCGGTATGTAGGATTTATCTGCTGGTTGTGATTTGCAATTGCTGGAAGATGGTACTGATCTTGAGTCTCTGGCGAGTGTGAAGGAGAGAAAACCGAATTGAAGATGCTGCAAAACCAAGTGTAGGTTATTATAATGATCACCAACCTCAAGTTCTGCAGGCGAGTATATATATGTATCGATTGTATGCTCATTTGTAGCCTGTAGACCATACGGTGCTTTTTTTCTTCTTCACCCATGGGGAAGCCGGCGGTCTCGGCCGGGGCGTGCCTGCATCACAAGTGCAGAATTGCCGTGCTTTCTCCGTCCCGCTCGTTTCGATCTTCGCGACAACGCTATATCCCGAATCTAAGTCACGATCGTGAGCTAAAGATTGCCGAGATTGAGGATTCGAACCAGGTACCAGGCATTTGTTTGGTGCCGATGCTATTTTGACTAGCCATAGTCGGGGTGGCCCTGTTGGATGACGATCACAATCAGGCAATGCCCTTGGCCGGGCAGGACTTCCGTTCAAAATTGGCCTCCAAAAACTGCTCCCCGCCAAATAAGCACTTACCTATACCGATGTTGCAATCCGCTATGGAGAGCTGAATGGAAGTGGACATCCCGCGTGCACACCCACAATCTTGAAAACAGCCGGCTCAGATTCTCCTGCGCCGTGGTCGCGCAGTCCCTTTCATCCCGCGTGTCTGCCGCAACGCATTGCACCAGTGTGTGGGGGTTCGAGTCGCCCGGCGCGGTGTAATTTGTTAGACAAAGGAATCAACAAACAAGCGGGAAACCGAACGGAAGCGGACCAGAGCCCACAGCTACTCTAGATGAACTCCGAATATGCAGGTAGTGCTGACAAGGACTCGGCTTTCCGGGGGATGAGGGGGTCTTGACCCAGAATAGCACATGGGAACTTCCACAGCAGTGTCGGCTATCACGATGGTCCCTCAAGCCCAGAAGTTGATCCTTCAAGCCTCGAAGATGACGTTCCGGATTGATTTTTATCGGGAAAGTTTCTCCGCCAGAGACAATTATGTCAAAAGTGTTTGACGGTGGAGGATGGCATGCGCCATAGCAGAGCGCGGGGTCTAGGCTTAGGAACTATTCAGTGGAGGAACGTTGGAGGAAGAATGTCACGGACCTGACTCGCTCCGACCGATGACGCGCATGACATCCCAACCCGGAAGAGCTCGAGCGGGATGAAGTCAGAAAAAGTCGTGAAGTGCGGAAAGGAGATGAGGAGAAATGAGCGGTCTGCCTGTCTGTGTTGGGTGTCGTATTGGGTCTGTCGTGTTGGCCATTTCCAGACCGCCGGAGCGGTGCTACTCCAATAGAGTAGTTAAAGAAAACCAAGCCAGTCAGGGTCCACACTGCAGAAACAGGCTGGACTCTGGAGACCACCACATCCGATCCTCGGCAGCGAATCTCATGGTCCGTGCTCGATCCGCCGACAACTCTCAATTTCCGAAACGGCTCCCACGATCGAGGCTATAATTCGTGTGTGTTCCCCGGTTTGTAGAGTAGAGGTTCTCCGGAGGCCATCTTACCTCCACATCTATGACGTCTACGATACTATTTAGATAGTGGATGTTTGGTTTTGGTGCGGGATGGCTCGTCCACGGACGTCGCTCTCGTACGGAAGAGTAGGCAGAAGTGTGAAGAAAGTCTTCAGGCACTTGGGATATGATACCTACTTGGTTACTAGTAGGGGTTTGGAGAAACATAAGTAACGGATCATCCCAGCACTTCGTAAAAATTGTCTGCAGGTTGCGGCTATTATTATTGGTTGGCGCACTCGTTAGTTATGTGGCCTGCGTAACACAGAGAGCAGGACAGCCTCACTTCTAGCCAAGGCTAAAGCGGGTGCCTCTGATTGGGCCGAATGGGCGTTCGGCTGCAAACTCGTGTAAACACATCTGCGGCCGATATTCTTCCATGCCGCCGAAGGTCTCGGATTCAAAGGCTGTCGGACGGATGCCATCCCGGAAGGCCCCCACTAGCTGCTGTGGGAATGAGCTTGAGGCTCACACAAACTGCCGCAGGAGGCACGGGAAAGAGAGGCGGTGCAGAGTCCAAATGAAAGTGAGCCCGGAAAAAAAGCAAGATGGACATCACTTGCACCAGATAGGACTCGGCCATACCGCAACGCGACTCAGAGATCTCGGCAGTTGGAACATGCACCATGCACCCAGCCTGTGGTACATCCTCCCACGAACCATGATAGGGGAAGCGATCCGCTACTCCCCCGCCGGCCACTCTGCTCTGCTCTACTAGTAACTACTCCACGCCGGTATGTAGAGTAGACTCCTACTTACCTGCCGCCCCACGGCAGTACTGCCACACACACCATCGCGTCCACGTCTTCACCCTTCTCGCAACCTCCACCTTAACCTTGCGTCCTCAACGACGAAAGTCCTCTCAAAGGCGTGGTGGAGGAGGGAGCATGAGCTCAATCCCATTGTCCAGCATGGCCGTGGCCGAGATCCACCCTGGGACCTTAGTGGATTTCGAAGCGATTTGTATGCACACGATTTATACACTTCACCCCCCTTCCGCAGCATGTCATCTAGTTACAAGGACCACGTCCCTAATCCGGGCGCAATAGCAAAAACGCCGTCGACTAGTCCGGTGGATCCGTCGAGTAGCGACACGACGCTGGTCGAGTCTCCACTACCGGTACATGTCTACGACACGCTGCAGAGATCTCCGTCCCTGTCGTCCCGAGTCACGGTCTCAACCTTTCTCCAAGCCGATGGACCTTCGCATCCCCTTCCTGCGGCTATTCGCTTCCCCGCCATTGGCGCTCGCTGTCCGCTGCCACCGATTCCATACTCTCTGCGTACACGGAAACTTGCCATCACGATAGTATGGACGGTCGTAGTCTTGGACTCGGTGGTACTACCGATCGGGCTCTTCTTCGTGCTCAAATACGGCGCCAGATGGTCCGATATCAAGAGTTTGACCTCCCTCATTTTACCGTAGTCGCGTATGTACTCTTCCACATGCTAACCCTTCCTGAAAATAACAGATCTTGCGGTATCCAACGGCGTCTTCGGCTTCATCGCGTTCCTACAATACGCGTTACGGTTGTGGCGACTCCTCCGGCCCAGTCCCACCTACCGCCCACTCGACGTATCCCGATGGGCGCTCGACTTCTACCAATACCAGTTCACCCTCGGATTCATCCTGGTGACGCTTATGATCTCGTTTACCACTGGACCCGAGAACCTGCGGTTGATAGCACTGGTCCCGAACATTCTCCCAGCGATGTGCGGCCCACAGTTCTTCGTCTCCTGCGCGTGCTACCGAGCCGGCCTTCGGATCCCGTTCAACTTCTCATCGATGCCTCGGGGCAGCATTGCACCGCCCGCGGTGTTCACAGTTATCGAGGACGTGATCGCTGTCGACGGCGGCGGCGGGCGAGTTTTTCGCGCGGCATGGCTGCGCCGCTACGAGGCCAGCGAGATGTTCCGCGAGATGATGTACAGGTTGACGCTGTTCTGGGGCGTCGGCTGCTTCCTCAGCGTAGGGGCAGCGTGTGCAATCGTGTTTTCCGTCGAGAGCAAGTATGTCGCGTTTGGGGTGGGCTGGGCGGCCCCGTTCGTGTGGGCTGCCGTGTGGGCCGCGTTGACGACCGTCTGGGTCCAGAGGATGATGCGCGAGGAGGAGGACGAGTGGGAGGAGAGGGGGCCCGGCGGCCGAACGGGTGTACCGAAGGCCCCCTTGGAGATATCAAGTCCGCTACCGCGGACGTAGGAAATTATACCTGGTGCTCTCCTTTGGATCAGGAAAAGAGACAAGGTCGGCATCGTCCGAATTACCAATCGGTGCACAGAACTGTAATTGTAATTATGTATGTAAATAAACTCATGGGTGTGGATCTAAAACCACGATCACTCACGCACTCTCAACGGCATTTGGGCATAACTCGGTGTACGGTAATCAACCCGCTGGACCTGGCTGGTAAGCCATGTGGAAATATCTGGTCCGCATAGCCAAAGATTCCACCGGCTATTCGCGCCAACAAACGCATGATAGCCGCCCAATACTCTAAACGTAGGTACTAAAATAGCCGACAGATCATAAGGTTATATGAACTACATACTCTACACAATCCACCATAGCCTTCCGCCGTGTGCACTACTCCACGCGAATAACCCCCGCTGGACCGATCCTAGGATGTACGTGAGGTGCATGTCGCCCCGGGTTTCCCCACGAGTGATGGACCCGCTAGAGTACCGGCTCCGTATCTGTGGTACGTTACTCCAGAACCTCACTGTAGCATCTCGATCCTGATTCTCAATAATACGCATACTGCGGGCTGGCAAACGTGCAACCGATCATGACTACTTCGGCACCCAAGAATACAGAAATCCATACCGACCACATACATCCTACAAGTACAAGTACAAGTACATTACATTTCAAACCAGAAACCACACCCATCCACCCACCCGCCCACCTGCCCATCCACCCACCTATACCACGCTCGCCTTCCCCCCACTAAACAAGAAACGCCGACACCATACCGGCCAACAGCACGACGGCGCCCATTTCCGCCGCTCTCCGGCCCGCTCCACTAGCGGGCGCACTCGCCGCGGGCGCAGTGCCATTGACCGTATTATTCCCTCCTGCAGCGGTGGCGGTAGCCGTAGAGTCTGCCGCGGCAGACGTCGCGGACGCCGAGGGTGCGGCCGCGCCGCCCATGGAGAGGGGAAACTTCGTCCTATTAGCTTCTTTTCCACTGCCCTCAACCTCGGAGTTTCGTGCGGAGTATGACTTACCCCCTCCTGTCCCGAACACTGCTCATTGACGTACGCGATAATCTTGGCGACATCGTCCTTCGGACACTTTGTGGGCACGCATGTCTTGATAGAGGCCAGGTACCCGGCGTCCTGGCAGATGCAGCTTGCGTCGGGTGGGGACAGTGAGCACCCGGCCGCGATTATCTTTGTTAACAGGCATTCGCTGGAGCATGCGGGGAGGTCCGGGATCTGGGCGAAGGCGGTGGTGAGGGTGAGCGCGATGGTGATGGCGAGGAGCTTCTTAGGGGAATGCATGCTGGTTAGGGTGGTGGCGAGTAGGTGTGTTGGGCGGTTTCTGTGGGTGAATAGTCCCGGATCCGTCACGACTCTTTATACCTATCCAGAATGTCTGTACGGAAGCATTCCAGAGCTGGTAGAGGAGGTCCATAGGCTTCGACAACCCCTGCAATTGCGGGGCCGAAGGCGGGATTCCAGAAGTACCTATGATACATAGTCTGGCTCCGATCCTAATAACCGTAAAGTTGATAGATGGTAAGCCGAGGCCTATATACTTACCTACTTGGTAGGTATGTACCCTGCTTCGATCTCCCAGAAGACGGGGCTGTGGAACTAATCTGTAGTATAGACACGCTGGACCGAACTGAACTTCAATTCGCCGACTCTAGGCTCTGGGGAGAAATAGAGTAAGTAGGTAGATCCCTTGGGGAAACACCTGAAGGGCAAAACGACTTGACTACAGCCGGTGGCTCGGAATGGGGGATCTCAGCATGCACACGGCGACTACAGATAGAAATAGAGTAACGACTCTATATCAGACCTCCGCATGCCCATCTACTTCGACACTTTACATCACACTCCGTACGCCGCCATCATAATTATGTATGTACCAGACTTTTTACTGTATACCTAGGTAATTGTTGATTGCTAGCGACTTATCTGGATCATGGTAATACCGTACACACTCTCGGACAGTGGACGAAGAGCAATACATAGGGAACCGGCATTGAGCTGGCGTCTAGCAGTCGGTCTGTGACAGCCGGGTGTAAACGGATATGTAATCTGCCATGATATAGGAAGATCGAATGCAATGATGATTAAATAGAAAGAAAAAAGCCGGCAGCGCAAGGCGTGACACGTGATAACTAATGTCGAGTGATATTAAGTGCTCCATCCATGATGCCAAAAACAAAAAACCATTACCCCCCCCGTCGGGTGGCTTGAAAACCCCAATAGATGAGCCGATACCCATGCGAACTCCGCCGAGTGCGTGACCACTCGTCGACGCGGGTTTTTTCCGTGCTGGAAACATAAATTCGACCCTTACAAAGTAGTAGGTGCCAGCCCCCGCGACGGGCAAGCTCTGCAACAACGCTTTATACACTACATGACAATTTACCGTCAGGCCTCAGGTTATACGGTAATTTGTTATCCCTACTGCGCGGGAGTCTCAGTGCTACTTAGAGGTGTGTTCCAGCGCCCGATTTCCAGGGGAGTAGAATCTGTCATAGCTGTGTTGATGCTTTGCAGCCAGTAGTTATATGTACGAGTAACGGAGGACACTCAGCGATGAACCCTCCGGGTGTACTAGTATGTATTTTTTGATCATTCCGTCGGCCTGATCGAGTGGCTCCGGGTACATACGCCACCGCTGAGGACCAAGAGCAAGCTCCATACTTGCTTCATTCCTGGGCAAAACATCATGGCCTCTGGCCAGCAACTTCTTCTCTAGAGTAGCATCGGGTATCTGGGATCAGGCTCGAAAGGAGACGCCATTTTACGGGGCTTTTCGGGATGCGGCGAGTGATATCACGTGAATACGGTTCTGCTGAATTGTTCGCGGCCAGCGGTCTGTGACAGCCTGGTGGAAACAGATATGTAATCTGCCACGAGGTCTCGGATCTTGGTGCTATCCTTGCCCCTCCCCCAATGTCGGCGTCGGCGAATTAGCTCCGAGTGAGATATAGTGCTTACGTATGATTTCGCGACCGTATCCGACATGCATGAGCTTGGACTCCAATACCTACTGTATATCCTCGAGGAATCAAGTTATAGAAACACGTAGTAGAGGTTTTGCAGCACAACTGTGTAGTATGGATATGACGGTTTCTTTTCCAACGACAACCTCTCCACACAGCATCGGCAACGGGGTTCGACCGAGTTTATAGAAATCAAACTCCTTCCCTCGATCTCAAGCATAGGAACTGGCCTTCACTAGTATGTATGTAAGGGAGAGGACTCCGTCCAGACCCCGTGGCCCGCAACTCCAGGAACGAAAACGCAACACCGGGGTCTAGAAGTGGCAACATTCTAGAGTAGGTACAAGAGGTGCAGGGACTCTCTCACTGCATTAGGTACGGTAGTCGGGGCTTCTGCGGTACACATGGTTTGTGGTGGCGTCGAGGAGTGCGCACGATTTTTCCTCGTGGCAGCCATCGCGGCATCGCCGATGGCGCAATGGAGTATCCGAGTATGTAGGTACCTAGAATACACCTGATAGGCATACCACGACAGCATGGAGTCATTCGAAGTTCGAGCCGCATCGTAGTATTCTAAAAAATATTACAATTCCTTTCGCGCCGAATCTTTGATGGCAGCCTGACAGGACGCAGGCAGTATGTAGTTGCTCTAGAGTATCCGTTATCCGCTGCGGCAACTGCACGCCTGCCACGCTATCCGGACGCCACTACAATGCCGCGCTACTACTCAAGACATTCGCCACAATCGATGGTGCTAACTAGTCCACTCCGATGGTATTCAGCCACCACCACCACCTCAACCGATGAGCGATGGATAATCCTGCGATCAGCTCAGCTCGGTAGGTATTCTGTTCCCCTGTGAACAGCAGCACGGAACCATTCCGTGCTTCGCTTCGCTTCGATCCACGGGGATCGTTCGGGACGGTGATCAAACCCGGGTATTGCGATAGCGGCGATCGCAAGTGAGTACCGGTATGGAATTTAAGAAACAACAGTAGATGGGCGGCGCAGGCAGTGTAGTGAGGGCATACATATATCATAAACGAAAGGTAGAGCAATCAATCGTATGTATACGCCGCACAGGTGCTGACACAGGGAAACCCGAGCTACATAGTGTTGCGACTCGAGAGGCGCTTACTCCGGGGTATACCTGCAGCAACAGTAAACCAAACCGGCGGCTTTTTTTTCCGTCGAGCATTTAATGCGATTTAACTGCCCACTATATATCGGTATTGTCGATCAAACCCCTTCCCAGAAGCGCTGTGGATGCTCTCCTCGTCGTTGTCGTAGTTCGAGTTCCGGGTGCTGGGTTGCGGGGATATTGGCGAGTACCGGTACCTGCTCAGGAAGCTTTTTTGGGAGGAGGGCAGAGATACTGCTGGAAAATACCGTGCGGCTGTGTTACTGTACTGTCGTCCGGTAATCCAAAGAATATTAATCTAGGTACTTGTTTTACAACTAGGGCAGCTAGCTCGAGCTGACGATACATCATGTCGGTGGAGGTGCGCTTCTGGAGAGTTCTCGGTTCATGTACAATCACTCGGCGGATAAAGAATTCAAGGGTGTCGCTTATTAGGCGAAATTCTAATCGTCACATGACACAGCCTGAAGGACCCGGACACTCTAGAATGCGGGTCCCGCGGGGTTGTGTGCGTTGAAGCAAACAAATACTGGCAACTTACGCATACGATCATTTGGGTTTTGGTCCAAACAGGTACATGTCATCCGCCGTGGTGTAGTGGTTAGCATTGGTCGCTTTCAACCATGGAAGTCAATTCCAAGGTGAAGTGCCGACTAGACCCGGGTTCAATTCCCGGCGGCGGAAGTAATTGTTTTTGTCCAACAAATCCTTCCAGCATTTTTCTGTTCCTCCGACAACTTTTTATTCCTTCCATCGGTCCCATAGTACCTAGAGAGCAGTGAGGCCGAGACTCACTGGCTTATATAACTGTAGTCGGAGTATTTTTGTCCCGTCGCACCCGCCGGCCACCCATTCTGCCGCGTGGTCTTCCGCACGCACGCACGCCCCAAGCAACCTGTGTGTGGAGGTCCGTGAGCGGAAGGGGGAGGGGAAGGGGCGGAATGAAACCCGATATATCGGGCCCCGAGGGCCAGAACGACCCTAGGATCGCATAGGGTCGCATACATAGCGGTGAGCATGCGCGGCAGGGCGCCGCGGGCTGATGGTGTACATACATAGAGATGTAGAGTACCGTGCCACGATGGATGGCTATGCAAACTAATCGGCCAACTCCTCAGTCCAGCTCTCATTAACTACGATGTATCGCGTGCTGTTGCGTGGAAGGGGGCGGGGGCGGGCGGCGCGGCGTGTCCGATCTCCTAACCATCACATCACGTATGGCCCGTGGATCTACCGTAGTTAACGGGCTGGTCGGTGGGGGAGATGTGGTTGGCTGACGGGTCGGATCCCGTCCTGCACGAAAGACGGAATTGTGGCGTTGATAACGATTCCGCCCCCCGCCCCCCGCCCCTATCTCACCCCCACCTGTGGCGCCAGGGGGGTGCGGCTCGGGCACGCCTGAATGAAGGCCCTGATAGAGGAAATTGCCCACGTGTGATATCTACTCTCTGCACCTGCCATACATGCCGTACCTACATGCCCGCGGCAGGCATGTATTCAGTACAGATTCGGAGTGTTTTTTCTAGCGCGATGGGGGATTTTTGGGAACGTCCAAATATTTGCTCGAACATGAAATCAGGATGGAAAATCTTGAGAGAGAGAGAACATCAATTTATTGTCGCATACGGCCTTACTAGACTATGGTGAGCACAAGCCCGACCTTTCCTGCCAGCTCTACCGCCACGGCCCATTGCTGCGCCCGCTGTGGAAAAAATCCTGCAGGGAGGGAGGAAGGGACGGGACGGGGAGTACTACACGCGAGTGACACTCGATGAGTCGGCTGTTTGAATGCAGATCTTCGCCAAAACTCGGCTTCCGCCCTTCTATTAGCACCCTAGGCTATTTAGCCGACAATTATGTTTACCGTTTGGGGGGTAATCTGGCTAGGGTCTTACCGTCCTGCCCGTTTTTGTGCTTTGTGGTCGGCCCCCCAGTTTCTCGATTCGCCGTGGAGGAAAAAAAAAGAAAGAAAAAAAAGATTGCAGGAGGCTTGGGAAGTCGTGTTTACTCTACTGTGAGTGAGTTTTGAGGGTGGGGGGGGAGTCGATATTAACTCCCGGGACTGACGCAACTCAAAAAGTTATCCGAAGCAACTTACCGGAAGATTTACGAAGAACACTCTACATACTCTAACTAAACAACCAAACCCAGGGTTGGCAAGGTCCACCGCTACATGTAAGCAATGTAATCATGTAATCAATATAATCAATGTCAAGAGCCGATGCAGTGCGGGCCATCTTGCAAGATGCCGTGTATGTAGGAACGATATGTTGGGGAGTGGATACTTGGTTATCAGTTGTTGTGGGATATGTAACTCCTCATGGGTTCAAGACACAAAACCCCCAACTGCATCTTGTTAGCACGACATGAGCCCTATGGATGGCCTACCCAGGCTTCCGATTCACCACTTGATTAGGGCTCGGGTTTGCCACTGGTTGGGGGCCAAGCTGTTTGTGAGGCGATGTCTTAGTTGCACTCGCACGCGGCACCACACCTAAGTATCACTCTACCTTCTTCTTACCTACCTTGTCGTATTCTGTTTTAAGAACACTCGGCGGAGACCGCTATCCGCCGCAGCTCTCCAATACCTATGGCCGCACGGGCGTCGAGGCCTGCTCTCTTGCCTTCCGCCGTGCCACTCCCTCGGTCTGGGCCTGCTTGTTGCGACATGCGAGCCGGGCATTCCATTCAGGCGCCTTTCTCCTGGTTGGAACAGTGTTCGAAAGCTTTTCCCATACATACGGCGATCGACTCTAGGACCTACTGTCTACCTATACGATGGTACTCTGGTATGGATCCGTCTCGTCCAATCTCGCGGAATCCGCGCCTGCGCAATGGAACTTCCCATGGGCCCACGGTTCCTTCCGCCGCCGCCCGGGGCAGATTGGTTGTCGGTGATCCCGGCCGGATGTGTGCTAGGCTTCCAGCGCTAGTCCTGCCCGTGGTCGTTGGGCCTTGCGCTATCTACCCGGATGCTTTTTCTTAATGCAACGGTCGGTCCTAATTGGATTAATCGTGTTTCAGAGCTGGGGAGGCGTCGGCCGACCTTGACCTTCTTTGCCTTTGCCTTTGCCTTTGCCTTTGTGCCCTGTATCCCAACAGGGCCCATGTTGGGGTTGGGGCGACGTATGTACCGTACTCTATATGCTAGTAGTCATACATACTATTTATCTACGCTGATGAGGGGCGTACCGTGGACCGGGACTCGACTGCGGATGCCATAAGGCCCGCTTCCCTCGACGAGGGCCTTGGGGCCTTGGGCGGCGGCGTACGAGCTGGGCGCCAAAGAAATGGATGCATAGCCTGTACCTGCATACTTTGTACCTACCGTATTCTGCAAATGGACTGGCGATACGAACAACCTCACCGTTCCACGCAGGTACATGTGTACGAAACTATAGCAGAGCTTCGTATTATCGGAATCTCTTCTCCAGATTGTTGGCTATTGGCATTGTGACGTCCGATTCTCGGATTCGTGTGAACGGAATAACATGGCATTACGTTCGAACTCGCAGATGGGCGATGTGATTGTGGAACCTGGGCCTGCGTGCGAGACTGGCACCTCAGCAATCACACCAAAAATAACGCTTGTTGTGGTCAACTTGAACGACTGGCACCATAACAGCTCTTGGTCACAACAGTTCCAACAAACTTAGACAGTGTTCCTTCACGTCTGATCCTAAACATATCAGTTTCTCGCGGTTTTCCGGTCAAAGTTCAGGCAGGTTCACAGGATTCCCGTGTTGTCGTCGGTTGCTAACCTGTGTACCGTTTCCTCCCAGCAAAGCTGCTGCTGTTGACCACCTCCACGAACTCCAAACTCCACGGCCGGGTGTTTCGAAACCCATAAGCTGTTGTGCATGTTCTCGGATTGCCTTGACGGGACTTCCTGAACCCGTCGACAAGCGGCATTCTCGGGGTGCAACCGACACTGGTCTGCTCGCTACTTTGGTTGTGTGAGCGGGCAACGTGTGCAATGTGCATTCGTTTTGGCCCCAAGCTCGTACCCACCGCATGCCGGCACTCTGGTATCATACTACGGGATACTATAGTTACCGTACCACGATGACTTGCAGTTGGTGATGCTCTGCTGCAGCGCCCCCAGCTCCTGCGCATGCTGCCGTTCCGTGTGGCAAGTCGACTGGCTACGGACTGCCGAATACCCACGCAAGAGCTTGGGCCGTTTCTGTCGACACGCTGCCACTGCCCAGAGCTCTGCGGCCCATCGTCCTGGCCGATAAATCCATACCTGCTCTCGAGTCTAGATGGATGGATAGGCACCTGTGGGTCGACGGATGGTTGATGGCTGGCACAACAGGAAGGCGAGCAGCCCCGCCCCATGCTTTCACGTTTCCCATTCGGCGATGTTGGTTCCGAGATTTTCTCCTGCCACTGACAGCCACGCCGAGCTTGCAGGGGTGTCCTGTAAGCGAGCTCGTGAGGTCTACCCTAGACGTCTCCGTGTGGTTTTAGTGGAGATGCTGTCGATAAATGCCTACACAAGTGGGCGAGAGCTGTGATGAGCACCGAAAAATATACCCCTTTCGGGCTTGTAAAGCGTGCTCACGACGAGGTTCCGGGTTGTTGGGGCTGTTGGGGCTAGGCAGGACGAAGAAACAAATCCCGGGGACTCCCCTCGACGCACGGTGCACCAATGTATTTGAGTCTCTTCCACGTCCCCCCCTCCTATCCTCTCGTTTCCCTTTTATTTCTTTTCCTTTTCTTCCCTGATATCCCTCTTATATCCTACTTACTTGTCGCTCTTTTCACGGATCTGGTGAGCCGATCGAACGGAAATTCAGTCGAAAAACGCGCCGGTCACTTCTAGCACCGCTCCGATTGTTCTGCCACCCCGCCAACGGCAGCCATGGGTGAAGTTATTCCACCGCCAACTGCGGATTACTGCTGGGAAGGACGGCTGGGGACTACGATCATTCTTCTATGCATCCTTTACGTCTTCATGAGTTTGAGGGTCAAGGCCGTCTATGGATTCGCGTATTCGAAAATTTCGCCTCGAGGCATCTCGGGAGCCTTTGTAATGCTTGCTACGGTTTTATGCACGATATAGTGATTATTACCCCTACCCCCCTCTCGCGTCAGGATGGAAGGGGATCACATTTGCTGACAGGTGTTTTGCTACTCTATCCAGTACGTGTATGGTTATTTGGAACTATACGGTGTGGTATAGAATCCGGGGTCTTTACGAGCACAGTGTAATGGTGGAGGATGAAGAAACTGCCGATCAATTGTTGGTGATATTGAGGAGCGTGATCCCGGAGAACAGAAAGGAGGTGGGGGTTTCCATGTTTGGTCCATCTTCGTTGCATGCGCTGACTTTTGGTGCAAACAGGTCTGCTTTACGATGCGGATGATGCTCGTCACCGTCCTCTGGCTGGTCAAGGGATCATTCGTTATGCCCTATTACGAGTTCGCCCAGCAACTTCCTCAGCGCACAAAGTTCCTTCTTTACACCATCACCGCCATCCTGCTCGCTTCCTACATCGGGCTGTGGATCGCTACAGCTGTGGAGATGGAAATGTCGTTGGCATTCGAGGGGTATATACCAATTGCGTGCGCAATACGTCCCAAAAGCTCAATTGGCTGATTCGTGAGGGAAACAGATTTAGCCCATCGGCCGGAGCCAGGGTCGTGCTCTTCACTCCTCCAAACACTTGGAGTACGTGGGCCGTCTCCGATGAGGAGCTGACGGGGAAACATGCTCAAGTGCCTTCATTTCTCGCCATCGAATGTATGATTACTTCGCTCAACGCGGCTACCGATGTTCTCCGTAAGACGCCCTCCCCCTCTTATCGCGCCCCCACATACTAACTAGCGCCCTCCAGTATTGATCCTTATCGTTTGCATTTTCCGGCATCTCAACCTCGCCGGCGGCAAGAACCACTACCGCGCCGCGTCTATGCTCATTGCTCTGTCAACTCTCTCGATCGTCATCGCCGTCGCTCGTCTGATCATCATGCTCACGGGGATGCAACGCATCAGCTTCCGCCTGGCCTTTGATTCCCTTACCGAATACGAAGCCTTCATCGCCGTCTGTGCCGCGTGCATCCCCGCCATGCGGGTTCTCGCCCGAGGTGGAGGAAGCAAGCTGATCGTTGGATTCCCCGACAACTGGGGCGCTTTCGGAAGCCGGCTCAGCAGGAGCATGAAATCCGTGCGCTCTACCCGCTCGCTGAACACCGCAACCACGAATACCACAACGACAACTGATTTTGAAGCCGAGAAGGAAGCTTGCTATGCTTCGGCGCAGGCCGACCTGGAGGGCTTTAGATCGCCGCCGCCGCCAATGCCCGAAATCAAGAACTCGCAAGTGGTGGTGGCGCAGCCGGTCTCAACAGCGTGTCATGGTGTCGGTATGCCGATGGGATGGTCGGACGTGGGCATGGATAAGCTCCGCGCTTAGATGGGATGAGAGGTTCTGTGTGTGTTCATCTTCTTGGGTGGTTACTTTAGTCTTTCGGTCGAATCCGGATTCTCGGACTGCCTTCTTTTCTTCTTCCCCTTCCTCCCACCGGAGCATTATGATAGATACCCATTTGGAATTGTTAAGGCACGGCGCAGAGTCAGTGCTTCGTCTTCTACCGTACTCTACCCTTGTTTCGCAAAGCCGTGGGGTAGCCATTTCTCGGCCGAAACGGTCGCTGTACATAACCCCACCGGTATAAAATGGCGGGGAGGGGAGGGGGGAGGGGGGGGGGTCTTTTCTTCCATCGTCTGTAGACTATCACCACGAATATCGAACTACACTACATACCTACCTAATGTCTGAGCACGTCTTTACCCCCATCAAAGGATCTCCTGAGGTCAATGACGTTACCGTGAAATTTTCGGACGATGAAGTCAGCAACCTCAACACGCTCGTAAAGCTGTCAAAACTCCCGCGCGAAACCTATGAGGGCAAGCATCGCCAGCTTGGCGTCACCAGTGCCTGGATGCGGGATGCTAAGGACAAGTGGGAGAACAACTTCGATTGGTAACCCTTCACACGGCCAAACAAACCGAATCCATTGATATCCCGTATGTAGCTGATATCGGGGGCCCCGTCCCCCCAACTATGTAGGCGTGCCACAGAAGCCAAGCTCAACGCGCTCCCGCAATGGACGACCAAAGTCGACGAGATGACGATCCACTTCGTAGGGATCCGGTCAGCACACGCAGACGCAGTCCCAATCTTGCTGCTGCACGGCTGGCCAGGCTCATTCTACGAGTTCTACCCGCTGATGCACGAGCTGCGCAAGAGCACCACTCCGCACTTCACCATCATCGCGCCGAGCCTGCCGGGGTACATGTTCTCGTCGCCGCCGCCGACCGACCGCGACTACACGCAGGGCGACGTCGTAACCCTGCTGCACCGCTTCATGGCCCAGCTCGGCGTCGGCCCGTACATCGCCATGGGCAGCGACATGGGCGCGCAGGCTGCCCGGGGCCTCACCGCCCACGAGGCGTGTCGCGGTTGTCACCGTACGTATCATACATACGCATAACCACATATATTCCGCCGAGCCTCGGCCCGGCGCGGATGGGACCGTGTTGGCTGACGAGGCGGGCAAGCAAAATATAGTCACGATGTTCCTCCCGCACGCAGCGGCGCGGTGCGCGGTCGCGGAGTTACCGCCGCACGAGGCCGAGGGCCTCCAGCGCGGGAAGCTGTGGATCGAGAAGTCCCGCGCCTACTCGATGATGCACGCGACGCGCCCCAGCACCATAGGCCACGTGCTCGCGAGCAGTCCGCTTGCGCTGCTGGCGTGGATCGCCGAGAAGTTCCTCGAGTGGACGGATGATGACCCCGACGTGGGGTTGGTCCTCGAGATGGCGAGTCTGTGGTGGCTCGCGGGGTGCTACCCTACGAGTATATACCCGTACCGCCAGCTTATGAATCAGACTGAGGCGTGGAGGGAGGAGTTTAAAATCAGGAAGCCGTTTGGGTTCAGCTGGTTCCCGAAGGAGGTCACGCCCCAGCCGAGGGCGTGGATTGAAGGCGAGGGAGATATGGTCTTCTTCAAGACTCACGAAAAGGTGGGAGATTGCCTGTCTGCCTGCCTGCCGCACATGCCCGGGTTTTTGCTGACGATGGAAGGGTGGTCACTTTCCCGCATTCGAGAAGCCGGTCGAGCTGGCGGAAGATATCGTTGAGTTTGCGAGGGCGTTAGACGTCCGGGAGAAGGAGAAAGCGTGAGAGACATGCTGGTGGTACAAAGTTTGTAGATGGCTCGAGCAAATTGAGAGTGGACGGAAGTCAAAATGAAAGAGGAAAAGGCCTGTTTTGCACACCCAAAAAGAGTGTAACATGACGCCCATGCACGATACCTATCCACATCCCACCGACCCACAAAATGAACGCAACGTCCGAGCGCACCACCATCACCATCGGCCGCCGCCTTGGTACGGAATATTCCATACGGAACATTCCATAGAAAGGTTCGAAATTGAAAATCTCCGGTTCATACTATATATGGCTACTGTAGTTTCCTACGATTGTGAGTGTGATTGTGATCGCCGGAAGTTCCCCCCCCCCCCCTAAACCCTTGTAGGAAGTACATAAAGCTTTCCTTTCCGAGCGACGGTTGTTGCGCGAGATCAACGTCATTCGCTCGGTCCGCACGGATCCCATGTCGATCGCGCGGGTGAGCTCAGGATTACGACGAGACCAAACAAAGCATGGTCCGAGGGGGTGATATATGGGCGGGGAGAGTTCAACGGCGATTTTTTTCCCAACGTTTGATCGACCTCAACCTCGAACCACGATCTCGAACTAAGCAGAAAGAAATGGCACCGGGAAATTTCAGTAAGGTCCGTCAAGCTTCTTCTCGTGACCCTCTTTATCCCAACTTGTTGACGTGCTGCTGCCCGAGCTAGGTCGGCATAGTGGGCGCAGGCTCCATGGGCACGCAGATGTCCCTGTTGCTCAGCGAACACAATGTTGTAGTCTCGCTCTTTGACGTCTCTTCCTCAAACATCGATTCCGCCTCCAAAACCATCGACAGCCAAAAGCCCCCCCAGAAGATCCAACTATTCGCTAAAGACTACGGAGCGTTTGTCGCCTCTCTCGACAAAGGCGGAGGAGGAGGAGGAGGTAGTGGTGGTGCACGCTGCTTCCTCCTATCCATCACCCACGGTGACCCCGTTGACCAGGTCCTGGACGCTCTGAAGCCGCACCTAAAGAAAGACGATGTCATTATCGACGGCGGGAACGAATGGTACAAGAATACCGAGCGCCGACAGAAAGATCTACAGAAGCTAGGAGTCGCGCTTATCGGCTGCGGAGTTTCGGGCGGCTACCAGTCTGCGCGCCGGGGGCCGAGCATGTCGCCCGGCGGCGACCCGCAGGTGCTGGAGCGTATCCTGCCACAGCTCCGGGAGTGGTGCGCGAAGGATGAAAGATCCGGAGAGCCGTGTGTGGCCGCGTTGGGCCCGGCGGGGAGCGGGCATTACGTCAAGATGGTGCATAACGGCATCGAGCAGGGCATGCTGGGCGTGCTCAATGAGAGCTGGGAGATGCTCTTCAAGTGTCTCCACACGCCGCTCGACGAAATATCAAAGATATTCTCGGCGTGGGCGAAGGATGGAGAACTGGTTGGGCAGCCCATCACTCGTTCGCGATGATCGATCCGCCACTGACGACAGATCGCATAGAAAAACAACTACCTCGTCACCATCGGCGCGGATATCTGTGGACGGAAGAAGGAGAAAGGCGAGCGAGGCCACATCCTCAACGAAATCCAGGACAAAGTCGTCCAAGACGCCGATGGCAGCGAGGGAACGGGAGTCTGGGCCATCGTCGAAGCCGCCAATCGCCACGTTTCGGCCCCCACCATCGCCGCAGCACACTTTCTGCGGATCGCATCTTCGAATCGCGCTGAGCGCCTCCAGGTTTTCGAACTTATCGGTGGATTCATCGCCGGCGCCAAGAAGCAGCACGTCGAAGGGAGTGAGAAGGAGGTGATCGAAGACCTTAGGCAGGCTGTGTATTGCGCGTTCTTGGCATCTTTCGTGCAAGGGATGAATCTCCTCGCGAGAGCGAACAGCGATGAGGGGTGGAATGTGAAACTGAGCGAGGTCGTGAGGATTTGGAGGAACGGATGCATCATCAGGAGCGATTACATCGCGGATCTGATCCAGCCCGTTTACGAAAAGCAGGAAGACCTGCAGAACTTACTGACGAGCAAGACTGTGGTGGAGGAAGTCAAGAAGACGTTTCCAGCGCTCAAGAGGACGGTCGCTAGAGGACTGGAATGGGACGCGCATATGTATCAATCCACATACCCACAAAAGATGGTTGAAAGAAGCTGACGTGGTAAGGCCGAGTCTGAGTGCGAGTATGGAGTATCTCAAGTACTGCGGCGGCAAGCAGCTGCCCACACAGTTCATGGAAGCCCAACTCGACTATTTCGGTGCCCATTCGTACGACAAGAAGTGCGAAGGACCCGGAGAAGTGAAGAAAGGTGAGTTCGTGAACCGAAGGGGCGATGCGAGTTTGACTGACACGGAAAGGGGCTCATCATCATGAGTGGAAGCCTGCTTAGTGTGGCGGTTGGCATGGCACAAAAAAGGGATCAGTTCGTGCTTTTCTTCCCGAATTCCACAGTGCGGGACCTTGATGGGGGGATATCTGGGATACTGGATCACAAAACATAATCCATCATATTCTCGGTATCAGTGAATAAACATAAATAATAAATTGGGACAGTGAAGGACAACCGAATATTAAATGACACATATTTGGGTAGATTGGTAAGAAATGATCTGGTGCTCTAAGCGTGAGTAACAAGGTAAGTGAGAATGAAAGTACATTTCTTCCTTTTAAACGGGCAGTCCAAAGCAAGTGAGGTAATAAAGAGAGAATACCGGTACAGGAGTGTTGATGGGGAATTTCTACATACTATGGTTCGTCTTAATAAGTCACCAAGTATCTAATAGTCTGCATTGAGCAGGTGATAATCAGGATTTAAGGGATCAAACTCGTGGATATAATCGCATAAAACTACCATGCTACTCATATGTAACTTCCTATCCAACTTCGCCAGCAAGTGCCTAACCCTGAATGCCAAGTGACGCTTCTTTTTCAGCGGGAGCTCCCACCTCAGATCCAACGCCCTGCGCGGTTTGCACGCGCAGAACAGTCTCGTCGCTGGAATGAAAAGTCCGCACTCACTGCAGTTGGAGCACTCCCTGCCCCAGCCATGCTTCGGCAGCAATCCGTCGCGCACACCGACGACCAGCTCTCGGCAGTGGCGGTACTGGCCGATGCGGCGTTTCCACAGCCAGACGCCCCTATTCTCGGGGGTTCCGGTAGCGAGGCCGGCGTGGCAGGTGATACACACGCCGATGGAGCGGCGTGGGGCCCGCGGGTACACGGCGAGGAAATGGTAGCTAGGCCGGTACTTGGCGCAGTGCTTGCAGAAGCGGAAGCCGCTCTCCGAGAGCATCGCGCTCGTCGTGATGATGTTGCGCTTCTTTGGCACTCCGAGCGCGCTGCGTAACTGGCGGTTGGTCTGCGCGAGGGAGATCTTGCTCGCCGCTGGTAGCTGCTGCGATATGGTGGAGATCAGCTCCGTGGGGAGCGTGTTAAGAGACGGCATCGTGTGTAATGGTGCGAGGCTTCGGTCGGTGGTATGTATGATAATGCTCGGGACGACGGGAGAGCTCGTGATGGGATATCTTGGGATATGCAGGGAGCTGTAGCTTCAATGGCGTTAGCTATGTACATATATCGCAGAGATGAGGAAAGGATTCCAACCAGAAACCCGAAGAGATCCGGCGATGAACCAATAGAACGTCTCAATGGAGGAGAGTTCTCATCGAACCATCCGATTCTTGCTGGGAGTGTTTGCACTGAAGCGGAAACCCGTGACTTCTTTCCGGGCTGGAATCGCTTGATAGGAAGAGTGTGTAGTGTGTAAAGGGCGAAGCTTCGAGGCAGGCACGTAGAAGCGAAATAGCATCTATATATCAGCCAACAATGGAGGCTGTGAGAAGCAGGTCTAACTGTGTACCATGACGGATAATTCGCCCTTTTTCTCATGCACGACTTGGTGGGGATTGGGTTCCCCGTCCAAACCTCAAGTTGTTTCATGGCTCATGCACTTCTCCTCATTTCACCACCAAGTTTGTATGCAGAATCAAGGTTGGAATACATATATAACCTCACGTTTGTATGTAGTCACTGCCGTGCACTTTAGATATGTAACTCCAGGAGTCCGGGGTTCTGCCCAAAACCTGAGTGACGTCTTGTGTATCATCCGAACCGCGTGGGCGAGTTAATTGACAGGTTCCAAATGATTACCAAATCGAGCTAGAGCTGAATGGCCTCTTGAGGATGTATCCCCCCTAAGTTTGACACTATCGGCTGAACATTGCCAATCACTCGTTAAAAGTATTTCTACCGCTGGTTTTTCAGCACCTCAAGGCTCATTCAACTTGGCGCAATCGCAAAAACGTGCAGATACCAGACCAGCCATTCCTCTATAACTTAATAGCAGTCCATAGACGGAGCCAATAGACGAAACAACTCCGATTCCACCCCACCTAGCTACTCACTCAATCCTGAAGAAAAATGTACTTGGAAACGAAAAAGCGGAGTGAGATAGTAGTACTCAAGGAAAACGCCTCTCTTCGACGTTTTAATAGTTTTTGAGCCCGTCTTCGGATGTGCGACGCCGTGACCCAGCCACGCTTTACACTTTGAGCACCGGTCTAGATGAGCTGGACACTGCCGATAGGTATACGGCGGTCTCGAACGTCGACGTGTAGATTCGGTAGGCATATTCGCCTAGCATGTCTCTGCATTTCGTTGGCATAGACATGTAGGAGCTGCGTAGCCACATAGAAGCTGTGGTGGATGAGACTTTTGGGAGCAAGGCTGGAAGTCTCGTCTCTTTTGAATCGGGGTTGTCCCTTCACTGGATTTTTCACCGCGCACTCGGGCTAGAATCTGTGATTAACTACCCCCGAGCTTTAACCTGGCTATGATCACTGATCGTCATAGCGTTACGAGCTGGTATTCGTTGCTCAAGGGGAGGAAAAAAGTGACTGTTCGCAGGATCGAACTGCGGACCTCTTGTGTTCATCTGTGAATGTGAGACAAGTGTGATAGCCACTACACCAAACAGCCCTTTTTTTTATCTATCACCCATAATTACGGCATATATTCCAAGCAAAGAGTAGTGTGTATGCTGCTGTGCTGGGTGGCCGGCTCGAAACTCAATGGCTCTGGTCATTTGCCATTGACGATGGGGCTCTAACTACTAGTCAAGTTCGGCGAAACCAAGAATAGGAGGTACAACGGAAAGGACGAGCAATGATCTAATGAGAAATGCGCAGAACTCGTACTCCAAGCCTCTCAGACTAATGGTGTCAACAGATTCCCCCGTAGCCGACCACCTTGTCTCGGAATCACTACTGGTACTACTCATGAACATGTATGGGAAGTAGGTGTGCAAATCCTAGCTAACATCTGCAATTGTGAAGTTAGTGGCTGCCGTTGTAGCCGCCCGCGCTGATCAGCACAGCTCCGTGTTCCGGATTCGCGCTTACGCAATAGGCACTCGACACGATAGTTGACATTCCCACAATGGCCTATCATCCATCACTACTTCCGGGACGGTGTCGACTGGCGTTTGGTGACTATTCTTTGCAGCAAATTGTTGGCACTTGTACAGCGCCCGGAAATTCTTCATCTTGGAATTATTTTATCGGCTAACATCTGAAATGCCATAGTTTTGGGAGAAAGTCTAAAATGCCATAGTTTTTTCGACTGCATCTAATCTCATTCCAGCACCGGGCCTGAAATGATTCCCTTCCTTCCTGAAGGCTGTGCCGGGAGTATAAGGTACATGGTGGTCGCATGGGAGTATGTAGCGGTACGAGTGAGTCAATCTTCGTAGAGACGCCCTATATCTCCCCTAGCTTCCGACGCTGAGTTAGGCTGGGCCGTGGATGGGGAAGGACATGTGGGTGCGGGATTTGATGTTAATTATCGGTGGCCATAACTGGAGTGGGTATGGGAATCACTCGGTTATAGGGCTCTGGGCCTTCCGAGAGTAGGTAGCCCACCAGCAGGGCGATTGAGGCATCGACCATGATCATGGAGCTGAAATCCATCCAATCTAGGTATACAGTTATTGACCAGCTACGGCAATGCTCACGTTCGGCGGAGCTGCTAGTCTGGAGTCCTGTCGACATAGGTACCTACGGTGGATATGGGAGGATATGGATTGACATGGGAAGATATGGATTGATATGGATTGATATGGGAGAATACGGATTGATATGGGTGTATACGGTACCTCGAGGCCAATGTGGGTCAATACTAGTAATTCACAAGTCTCGAATCGCAATACTTGCGGTACTTAGATAAAAACTGTCGAGGCGACAGAGATGTGATGGGGCGAACGAGGATTTTTTATTGTATTATGTGTTACCTCCTGTCGGCGGAATCGAGGCTAGTGCCTCGCAGCGTCGAAGCAGGCGATACCACAGCGTGAGATAGAAGAATCATCTAGACGCTTCGTCCTTATTATTGTCCATCGGGAGCACCCACCACTTTGTAGGGTTCGGTTTCATAAAAACCCCCGTGTGGTCTAGTGGTATTGACTGCGCAATCGACGAGGGAGTTGAGGGAAAGCTGCCAGTCAAAGCCCGAGTGTAGATCTGCGTACAGCTCTGGGGTTTCCAAACCACCTGGCGGGGGGGGTGAAGGTTTTTTGTTTTTGGCATCATGGACGGAGCACGGAATATCACTCGGTGGTTTCATATGACACGCCTTGCGATGCCGGCTCCTTTTTATGGTTTAATCATCATTGCATTCGACCTTAATAGATCATGGTAGATTCCATATCCGTTTCCACCCGGCTATCACAGAGAAATACCCTCAACATTAGGAACAGCCTCCATCTCCCACCCCGATCTACTTCCAGAAGTACAGACAAGTGAGTGATGCCCACCAAAAGAAAAAAGAAATCAAAAGAGATACAAGCCATGAAGAAAACCAGGTGAAAATCAAAGAAACATATTCGCTACTGCAGTGTCCTGTTCGCTGTACCCTGTGGTATCTCCGAAAAAGAAACAAGAAAAAACCTGCCCCCTTTTAAAAACATCGAAACTCCCGTCAACGCAACCAGACTAATCGAGTCTTTCCTTCTTGATAGTGACTCCCAAGTCCCCCTCGTCATCATCCGGGCGGACGTGTTGGAGGCCGTCACTGCGGACCGCCTGAAAACGGGAGCTGAATTGGTTGGCATGTACAAACCCGTTCTGGCTTCCGAAGTAAGTCACCAGTCGAGAATGACCCTAGGCGAGGAAACTGCTGGTCTCCTGCGGTTGCTACTGCAACTGTCTGCGAAGTTGCTCGTCTTGCAGCAACTGTTGCTGCTTGAACCTCGAGGAGCGTTTCCGGGCGTGGAGAGGCTGCGGGGCACGAAATCCGTGCCCGTTGGCGGGCGACTGCCACAATAAGTGGCGGGCCGATAATAGGCTGCCGCCGAGGCGGCGCCGATTTCTTCCCAGTTCGAACTGCCGGAGGGCCCACCTGCACATCAGCATCTACCCTTCACGATCTAATCAACAGGGACAGGCGACATCCTGGGCCGAGACCTTCTTCAACGCCCTCTTGGCGCTGGCGGTGCCGAGTGGCACGGAAGAAACCCTTCCGATCTGTGAGTGGAGGATGTTAGTGTAGATGAGAGAGGTAGTAGGGGAGAGGGTGACAAACGGGTAAGAAGCTCGAGAAGATGGTTGTTGCATCGGCGACGTGAAGCGAGGCTCCATGGCGGTTTCGAAATTTTGGGGTATGAGCGGACCCTCGGAATCGGCTTCAGCACCGTAACTGCGGTGCTCTTCCTCGGGGTCGTTCTCAGGATCGAGCTCAGTATGCGGTTCGGGGCTCATTATTGTCTCGATATTGGGAAGTTGTTCCGCAGCGGTGCGATTGATCTGCCACGCGCCTGGCCTGTTAGCTAGAGCGCCTGGTGGAATGGCGATGCCGTATATGAAGTCCATGGTTGCTGGACTGGTTCGTCGATGTTTGTGAGATTGGTGGGGTGTGGATGTTTGTGAGATTGGTGGGGTGAGGTTGTAAACACCTGGAGGTGGAAGCGGATACTCCCACAACAGCACTAGCGTCTAGTGCGGCTCCTGTATACAAACCTGACTAAGCGCCAAGCGCTCCGAAACCGGCGTATAACGGCGCAAACCACTCAAAAAAAGCGAACAGTTATCTGAGATAATATGGTACCTCCTGACGAAGGCATCGAGGCCAGTGCCTCGGAGGGTTGGAGCAGGCGATACAGTAATGTGAGATGGAAGAATCATCTAGACGCTTCGTCGTGATTATTGTCCATCGCGGGGCACCAACCACTTTGTAAGGGTCGAATTCATGTATCTAGCACGCAAAAACCCCCGCGTGGTCTAGTGGTATATAGGCTGCGCAATCGGCGAGAGAGTTGAGGGAAAGCTCCCGGTTCAACCCGGGTGCAGATCTACGTACAGCTCTGGGGTTTCCAAACCACCCGACGGGGGGGTGAAGGTTTTTTGGTTTTGGCATCACGGATGCAGCACAATATATCACTCGGTAGTAGTTATCATGTGACACGCCTTGCGCTGCGGGAGGGTTTTTTGTTTAATCAGCATCGTATTCGACCTTCATAGATCATGGTAGATTACATATCTGTTTCCACCCGGCTGTCATAGACCGCTGGCCGCGAGTAATTCAGTAGAGCTTTATGCACGAGATATCACTCGCCACATCCCCAAAAAGCGATTTTAAAATGGCATCTCCTTTCAAGCCTCACGCGGCGGGAGCTTGACTCAGAGCATACGCATGGGAGTGATAGAGGTAGCTGTAAAGCCACGGAATACTTGTGGGAAGGGTGAGAATCTTGAAGTCCGCGTAATCGAAACGGCTGACTTGATCCTAGATACCCCGATGGTAGAGAAGAAGTTGCTGGCCATGACTTTTTGTCACATGGATCTCACTCGCGGGAATTAGCGGCGTACCCGGAGCCACTCAATCAAGCTGATGGAACGACCAAAGGATACGAACACCCGAAAGCTCATCGCCGAGTGTCGTCCGTCACAGATATTCCGGCCGCAAAAGCATGAAACCCAGCTACAGATCTTGCTCCCGTACATAGAAGTCTGGCGCTGGAATACACCTCAAGCACTAAGGCCTACACGCAGTAAGGATAACAAATTACCCTGTAGCCCGAGGTGGGGCAGATATGTGGCGGGCGGGCATGGAGGAGACCTAACGACTCCTCATTGGGAACGCCAGGCTCGAGCCTCGGAGTGCTCGGGGTTTCCAAATTCCAACAGATAACAAAGCTAGTTTGTACGCCCGTCGATCTTGCTTCCAAGTATAGCTCGCCGCTCCTCGCAGCCTGGAGTCCTGGACAGACTCGGTGTTAAGTTTCAACTTCGAGACTTAAGTAGCCGTCAGTTACCAGTAGGTAACTAATAGTGGCGATCGTTAAGATCACCATTTATTGGGCCTTTGGGCTGGCATAATTGCATTCAGTTACATACACAATCGAGGAGTGGCGATCCATTCAGGACTTCTTACTCTTGGTTCCATGACGAGATATTTCATCCAGCCAAGCACGTGAAAATCGTATGTTTGCCACACTACCTACTTGGCCAGCGTCAGAGCCGGAATACCTAGACAGCATGTCTCGCCCAGCAACGTCAGCTTGATTACCGAGTTCACATCTCGTCTGAGTCCGACTCGGACTGTCCGAGTCGATCGAAAGCCAGACTGCCACAGCACACAGCACACTGCCGGGCCAGGAACCGGCGGTGCCGATATGTAGAAACCAGTATGCACGGGGCGTCGGGGCCTATCATCTATGGTCTTTGCAATCCAAAATCTCGCTTTAGTTGCTATCTGCATCTAGATTCTAGAATGTACATATTACCTATTGTGGGTCGGGTCGACCGTCGGAACACAAAATTCGTCAGTACGGTCGATATTTCTGGTACTCTATCTTCTATGACCTGCTGCTGTTGATGCGCTGCGCAGTGATCGCCCGACGCCCAGGGATCTCCTGTAGGCTGTAATATTGCGAGGCGAGGCGGGGCGGAAGCTATAAACAGGTACATAAACACCTACATAGTACATACTGGTCAGCTCCACCGCCGAAAGATAAGGTGCTTAAGCTAAAGCACTGCGCGGATCGGATCGCAATGATAGATTGTAGCAAACCCGGAACGCGAACGATGATGCGCGGTTTTGTCCGATGCGCGTTGGAACTTGGATGAAGTGAGGAGGCGGACCGGAACATGATGAGGAATCCCGTGTGAGGGAGGGGGTGGCGTTTGCTGCCCTGGATTTGGCTGGGATTGTCTCTGATAGCTATAACATAGGTGTCCGGCAACGCAGGCCAGCATGGCTTCTAGCCCGCAGAGATGGTCCTGCTCGTATAGAATCGGGAATTGATTGATATCGCCAACCTCAACCTGGCCAGCTAGTCGGTGCGTACTTTTCTCCTGGGACCTGTGGATTCGGAACCGTGCCAGTCAGCGATGGAAAACCAGAATGATGGTTGTGCCGTGTGAAACTGCACATTTACGCGGGCAGTAGGTATGCCTGCCATCGAAGTGGCGGCAATGCACGCTCAACTCCTGGCTGCGGGGTTGGCACATACAGGTATGCAGAAGAAGTGCAAGATCCATGGGAAGGATTGTATGTACAATACATACTTCAGAGTCGACTTCCGGAGAACACTGTTTACGTCCATACTTGCACTCGAGTCTCGACCACTGCTTTGGGGTTGAGAAGCCGAAGGAAGTAGAATGGGAAGATAGGGGGTGTATATACCACTGTTATTTAAGCCCTATATCGTGAGCCGGCCAACATGCCTTCGATGAGTCCATTATGATCTGCGCGCCGAGGTCCATAGCTCTCTCGATAGGTTTCAAGCAATCCCGGTTGATGTGATAAGATCTTCAGAGCTGCAGAGCATCAAATAATTTCCGAGCGAAACCACAACTGGCCTGCAAGCTATGGTTCAGGCGAAGCCGATATCGATACCGATTGCGGGCCTGAGACGAGACAAGACAAACATCCCGCTGCGCTACGATGTGGATCCTTCGGATAGGCGGGGGGAGAGAGACACGGGTTCGTCGTACACGACATGGATGCCTTACGTGCCTGCGTACCTGCGTGCTTGCGTGCCTGCACAAGACGCATCGGTGAACCTGCTTTTAGGTGCAAAACAACACAGCTTTGCGGTAAGCTGCCTGGCGGGGATGGCGGAGGATGTATGTGGAGTGGCTGTTTTTTTTTTGTTTTTCGTTCGATGATTGATTGCATGCGACTGTGGAGGGATTGCCATGACTGGCCGGGCTCGCCGAAGGGAAGGGAAAGGCGAGCGAGAAGTTGTGCAATTGCAGTTTGGAGCAGGGGTGACGTCTATGTTGACAGCGGGTCCGCTTGGGTCACAACGAACGGCGTCACTTCTTGAGAAGGTGCCTGGCGCGCAGGGCGGAGAATAATCCCTGGAGAAATCTAAAGTGATCCTCAATTCTAGAAGGCGGCGGGGATTATGGACTCTCCTGGCGACGGAACGCTTCCATAAACGAGCTGCAGGAATATGGGATTCTCCTGGCGACAAAACGCCTCCACAGATGAGCTGCAGCACTATGCATGCGCGCCATGGGGTGAGGGAGAACTTAGCTACATACACTACCGGTACACTACACTACGCTGTAGCACATCCATGCTGGCCGAGGATGGGGCTAGGGGGCTGACCGACCGGACACTGGAGTAACAAACAGCGCTGGAGCCGGGCATGATTGTTATTGTGGTGGCGGAGTCGGCCATGGAGGCGTCGCCTGGCCCTACCGAACCAAGCAGGTGAGGTCAAGGCTACTCGGGCGTGCGTGAGTGACAGCCAACAAGTGACGATTCTGTCCGTCCCACTGGGACTCGGAAGCCCAAGCTCTGGCCACGGTTGGCTGATTGGCTAGCTGGTGGTATGCAGCTGGCGACGGAGTGGCTGGCTTGTGCACTTGTGTAGCTCTCGCCTCACCTATTTACATACTATCTTCTGGACCGTGGTTAACTGCGGTTGGTGATACCAGGTTTCGCGGTTCTTCCTTGGCTATGACGGACATTCAGAGCAACAGTGCTTGCTGGTTATGGTGTGCATTAGATCATATGCTCACCAATCGAGCTGCAGACTGCATCTTCGTCGCTCGTGGCCCAGAGGCAACAGATACAGTAGGCCGGTTACCATTCATCAAGTCCATTCGCTTTAGTCCGTGTGGATTAGCGGTACCCAGTACGTCCATGTTCGGCGGATAATCCCTTATTTTTGTTGTTGTTGTTATTATTGTATATTTCCCTGCTGACTGAGTGAGGGCTGGTTGACAGCATCTATTCGGAATTTCGGAAAAGCTCTGTTGGTTACCATCACCTTCCCGTGAGCACCTGTACCCGTGTCTCCTACTCCAGTTCCGCTCCCACCTTACATAATACGGACAATTGTTCACCTTCGCCTTTTTCGGATTCCTGGTGTCTCGTCTTTCCCATCACCACTCCATCTCTCTTCTTCCAGTTCGGTTCCATTCTCCCTTCATTTCTCCCTTTGTTTCCTCGTCACAGGATATCCCGGCGCATTCCAACTCCCACACCAGCTCGCTCCCCCTCCTCGTTTCCCTCCTCGTCCACCGCCGTAGCTGTCGAAGAAACACGCTCGTTCTTTACCCAAAACTCTTCGTACTACCTAATTCAACTCCTCTCCCGATCCTCACCCCCTCGCACCCCGCCAACTTTGTCTTCATGACCGCACGGCCACCAGTACGCACAAGCGCTGGGAACCGCGGGTCCTCCTCCTTAAGCTCTGTGCCCGTGCTCCCCGCCGCCTCGCACGGGGATTCCATCACTCCCGTAGGCGGAAGGACACCGTACGCATCGGCGCCCGCATCAGTGCTGGGATCGACGACCGGATTCACGTCGCAGCCGGGTTTGCGAGTGCCTGGCCGCTACTTTCACAGCAGACGTATAAAGAAGGAGGACGTGCGGAAGCCGTGGACGGAGACCAAGGACCCGCGCGAGAAGTGGGTGACCATAATACCCTGCGTCGGACTGCTGGTCGGCTTGGTGGTGTGTGCGCTGTTGGTCTGGTCCGGCCTCAAGTCAGTCGTCAATCACAAATACTGTCCCGTGTTGATGGAGGATTGGAGTGGTGGGTTCGATGAGAACATCTGGACGAGGGAGGTGGAGGTGGGAGGGTTTGGGTGAGTTGGCTCTTATTGGGCTCTGCTCTGTGAATCTGTCTTTCTCGGGCAATGTGCTGAGCAGGTTCGGTTTTTCTCGGCAGGAACGGTCAATTCGAATACACGACCAACCTCGAAGAGAACTCGTATGTCGAGGATGGTGCGTTGCACATCCGACCGACACTTATGGACGAAAAGCTCCTCACGACCAACGGTGCCATCCTCAATCTCACGCAGATGGGCATCTGTTCATCGGACGTTCCGTTCAACTGTGTTTCCTCCACTAACACCACGAACGGAACCATCATCAATCCGGTGAAGTCGGCGCGTATCAGCACGAAAAAGGGCGCATCCATCACGTACGGGCGGATCGAGGTGGTGGCCAAACTTCCGGCGGGCCTTTGGCTATGGCCAGCGATCTGGATGATGCCCGTCGATGACACGTACGGCCCATGGCCCGCGTCGGGCGAGATCGATATCGCCGAGAGTCGTGGAAACAACGCAACGCACCCGCAAGGCGGGAACGACATCATCTCGTCTACGCTCCACTGGGGCCCCGATCCGGCCAACAACGCGTGGTGGAGGACAAACGTTAAGCGAAAGGCTCTGCACACCACCTACGCGGATAAATTCCACACGTTCGGCCTCGAGTGGAGCGAAAACTACATCTTCACATATGTCAATTCCCGCCTGCTGCAGGTTCTCTACACAAACTTCGACCAGCGTCTTTGGGACCGCGGTGCCTTTCCTCTCGCCAATAGAAATGGCACGAGGTATATCGATCCGTGGGCCAAGACGGGCAGACAGAACACTCCGTTCGACCACCCGTTCTACCTGATCCTCAACGTCGGTGTGGGCTCCACCAACGGCTGGTTCGAGAACGGCAAGCACGGCAAACCATGGGTCGACGGCAGCAAGACGGAGAGGAAAGATTTCTGGGACAGGAAAAACGAGTGGTATCCATCGTGGCAGAAAAACGGTGAGATGATCGTCAAGAGCGTCAAGATGTGGCAGCAGTGCGACTGAAGGTTTGAGACTCAACCGTGACCCGTTTTACATGTGTACAAGCGAATGCACACTTCTTCACCTCTGTTTCCGGTTGGGAATGTTGTCTTTTTTTTTCCTCTTTTCTTTCTGTCCAAGATCTCATGTTTTCTCTCTTGCTGGGCTGTTACGATAGGGGCATCTCCACGAGTACCGTATGGCATCATCATATGTTTGTTTTTCTTTTTTTACTGCTAGGCGTTTTCCGGAGCGGAGGAAGAATTCTACATACATAGGGTGCTCAGCAAGTGTGTGTGTACGTACTTACCAAACTATCTCTAGGAGTTAATGGAATGGAATCGGATACTGTATTGTAGAAAATAGCTACCCCCTTTCCTTCCCCCCGGAGTCCCGGCAGCATTCCTTGTTTCGGCGAGTGAGAGCGTGATTTTTTCTTTCTCGTTCGGAATGAAGCGGAGATGGGAAGTGCACTGCAGGGCTGAACTGTTACTGAAAAAACTGCCGTGGCCCGGTGCTGGTGCTGGTGCGGGTGCTGCGGTGCGGTGGAAAAAACGTGGAGGAAGGCAAATACATAGGAGGGTTCGCCTGTTTTATCTTGTTTGTGGGCAGGCCGTGTCTTGGATGTGCTACCAAAGATGGCATTTCCTTTTCTGCTGCGCATGAAGAGTCGAAGTCTGGAAGTCTGGAGGTCTGGAAGTGGTCACTGGTTAGGACTTCGATATTGCACCTGCATACCCGTAGGGCCATATACGGCTTTTTTTGGTTCCGGCAGCGGTGGGAATAGAGTGCAGATCCGTTAAGCCACACAAGTCGTGAATTCTCCGCGTCAAAAGGACAGCAAATGAGCCTCTTTAGGCCCATCGATCAGAGGTTTCCTAGACGCTGGGGGGGGGGGGGATGGCTTTCTGAGCTGGAGGTGAATAAGACTGCCGATCTGTTGATGCAAGCTACGGTATCATACGGTTTGGGAATGTGATAGCCTCTTCAGGAAGCGACGATCGCAGGGCAGTGCATAGAGATAAGTGGACGTTAAATGCACTTATTCTGTGTCCTCGGAGGTCGATTGTACTCAGCTACGGGGAACACGGCTTGCTTCAAGCCCCAGTACATACCGTACTCGTAACTCCCGCCTGCGTCTCAGCATTCCGCCGCCGCCACAGTACCTAGATTGTATACCAGGTATGCTACATGCATAAATACATACCGTATTTCATCTACAGCCAAGGTTCGCCGAGGGCACATCATCTACATACCATGTGTCCTAGGATTTTGTTTATCCGGATCCGTGGTGATAACGATTCACCCTGATATGTCACTGCCCTGGTATGTGTCTGGAGTTCGTGTTTTCTGCTCCACATACTGGGGATACGGTGGATCAGGTCGGTGGAGCAGCCTTCGGGTACGAGGAGTGGCCGAGGACTACCGCCGACTCCCGAGAATCATACATACCTGCCACACTGAAGTCGCAGGAGTGTAGGGTGTCTACGAGTCAGATTTAGGTATGTACACGGCCACCAGCTTCCCATTCAGGCATTTCTACCGCTGGCGGATAGGTACCGTTTATTTCGCTCGAAGGATGTAGGGTGCAAATGTATCTCATCTCTTAGCTAATGCACTGCAGCAGTGCAGCATTAAAAGTGCACCTGGACATACGGCCGCCGTAGTTCGGTGATTGATGCTTGCGCTTTACTTCGTACATGGCAGGAGGGAGCGAGTGATATACATCTCTTCTTCCCACACGCCCAGGCTCAGATTCTCGGTATTTTGCCCTGCCGTATGCTAGCTCGGACTCGATCGTGGATCACCGCCAACTACTGCTAGCGCAGGTCACAGAGATGGCCGCTTGCTGCCGCAACTGGTTCGCGTGACAGCACGTGGTACAAAATATCGGAGCTGGTAGAGAGAACGGCGGTGGATACGAGTATCGAGTTTATGTAGACTGCCCTTTGTGGCGTCGTTGGAGGCGGTTGGGTATATGTAGCGAGGATGATGTTGTGGATTTGCCTGCGCCGGTGTCTCGGAGGAGCCGATCTGCACAGTGATATGTACTTGCAATGCTCTGTGTTGCGTGCTCTAGTGATGCACCAGTGAACGAAGGAGTGATCTGATCTTCTCCGGGTTAGGTGCGTTTATGTGACCCTGTGCTGTCGTCCATTGCGGATTGATGTTGTGGTTCGGTGCCACAGAGCCAGCGTCGCCGTCGGGCATCTGCTTTGCAAGCTGTGCTTCCTTCCGGATCCGCTTCGATTCCCCAATTTACTTTTGCCTCCATTGAACAGAGGGAAAGGAAGATAGATAGACCACTTTTTTTGTGCCTAGGGTACTGCACTGCTACGAGCTATCTTCCCTTCCTCCTCCTCCTCCGCCTCCTCCTCCTCCGCCTCCTCCTCCTCCGCCTCCTCCTCCTCCGCCTCCTCCTCCTCTCCTCCTCCCCCTCCCCTCTTGGAGTTTTCTTCGCCATCGCTACTCTGCTTTACTGTCTTTCGTTACATTCGCTGTGCCCCCTCAATTACTCTCTTAGTTCTCGTTCTTGGTCTCGATCTTCATGTTCAATTGAAAAAGTAGCCTGTGCACACAGACGGTCGTGGTTGTGGTTGTGGTTCGTCGCTCTCTCACACTCCGGCTTCAATCTAGCTACCACTCTCCACCGTACCTCGATCGAACGTAACCATCAAGGCTCCAGTCTCCGGTTCCCTCTCCATCCCCACCCACCGTACGAATAGTCTTACCACCCGCAATACCGCGGACAGTAGCGACCGTTCGCACACTCCTCATCAAGATGGGACTGATGGACTACTTCCGCAACAAAGCTTCGTCGAAAGCAGCCGCATCGAAGGAGAAGAAAGAGAAAGAAGCGTCGAGTCCAGTGCAGCTGCTACCGCCGCCGCAGCTGGGAATGCTCAGTGGGAACAGCTCGGGTATCGTGAGTACGGTTTCGTCGACGTTCGTGGATGATATCAAGCATGAGGTCATGGTCAATTACCTGTTTCAGCAGCAAGCGGCGATGATGTGGGGAAATCCCATGGACCGGAATAGTTACTACGGAGCTGCGAGCGTCAGTGGAGCAGAGGAGGGAGTGTTGCTGAGAAAGAGCAAGGGGTACTATTTGGGGTGCCCGCCGGAGCTGGCGAGGGGGACGCTCGCCGAGGCATGTACGGCTTTGAACATTCAAGTATTTCCCCACCCGTGTACTTTGCTGCGGGGTTCCGGTGTGATTGGAGCTGAAAATTTCGTCTCGGCAGGTCGCAATGACCATTCACTCGCGAGTCGTCAAGACATTCCTCCAGTGGTCGCCGGATGCTGTGGATGTCCCGCTACTCAATGGCCTGCGCATCCAAATCCTACCCACATTGGCGGATCTCCCGCGAGCGCGAAAGTACCAATTCGCCGCTTTCATTGCCGACACAGCGCTACTGATCGTCTGGGACGATGACGCACTCAACATCATTGCGCGAGCGAAGCAGATCGAGAACGAGCTCATGCAGCTCGTGTGGAGGGTTCCCGGCACCGACGGAGAAGACGAAGTGAAGGAGGCCAAGCTTGCGCAGGCGTCGATGGAAGAGGTCGTGATCGACGAGGAGAGCGGTGAACTCGGGTACCGGGAACGAAGGCCAACGATGCTGCTGAATACCATTCTCGTTGCGCTCACGCTGACACTGGTCTTCTGTATGTTGGGTGCTGGATGGAGGCAGATTGCGATTCAGACGGCGGTTGATGGGAATTACATGCGCATGGCATTCATTGCGTTGACACCGATTCAGGTGTTCTTCACCCTGGTAAGCTCTGTGACTCCTTGAAAGGACTAACAGGATTGAGCTGACGGCGGGTCAAGTTCTTTGCGCAGGTCATAGTTGGCTGTTTGGCACAGTGCTTCGGCCCCGTCTCGCAGCTGACCGTTAACTCCAAATATTACTCGGCGAAACCACCGCCGAGAATTCGGACTCCAACTCTGCCGCACGTCACCATTCAATGCCCTGTTTACAAGGAGGGTTTGGAGACCGTCATCGCTCCCACGATGAAGTCCATCAAGCAGGCTATTTCAACCTACGAGCTGCAAGGCGGGACTGCAAACATCTTCATCAATGATGATGGATTGCAGCTTGTTAATCCAGAGGAGAGGCAGGCAAGAACCGAATTTTACTCTGACCACAACATTGGCTGGGTTGCGCGGCCAAAGCATGGAGAGGATGGTTTTCTGCGACGCGGAAAGTTCAAAAAGGTACTGTGGTTCATTCATTCGATTACTCAACAGCGACGTTGGAAGAAAGTTTTAAACGGCTAGGATGATCTCAATTGCTTTTTGCGTTGTATCGATAGCACTGGCCAACGGTCGTTGTTGTGTGACCACGGCCGCTGTTGATCTGGTTGGGATCTGCAGTTCCCTGCAAGCGACAAGGCAAAGATAGCATGCGATTGACTAACGCATTTTCGGTCTAGGCCTCGAATATGAACTACGCCCTCATGATCTCCTGCAAAGTCGAGGAGAAGCTTGCTGAAATTGAGCGCGGCGAGACCTGGACGCAGGCGCAAGAAGCACAGGCGTACGAGCGATGCCTCAAAGAAGTCCTCGAGGAAAACGGAAGGGCTTGGGCAGACGGCAACGTACGTGTGGGAGACTACATTCTGCTCAGTAAGTCGCCATCTCTCCCTCTTTCCATCCATTGTCCGTTGTTCTGTTTTACGTTGTTTTACTTTTCTAACGGAGATGCACATATGTAGTTGATTCTGATACTCGTGTTCCATCCGATTGCCTCCTAGACGCCGCTTCTGAAATGGAACGATCACCGGAGGTCGGCATCATGCAGTTCAACTCCGGCGTCATGCAAGTCGTCAACCATTACTTTGAAAATGGAATCACCTTCTTTACGAATCTCATCTACACGGCTATCCGCTACACCGTGGCCAACGGCGATGTCGCCCCTTTCGTCGGACACAATGCGATCCTTAGGTGGTCGGCGATCCAGCAGGTATCCTACATGGACGAAGATGGCTACGAAAAGTTTTGGTCGGAATCACACGTGTCCGAAGACTTTGACATGTCCCTGCGTCTTCAGTGCAACGGTTACACCATCCGACTCGCGGCATACACGGGAGATGGCTTCAAGGAAGGGGTTTCGCTTACTGTGTACGACGAGCTTGCGCGTTGGGAAAAATATGCGTACGGCTGCAACGAGCTACTTTTCCATCCCCTCCGCTTCTGGCCAGTCCGTGGACCCTTTACCCCACTGTTTCGCAAATTTCTGTTCTCCAACATCCGTATGACGAGCAAGATCACCATCATCTCGTATATCGGTACCTACTATGCCATCGGTGCCGCTTGGATCATGACTACAGCCAACTACTTTGCGATAGGCTGGTTCAATGGTTACCTCGACAAGTACTACATTGACTCTTGGAAGGTGTGGTTTTCCATCGTCATTGTATTCAATCTGCTCGGAAACGTTGCCCTCGCCGTCATGCGTTACCGAACTGCCGAGAAGAGCTTTTTTGGCGCGCTGATTGAGAACTTCAAATGGGTGTTTCTCCTGGCCATTTTTCTGGGTGGGCTCTCGCTGCACGTGTCGCAAGCGCTACTGGCGCACATGTTCGAGATTAACATGTCCTGGGGCAGCACTTCAAAGGAAGTCGAGTACTCAAACTTCTTCATTGAAGTGCCCAAGGTGCTGCGAAAGTTCAAGTTTTCATTCGCCTTCAGTACACTCGCGATCACCGCCATGATTGTATTGGCGACGGGAACCAGCTTCATACCGGATTCATGGATGATTCGAGACTTCGTGGCAATACTACCCATGGCTACCGTCGCGGGCAGCCACATGCTACTTCCGATTGCGCTGAATCCGGCTTTAATGACGTTTCAGTGGTAGTTTTTTCCCCCTTTTCCTCATTTTGCTAGTTTGAATTGTTTAGCGATTTTGAGGTCCTTTTCTCCTTTTTGTTTCTCTCCCTTTTCTTTCATCATTCCTTACTTTAGTCGGCATGTTTTCGGTGTTTCTTGTCGTGTCTACGAGCTTTTAGTTCATGGTTTCTCACTCATTCATTCACTCTCCATGGTTTTTTTCTCATTTGGATCGGGGGTATATAAACGGTCGGTTGTCTGGTGTTTTTCTTTTCCTTTTACTGTCTCTCTCTCTTCTTGTGATTTTTGCTTTAGTAAGCTTTAGGTAGGGGACAGCATCGTGAGCGGCCATTTGTGGTTCGGTTCCGATTGCGGGCGTTTGCAACTAGGTTACTTAGGTTAGGTATGCTAATATTCGTAGTGGATTGGGGACGGAGAATAAAGGGGGGGATGGGGGAGGAGAGGGGAAGGGAGATGGGAGATGGGGGAATGGAATCGGTGGGATGTATGTAGGTGGTTAGGTCAACTGCAGTTGTGGTGGGAGGTTAGGTAAGGATGAGGGCGTGTCGAGATTCGAGGGGGTGGTGCGGCGGACAATAGATATACATGCTTCATTGGCATCTGGATCTCGGTGTTGCCCACATGCTGAGTGGCAAAATACGAGTCTCCGGGGAAGTCGCGTGTTTGCCGGATCTTGGAGCCAACCTACTCGGTGGGGAAACATCGGTTTCCGGGGCCTGGAAACGTAATTTCCTGTGGTGAGTGTAATTGGGGAGTAAAACTCCACTCGCCGTAGTACTATGCATGCGATCATGACATTCGGCGAGCACCAGTACTTATGCGTTCCTCCACTTCTGTGAAAGCAAATATCGGTATTTCGTATCCGACTTGCCGGCCATGTCGATGTCCCTTCCCATTCAAACAGCAGGGTGGGCCGGAGGAGAAGCACCGACCACGAGTCACGGAGGCCATCAGAAGCAGGACGAGGTCGCGGATTTGACTCTTTTGAGCGGGTCGGTGGATGAGCGAGTGATATCCAATGCCCGACCTCATTAGTGATTACACGCTTCAAATGCGGCTATCGGGTATGACAGTCTCGACGCGGATATGCGCAAGGGTGGCTATGGTGATGGTCGATGTCACCAGTAGGGGGTAGAATGTACAAAACATCTCTACCTCTTTCGGTTTCTATTGGGGCTGAGGTTCTTGCAAGCACGCGGTATTTGCTGTGGCAGTCGGTGGTGTTCTTACATATCTCTGTCTCTATGCATAATCCGGAGAAAGGGGTACATCTGGACCGGAAATTGTTCCGTGAGCAGCGAATAACTACTCGATATACCGTCAACAGACCGTCCGGCGTTCTCGTTAGGCAGCAGGCAGTCATATGTACATACCCAGTAGACTAACCGCGGTTTCACATAGAGCACCCAGGCACCGCCCAATTGTGATAAGGAGTGACGTGCTCACTGCTCAGTCCCATTCTACACGCCCTGGCGTGAGCACTCGCAATCGGTATCTTTGTCAACGCTCGCTTACGAGACCCAGTTAAAGTCTTCAACAAGCCCCCCTCCCCCCCCCCGGAGAGGGTGAAGACCGAATCCATACACAGAACTATGACTGAACACAAACCGCCATCGTGCAACGCAAAGACACCAGTGCAGTTCGACGGCTGGGAAGACTACCCGTGGGCTTTGCAGACTACGATTCGATTTTTATGGACACGGCCTGCTGGAGTGCCCCCGGCCCCGAGCTCTTCGTGGCCTATTCGGATCCGCTGCAGATTGAGATTCTCGATTTTTACAGTAAATACTTCTTGCAAAAATGTTGGATGTGAACTGTAGCTTAAATACTGATAGCGGCCAGCCTCGGATCGAGAGACGTTCGTTGCAGAGTTTACAACCGCACAAGACGTTGAAAACCACCTTTTGCTCACGGAGGCACCAAGGACTAGGGTTATGTAAGTTGTAACTAAGGCCTGGCCGAATTTCCTTATGAGATTGCATCTGACGTCTCGTGGCCATAGTTCCATCTCGCAAGCCAACCGGTCTTTGCCCCTCGGAGTCACAGAGGAGTTGATGCGCAAGATTCTGGTGTTCTACCGAGTAACTCCGGATTTCCTTGAGTATCTCCTGGCGTACCGGGAGAAAGATCTACCCTCGGAAGCCGCGGGAGCTAGCATACCGGTGCAATGAAAGCCGCTTGCTATCTGCTTAAGTGCGCCGAGGAGAATGGACGGGCGTGGGGAGACCCGTGGTCCATACGGCGGACAGGATTGTATCATCATATTGATCCAGACACAAGGTCCAATATCGTCATTTTGCTGCATCCAGTCCCGAAAAGCAAAGCACAGGAGAGAATTCGTGCATTTGTTTCCTTGAAAGGGTCTCAGTCCATAGCTGTGCATCCGCTGAGCGTGCAGCTGTTGCTTCTGTCGACTTACCTCACGCACTGGAGGGCGTATCTACGTGATCTCGGACGAGAATTCGTCTCTATGGTGAGGAAATCACGAGTTCCAACGTCGTTCTCCAGATGATTAACGCAGACGCAGCAAAGTGCGGCTATGACGGTCGAGTTGCTGGATAACGAGACGGAATACGCCCGGTGCTTCGACACACTGACGGAACTGCGACATCTCGAAACGAAGATCGCAGCGTCAACACCCATCATGGCAGCAACACTGCCGACACTTCGCTCGCTGGAAGACTTGAACCGAAACCTACACCGCTCAGGCGCCGTCGGCGAGAAGGGCTTCTCCCAGATTGCCGATCGGCTGTCGTTTCACATTTCCCGGCTAGAGGGATACCTAATCAGTGCAAAGGCACTACAGCAGCGCTCACAGGGCACAACAGAAATGGTGAGATCGTGGGATACCATGCCACTCCTTGCGGGTAGTTACGTTGTTGACTGACGTTTCCTCATAGCTCGCGGACCATTTGAACCTGAGGGCCCAGGAAAGCGCTATGCGGATCAACCGTCGAATACCCGAGTTGACGAAAGAAACTGCCGATGATAGTGCCGCTGTCCGCATAGTGACCCTGGTGGCGCTGATATGCCTTCCGGCAACGTTTGTTGCGGTGAGCTGTACCCTCTTCCCTCACAGCACGAAGTTTGGTCCTGATATATCTCCTCATACAGACCGTGTTGGGCATGAATCTTTTCGAGCTGGACGAGTCCGAGCCGGGTAGTCCTGGCAGAACTCTGTTGGTGACGGCGAATGAGTTGTGGATTTACATCGCAAGTTCGGTGCTTTTGACTGCGTTCACCGTGGGATCTTGGATTGCGTTGTCTCGCAGACAAAAGTTGGTAAGATCGCGGCAGCTGTAAAAGAGGGGAAGGAAGCGGAAGCCATACATACGACATTCTAGCTCATAAAGGGTATAATTCTTGGGCAAGCCAGACCATTTCGCGATCAATGGCCAAGTCTGATGGTGGCCGTCATTCTTTGTGAGTATAGTTGCAAGTGACCAGATGTTGCTACAAACATGACTCTGAGGCCCATTATCATGTGTTTGGCTGTGGCTCCGGCTGCACCAGCTCTGGGAAACGAGTGCTGCCAATTTTTCTCAGCCAGCTGTAGATATATTGGGTAGCCATTGATATGTCCACCATTGGTACATACACGGCTCGGTCCGAAACAAATGGCTGCAAGCGTGACTCGGCTGAGAACAGGCTGAGCTCAGCCGCACCTTAAGCGAGCTGATGACTCATCCTTGTATTTCCGTGGTTCTTTTCCATGAATGGCGGGGTGGTGGGGCAACGCGAACTAGGGATGGACGTCACTTCTCCCCGCCTAACCTTTAAACCTGACGCTCCCCATCTGATCGCACATCCACACGACCAACCATGAAGGAGGCAGTACTGTTCATGCACCATGTCGACAAAGACCCTCAAGAAGCCAAGCGAATTGCACAGGACACTGCAAAACGTGAGTAGCCAGCATAGTGACCCATGTTTTGTTCCTCAACGCTGATGCTGATGCGGAAAGGTAAGGTATCGAGAGCCGGGAATTCAAGCTACTCGAGGTAGTACAGTCGCTCGGGGAATACCTTACGGATGACGATACCACCGTTCGTGCGAAAGCGATCGGATATCTTGCGGCAGTACTCGGCGAGCTGAGCCCGAAATCTCTCTCGAGGCAACACCTTCCGGTCATCACACAGTTCCTATGCGATCGCCTCGAAGATGAGACGGGTTTGAAGGAGGTCGCATCTGGCCTGGCGTCGTTGACAAAGATGCACCACTTTGATAGCGACCAGGCCACTAAGGTGGCTACCGCGCTGATCACCGTTGACCTGCCAAAGCATCCGCCTACGACTCGCTTCATGGTGCTTACACTTGTGGATGCGTTGATGTCGGGATACCGGGACTCGTTGAAGGCTATGGGGGACAAGTTTGTTACCGGTCTAGCCGACATGATCGGTGGTGAAAAGGACCCGAGGAATCTGATGATCGTGTTTTCGGTGATGAAGGTGGTGCTGGTAGAGTTTGACATTGTGCGACATACAGAGGTGACATGCCCTTCATCCAACCGATCCCAGGAGGTAGGCTAACTGATAAAATGTAGTTGATGTTCGACGTCGTATATTGCTATTTCCCCATCACTTTCCGGCCTCCTCCGGACGATCCTTACAAGATCACCGCGAACGATCTGAAGGTCAGATTACGAGAGTGCATCGCTTCGACACATTACTTCGCCGGGCAAGTTTTCCCGGCGTTGATAGAAAAGCTCGACTCGACATCACTGAACGTCAAGCTTGATGTACTGCAAACAATGACGGCATGTGCTCTTTCCTACGGCCCCACGACAATATCTGCGCAAAGCTCTCAGCTATGGGACGCCGTCAAATTCGAGATACTCAATTCCGCAGCGGATGATGAAATGGCCAACGCAGCGCTGGATGTATTGAAGGCGGTTGCGTCGTCCCTATCTACGGGATTGACGATCTCGCCGCCTCCAACCGTCCCACTTGCACGTTACTTGAAATCCATCATTAAGGAATGCCTTGAGCTTCTCAAGGAGCCGCAACAAAAGCAAGCGAAACCGGCGGGGCAGATCCTTGCAGCCGTGGCAACTGCCAGTGCTCCTGCGCATGCCTTCGTGATTCAGAGCACTCTGCCGGCACTGCTACTCATCTACTCGGATGCGGGCGCAATCGCCAAACAGAGAGCTCTGATGCAGTGCTTGAACCGATTCTTCGATTCTTCAGTGGCGATTTACGGAGCTTGGACCGATGCCATACCATCGCCAGCCATCGAGAACCCACTGGATCTTCACAAAGAAAAACTTTTCCAGATCTACTCGCAAGCACTGATGGGAAGCAACAAGGATGAAAAAAGCTTCCGTCAGACGGCCATGAGGGGCCTGGGGAAACTATGCAACATCCGGCAGTTTTTGGAAGACAGCGAGATCGGAATGGTCGTACAGTACCTCGACGAAATTGCACTCGACCAGACAGAGAAGGAGGATATCCGTGACGAAGCATTGCAGAACCTCAGGACGATATCAAAGTTCAAGAGCGCATTGATCATGCAAATCACATTCCCGGCATTCATGGCTCGGTTGCCTGACTCGGAGGAAGAAAGCAGGGAGGACAATAAGCCATATGTTGGAACACTGGAGGCGCTGGCGAAGCTTAGTTTTGAGAGGCCTGTTTTCGAGGTGCTCTTGACACGGCTGCTTAACAAGCTCGAGATTGTTCTTCACAGTGAGTTCGTTCCGTCAGGTAGTTGAAACGTATAGTGCTAATCTGTGAGTGGTAAGGCGGATCGGGCCCAGAATATCCTCGTGCTATACTGTCTACACTCCTGTATGTGCTCCAGCAGAAGCCTCAGAGCGCACTGGAGGACACGAATGTGTACTACAATCGCCTTATACCTCCTCTCTTGACGAAGACCCTTGTTTCCCTAGTGGCAGGGGGTAACGGTGATTCGGCAGTTTTGGCGGACGATGGTGTGCTCGACATCACAGGCCGGCTTGTACGGATCATCACCCGGGATCTGGACACCCAGCAACAGACCATGATTGTCAATAATATCTTGGAGCTCTTCGTGAACCACAACCCCAGCGATATCATAACCGAGAAGGCCGACATAGTCGCCAACAACTTCCGGCCCATGCTCAAGGATGCAGACAAGCAAGTCGCCGGCTCCATGGTGATTTTTGCAAGTGTTCTTGCCGCTGTACCCAGAGACATTCCCTTGCCCGTCGAAAGCCTTGTTGGTCTCCTCCGGCAGACTGTAGAGCTCGCTCAAGCTCCAAAGTCTGCCGCGCACAGGCTGGCATTATTAAGGATCATCGGCTTGCTAGTAAACAAATGGGTCAAGGACCCCGCCGACTCCGCGCAAGTGAAGGAAATCACCGAGAACCTTCTATCATCCATCACCTCTACATCCTCCCCCCTCTCCGAAGAAATTCGAGGCGAAACTCTCCGCATCGTTTTCTGGCTCGCCAAAGCCCTTCTTCTCCGCGCCGACAAGTTCGGAATGGACGTGACACTCTCGTTGGTCGACATACTCGCGCACCCAACGTTCGGCGCCATTGCTGCTAGAGGCTTTGCGGTTCTCCTCAGCGAGGACGAGCTGCTGAACAAGGAAAACCATGCGGTAGTGCGCATGCTCTACAAGCAGCGGACGTTCGCCACATGCGTGCCAAAGCTCGTTGACGGCTTCAAATATGCCGACTCCAGTACGTCCCCTTCACCCGTCCCTCCCTCCTAGCCTACTAACAAAACTAGGCATAAAACCCAACATTCTCCTCGCCCTCTCTTCGATCCTCCGCTCAGTCCCCTCTCCCATCATCACCCCATCCCTGCCCTCGCTCCTTCCGCTCCTTCTCCAATCCATCGAGCTTCCCGACGCCTCCATCAAGCTGGCGACCATTGACACCTTGCAAATCACCATTTCCGAGAGCGCAGACGTGCTGCAGGAGCACGTTTCCAGCGTCATTACGCGGCTGCTCACGGCTGGAGGTCCGCCTGCCGTGCGGATCAAGTCTCTGCGGTGCCTTAAATCGTTTCCCGGGGCTATGAGGAACGAGCTGCTCCTGCCGTACAGGAGGAAGGTGTTGAGAGAATTGGTCAAGTTCCTGGATGATAAGAAGAGAGATGTTAGGAAGGAGGCCGTCGATTGTAGGGTCAAGTGGTGGGCGCTGGGTGAGGCGGAGGATTGAGCCTTGAGGGGTGGGATAAACGGTGATAGACGGTGATAGACTGGCAATGTGAATAGACAGAGTGCGAGCAAGTGTTTTCCAATGTGTTGTGCTCCTATCGCTCGGTCCCTATGGCTAGTATATCGCGTATACTACAAGCCGTATGACTGGATTGAACTCTGCTTCGCCACGATACCCTGCCCGTCGTGCCACTCATCATCCAGTTATATGAGTGCACGTTATCTACTTCTATCTGCGTAGCTCCAAGGTCCGTGAATTGGTGCTCTTACCCCATCATGTGCTAAGGATCGTGGGCAAAACGATATGTATGGCCCTCTACGCTTCGGAATATGGCGGCAACGGCAAGAAAGAAGCAGCCAGCAATCAAGCCGTACGAGTATAGTAACTCAGGATAGCACCATAGTGGGAACGGTGGCCATGGTCCTACATAGCAGCAAAAGTAGAACCACACGCTATGATCATGAGTAGTCCCACACAATGACCTAAACCTGTTTGTTCCCCTCCTCTCCTCTCCAATATCTGCCATTGGGGCAAAGAAAGCCAGCGCTTCTATCATACCTACAACACGGTAGTAACATTCTCTCACTCTCACTACGCTGGTTCTACAATTTAGTACAATCTCATGGAAGCCACCTCCGCCCTTCTTCCCGCCCTTCCAATCCCAAAGAAGCCTGAGCAACCCATCATCTAGAGTCAACCGCCCCACAAAAGAAACCCCGCCAAAGAGGCATAAAACAAAAAACAACAAAAGCAAAAAGAAGAAACCCCATTGGAACGCCATTTTTTCCATTTTAAATGTACACGAGTAAGGGGTGGTCAAGGTCAAGGTCAACGTAGAAAAAAACAAAAAGTTGGGTAGGACCACTACCCGCGGCAGCAGCAGCAAAAGCGGCAGCAGTCGGTGGAGGAGGCAATCATTTTTGGTGGTGGAGGGTATTGTATTGTATTGAGGTTTGAAACACACTGGGAGAAAGACTAGGCCTCCGCTACTACCACCGACAACGTATCCAATTAGTGCTCGAGCTTTAGTAGGTGACAATGATATCAGTGTGGTGGTGGTGGTGGTGGTGGTAGTGGTGGTGAGGTATGCGGGTTTATAAAACGCTAGATGGAAGCCCCGCGTCAGTGTGTTCAAGGCTCTGCGATAGAACCAATATACGCACCCGAGGTAGTCCTGTAGCATCTGTTAGTACGATTGTTGCGATAGAGTGATGGGCGAGAGAGACTACTGACCTCCTTAATGGATGCCGTAGCATACATCTTCCCAACATCACTCCTGATTCCCACCAGCTTCATGCGCACATGAGCGCCCTTGTTGATGACCTGCTCACCGCCATCACTGTACGCGGGCGGATTGGCGCTCTCATCAAACGGAATCTCTGACGGAATTGCCTGCTTGGAGACGAAGCACTGAAGCGATCCCACTTCGGCGAAGAAACCCATCTTGTTGACGTTCGTGACGACCGCATCGACGGTTTCGCCACGGAATGGCCGGTACACAATCGCCTTGTAGTGGATCGTGAACTCGGCGTCTCCGCGCCCCGGTATTATCTTGCCCAAGGTGATCTTTTCGTGGTCGATCACACAGATGATGAAGAATTGCCCGGTACAGGATCCCTCCACGTCGTCGTGCAGCTTGTGGATTAGGTAGTCGCGCATGTGCGGGCCGAAGTACGACGGGTGCAAGGTGATGGTCTTTTCAAGCTCACGGATGAAGAACATTTCGGCTGCGGTGTGGGGTGAGATATGCCGTCGTTGGCGAGGCGCGCGGAGGTGTCGAGAGGGTTCGACTGCGTGTTCGGAGCTCTAGGAGGCGGCGCGCTGGTCGTTCAAGTAGCGACCTACTGCTGTTGCTGCTGCGCTGTTACGCTGTTGTGCTTCTGTGCTGCTAGTGGTAAGATTGATCGAGGGTCGATGGAGATCGGCGGAGTTGGTCGTAAGGTCGTGATAGGTGGCGGAAGGCAGGTAGGCGGTGATGGTAGAAACGCGTTGAGCCTTCGAGAAGGGGAGCCGACGACGATGAGGAGACCGCGAAGGAAGGAGGCGATAGTCGTCTCGTTTGGCTATTCCCTTTGGAGGTGATGGTGACCACGGCGAAGGAGGTGATGGTGACCACGGCGAAGGAGGCGATGTCGGGCGACGCGGTGGTGGTGGTGGTGGTTTGTAGTGGTGGTGGGTGCCCGTGTTGTTGGATGAGAGGGAGGGAGACGTGACAAGAGTCAGTGGTTGTTGCAGCCGCGATGGGTTTGGGTGTCACTGGCGGCGCTTCTTTTTTGCGTCCGGATAAAGCCGCAACGAACGACGAAAAGCCGTGAGGGGGACAGAGGTCGTGCTTGGGAAAGAGAAGTCGAACAGAGTGAGATAGACGTTGATCTGAACCATCCCCATTCGAGAGCGACTCATGACGTCTGTCTGGTCTTCTTCGTATGCGAAAATCTATCACTCTCTTCCCCGACCATCGCCCGCCACGAGCACTCGGCAAATGAGGCTCTGCTGGCCACGGCAAAGTCGTCTTGCGGAGTAGCAGCGAAGCAAATAAGCAACAGCATTAAATCACCGAAATAGGCACGAATTAACAATCAAAAGTAAAGGTCGAAGTATTGGAGAAGGAGAAAGATGAGCGGAATCAATTTCCATCGGCAAGACCGTGTTGAACAGATTGTTCCTCTCTGTCCTGATATTGGACTTCATATCGACGAGGCACAATCCTCACGCCCAAGACACAATCGCATTGTCCGGGCCAAGTCGGGTCAACTCGCTACCTGATTGGCCTGTTTCGTTTGTGTGGTCGGCTCGGTCTGGCGGGTTGCCCTGCAAAATTCCCCCCCATCAAATCAAATCGACCACACCTCCTCTCCCCCATCCCACTACTACTACCACCACCACCCCCAACCCATCCCCAACTCAGAGGGCCTGCGGCATATCTCCTCTCTCCCCTCTCCTTCACGAAACTACACTTCCTATATACAAAATGTTCAGAACGGCTCTCCGCCAAACCACCCGCACCGTCGGGGCCCTCTCGGCTGGGAGGATCGTTGCGGTACGTTCTGTCTGAGAAACCCTCCCTGCTTTGTCCGAGGTCCAGAATTTTCAGCATTCCGTCATCCAAATCCCGCAACCCCAACAAACCAATCCCATCGGCAACACCCGACAAACATCGTCGACCTGCTGGGCTTGTTGGATTCGAGGAGATGTTGGATGGATTCAATTAGGAATTGGTGGCGCATTGACGGATTGTGGGTGGGGTATGCGGTGGCTGACGTCGGTGAATCTCGGTCTTATAGGCACGAAATGCCGCCCCCGCCATTGTCTCGCACGTCCGCAACTACGCCGGCGAGGCCAAGGCTTCCCCCACAGAGGTCTCCTCGATCCTTGAGGCCCGCATTCGGGGTGTCCAGGAGGAGGCTGCCATGGCCGAGACCGGACGTGTCCTGTCGGTTGGGTAAGAATCACAGCCATATTCCTCGGATAAACGAGGTTCCGAAAAAAAAAGTTACGGTTATTCATGCGGGTGCACAGTGACGGTATCGCCCGTATCCACGGTCTTACCAATGTCCAGGCCGAGGAGCTGGTCGAGTTCGCTTCCGGCGTCAAGGGTATGTGCTTGAACTTGGAGGCCGGCCAGGTCGGAGTTGTGCTTTTCGGTTCGGACCGTCTCGTCAAGGAGGGTGAGACCGTCAAGCGTACCGGAGAGATTGTACGTATTATCCATTGCCCATCCATCCATCCATCCATCTACATGGTTGATGCCGTTGTGCAACCCCACCCCCACCCCCACCATCGACGCACGGACAGTCCAAACTAACCCGACTTCTCAAGGTCAACGTTCCCGTCGGACCGGAGCTTCTCGGACGTGTCGTCGACGCCCTGGGTAACCCCATCGATGGAAAGGGTCCCATCAACGCCAGCGAGCGCCGCCGCACCGAAGTCAAGGCCCCCGGTATCTTGCCCCGTACCTCCGTCAGGGAGCCTGTCCAGACCGGTCTTAAGTCCGTCGACGCCATGGTCCCCATTGGACGTGGTCAGCGTGAGTTGATCATTGGTGATCGTCAGACTGGTAAGACTGCCGTCGCTCTTGACACCATCCTGAACCAGAAGCGATGGAACAACGGCACCGATGAGTCCAAGAAGCTCTACTGTGTCTACGTCGCCATTGGACAGAAGCGTTCGACCGTCGCCCAGTTCGTGCAGACCCTTGAGGAGAACGATGCCATGAAGTACTCCATCGTTGTTGCTGCCACTGCCTCCGAGGCCGCTCCTCTCCAGTTCTTGGCCCCCTTCACTGGATGTGCCATCGGAGAGTGGTTCCGTGACAACGGCAAGCACGCCGTCATCATCTACGACGATCTGTCCAAGCAGGCTGTTGCCTACCGTCAGATGTCGCTGTTGCTTCGTCGTCCTCCCGGACGTGAGGCTTACCCTGGAGAGTAAGTTTACACAAGATATACCAGAACAAATCGCATCGTATGCTAACAATTTGCAACAGCGTCTTCTACCTGCACTCTCGTCTTCTCGAGCGTGCCGCCAAGATGGGTAAGGCACACGGCAGCGGATCGCTGACCGCCCTTCCCATCATTGAGACCCAGGGTGGTGACGTATCTGCCTACATTCCCACCAACGTCATTTCCATCACCGATGGACAGATCTTCTTGGAGTCCGAGCTGTTCTACAAGGGTATCCGACCTGCCATCAACGTCGGTCTTTCCGTCTCCCGTGTCGGTTCGGCCGCCCAGGTCAAGGCCATGAAGCAGGTTGCCGGTTCCCTGAAGCTTTTCTTGGCTCAGTACCGTGAGGTCGCCGCCTTCGCCCAGTTCGGTTCCGACTTGGACGCCTCGACCAAGTCCACCCTTGCCCGTGGTGAGCGTCTGACTGAGCTGTTGAAGTAAGTCCACCGTCTATCCCTCGTGACGATTATGAAGGATGAGGTTTTAACAACCATCGCAGGCAGAAGCAGTACCAGCCCATGGGTGTTGAGGAGCAGGTTCCCCTCATCTACGCCGGTGTCAACGGTCATCTTGACAGCATCCCCGTCGCCAGGATCGGACAGTTCGAGACCGACTTCTTGGCCCACTTGAAGTCCAACGAGTCGGACCTGTTGGCCACCATCAGCAAGGAGGGTGCTCTGTCGAAGGAGCTGGAGGCTAAGCTGAAGGAAGTCACCGTCTCCTTCGTAAATTCATTCTTGTAAATGCTGTTTGCGGGGTGAGGGGGATTCCTTTTGCGGGTTGTGTGTAGTGTAGGATCTGTCATAGACGCAGTGCTTTTTCCAAAACTGTATTTAAAAGCGTCTTAATTTCAGAAACGTGTGGGATGCGTTTTGCTCTTGGTCTACAGAGAAAGCGGATCCTCCTCCACAACGTATATCTGCTCAACCGATGACAAAAAAACGATCCATCAATGATAAGATATTTTTCTCAACGTGCTGCCGGTCCGCTGTTCCCGTAGGGAAGCAGCCATTCGCTCGATGCAAGGGGGCAGGGGGTGGGTTGGCACAGATCACCGTCGGCAACCGGGGGGCGCAGGGTGTGAGGGTACGTGCACACGCCTGAGCTCTCGACAGCTATCCCTCCGCTTCCATTCCAATCACAACAACACTTCTCACGGCACCCCATAGCTCACAAACCCACAATAGTCGGGTAGCGATGTCAGGCCCCGAACCCTACCGCGACCGTGACGACGAAGTATCCGCCAGCTTTTCACCTCCCGACACCACACGGGACTCCATCGACAGCACCTCCACCACCTCGCTGATCCTCGAGCGCATCAATACTCAGCACAAGACGCCGCGCTACGATGATCCCGAAAAGCCCGAGGGCGTGTTTTCCGACGATGAAGACGACGATGACGACGACGACCTCGAGTGCGGCAGCGGGCGGCTGGGAGGCGTGGGCGGCACGAAGCATACCATTGAGAAGAAGATGACGCGGGCGGTGTACATCGTTGGCGGGTTGCTTGTTGCCAGTTGGTTGCTCGCGCTCGTCGTGTATCTGTCTCGCGAGGCGTACCGCTACCAGTCCTCGCCGCATGATCCCGACGCGACGGTGATGAAACCGGGAAAATCGATCACGATGGAACAGGTGCAGAGTGGCATGTGGCGGGCGAGGAAAAAGGGCATCAGGTGGATCAACGGCGAGAAGGATGGGCTCATGTTGGTGCCGAATGGGGCCGGCGACCAGTTCCTAGAGGTTCAGGATGTCAGGGACGAGGCTAATCGTAGGGTCCTCATGAAGAAGAGGAGTGTGGAGTGGGAAGGCCAGACGATCACTGTCAGCCAGTATTGGCCGAGTCCGGATTTGAAGCATGTTCTGTTGGCCAGTGAAACGCAGTCGGTAGGTTTTATGCGCTGTGTTCTCGTACGAGGAGATGCTAATTTATATGGCGGAGGTAGCATTGGAGACATTCGTTTTCGGCGAAGTATTGGCTCTTGAATGTGGATACACAGAAGGCGGAGCCGTTGATCCCCGGGAAGAAGGATCAGCGACTCTCACTGGCCGTGTGGGCGCCGACCAGCGATGCCGTAGCTTTCGTGCAGGACAACAATCTCAAGATTCGGCAGCTCTCGGACAGTGGGGATACCATCGCGGTTACCACGGACGGCGGTACGGATACCTTCTACGGCATCCCTGACTGGGTATACGAAGAAGAGGTATTCGCGGGTGCCAAAGCGCTATGGTGGAGTGAGGACGGAAAACACGTGGCATTCTTGCGTACGAATGAAACCAAGGTTCCCGAGTATCCTCTCCAGTACTTCGTCTCCAGGCCATCAGGGGAGTACCCGCCCGAGGAACTCGAGAACTATCCAGAGCTAGACTTTATCAAGTATCCCAAGGCTGGCGCGCCGAACCCCGTGGTCGACCTGCAGTTCTTCGATCTCGAAAAGAAACAGGTCTTCTCGGTCGATATCAAGAATGATTTCCCGGATGATGATAGACTAATCACGGAGGTGGTGTGGGCCGGGGCCGAACAGGTTCTCATCCGTGAGACCAATAGGGAGAGTGATCTCCTTAGGATGATCTTGATTGACGTTTCCACTCGCTCTGGAAAGGTGGTCAGGGAGGTTAATGTTGCTGAGCTTGATGGAGGCTGGTTCGAAGTGGTGAGTTTTCCTTCCTTCTTTCCGCTGGAGGATGATAGCTGATTAATGCAGTCACAATCTACCGCATACATTCCCGCGGCACCTGAGAAGGGCAGAAACGAGGCTGGCTACATCGATACTGTAATCCACGAGGGCTACGACCATTTGGCATACTTCACCCCATTGGACTCTGAGGAGCCCATTCTCCTGACTCAAGGCAAATGGGAGGTCGTCGATGCCCCCTCCGGTGTCGATCTTGAGAATAATCTGGTTTACTTCGTCGGTACCGAACGCTCCCCAATTGAGCGTCACGTCTACAGTGTCAGGCTTGACGGCACCGACATGAAGGCGCTCACCAACACTTCCGCCGACGGCCGTTACGATGTATCCTTTTCTGAACGCGGCGGGTATGCCCTACTCAGCTATAACGGCCCGGGCATCCCGTGGCAAAAAGTCATTGGCACCCCAACCGTCGACCCAAAGTTCACCCAGACCCTCGAAGACAATGCAGCCCTGGCGAAACTCGCGAGCGAATACGAGCTCCCAACCTTCCACTACTCGACGGTCAACGTCGACGGCTTCGATCTGCAAGTCCTCGAGCGCCGACCTCCCCACTTCAACCCAAAGAAGAAGTACCCCGTCTTGTTCCACGTCTACGGTGGTCCCGGCTCCCAGCTCGTCACCAAAGCCTTCAACATCGACTTCCAAGCGTATGTAGCCGCAGGCCTCGAATACATTGTCGTGACTGTCGACGGCCGAGGCACCGGCTACATCGGCCGCAAAGCCCGCTGTGCCGTTCGCGGCAACCTCGGCTACTGGGAATCCCACGACCAAATCAGCACTGCCAAGATCTGGGCCAAGAAACCCTACGTGGACGCCAGTCGCATTGCCATTTGGGGCTGGAGCTATGGCGGGTTCATGACGCTCAAGACGCTCGAGCAGGACGCAGGACAAACGTTCTCCTACGGAATGGCTGTCGCCCCTGTCACCGACTGGAGGTACTACGACAGCATCTACACTGAGAGATATATGCACACCCCGCAGCATAATACGGAGGGCTACGACAATGCCACAGTCTCGAATATGACGGCGTTGCGCAGCAATGTCCGTTTCCTCCTGATGCACGGTGTGGCAGACGACAACGTCCACTTCCAGAACAGTCTTACGCTCCTTGACCGCCTTGACGTTGCAGGGGTAGAGAACTACGACGTCCATGTCTTCCCGGATTCGGATCATAGTATTTATTTCCGTAAGTTCCCCCATCCCCTTGAGTTTCTTACTTACGACTAACAACCTGTAGATAATGCAAACCGAATGGTCTACGATCGCCTACGACAGTGGATCATCCGCGCGTTTAATGGCGAGTATGTGGGGCTGGATGACTTGAAGCCGGTTCAAAATCTAGTCATTGCTGCGGATTCGAGAGAGAAGGTGTAATTGAGTGGGTGAGGGTGTATGACTATTAGTATGAGCATGGTGGATCTTGGGAGTCTTTGGTTTGATGAGCTTTATTTGGACGTGTCGGATGATTGGATGTGTGGGATGCGAATGGATTTTGTCGACGTCATGATTTTTATGTGGCGATACAGAATTCCAATTTATTTCATTAGACCAGAAATCCATAACTGCGAGTGACGGAGAATGAGCTTTGTTGTAGGTTTTTTTTTTAGGGGCCCTAGATACCTCCACCCCTGCAAGCGCTCGTCATTCAAACATCGACTTGCCCGCCACACCAAACAGCCGCTCAGCTCACGAACCCAATGGCCAAATCCAAGCCTGCGCCCACAGCATCTGTGGCCCCGCACATATTCAAACGTCGGGGCGTCATTGTCTCGATCTCGGCCATCGTCATCATCGCGGTGGGCGCATTTACAGGCGCGATGATGAAAACCGACGTCCAAAAGACCGCCATGGTGCGACAGGTGCAGACCGAGAACCTCGAGGAGAGACTTGACCGGTGAGTCTCACATGCCGCCGCTGGGGGGGAATTGGGGGAGGGGTGCTGATTGGGGGGTATGTACATAGGTTGAAGGGCTACCGGGCGATATTGGAGCGCCAGAAGTCGGGGCTCGAGGGGAAGATTTCCGTGCTGCAGGAGAAGCGGGCGGAGGAGAATACGTAGTGGTAGTGGTAGTGGTAGCTGGGGGAATCATTTCATTCATCATACTGTACAATACTATGCTGTTATGCTATGCTGTTATGCGTCCTCGACCCGCGCCTTCCGGATCATCAACTCGTCCACCGGTCTGTCGTCCCTGTCCGTCTTGACCATTCCCATCCGCTGCACAATCCGCATCCCGCTCGTCACCCGCCCGAAAATCGTGTGCTTGCCGTCTAGCCACGGCGTGGGCGCAAGTGTGATAAAACTACCGGTACCCCCCGTCAGCCCTCAGCCCTCAGCCCTCAGCCCTCGTCGCCTATCGCCCCCGACAAGGAGCATACGTACAATTGACTCCCATTCGTGTCCGGCCCGCTGTTCGCCATACTCAAGATCCCGGCACCGGTATGTTTCAGCGAGGGATGGATCTCGTCCGCGAACTTCCCGCCGTAGATGGAGCTTCCGCCGCGCCCGGTGCCGGTGGGGTCGCCGCCTTGGATCATGAAGTCGGTGATCACACGGTGGAAGGGACAGCCATTGTAGTAGCCACGGGTAACAAGGCCTTTGAAGTTCTCGCAGGTGCGTGGTGCGTGGGACTCGTACAGCTCAAAGGTTATCGAGCCCATTGAGGTGTCGAGGGTTATTAGGGTGGTCATTGTATGGTCGTATTTGGGGTGTGGTGGTGGGTGAGGGCGAGTGGGTGTGTGGGTGTGCGGGTGGGCGACGCGTGAAGTGGTGGGGACGCGCCGGGATGGAGGCTCAAACTGGTCGACATGGCTCATAGAAGCGACATCATAGCTCTTTTTATATTACAGCTACCCCACCATCCATTGCATCGCCTCACCCACAACCTCATTCACCATGGCTACACCAAACACACATCTTCAAGCATGGGCTCTCCCACGTCTAAAAGCTCTGATAGACTACCTTACAGACGAAGATTTGCTACAGGCCATTACCTACAGCGCCTCGCTCCCGGACGCTGTCCAAGCCGCAGACAACTTCAAGGTAACATTCCTTGTTCGAGAGTGAGAGGGAAGAGGTACCTTACTGAGCTAAATTATTAGAGCATGCTTGGAGAAACCGATGAAACCCTCACATTCATCTCGGACTTCAACAGCCGCGCCTTCCCCCCATCGCAGCCAGCAGCTCCCACTCCAACTCCAGCCCAGGGAGGTCGTGGCGGTGGCCGTGGTAGAAAACGAGGAGGGAAAGCGATCAACCACTACAAGCAAGAGCCACGGCGCGCGAATGACGGACAGGAAGCACTCTTCGCGAATCCGCAGGGTGTCTACAACAAGAAAGACAACGATCTAGAAGACGAGTACTACACCGGATCACGCAAGGCGACGCCGACGGGTTCGCTAAAACCCACCCCCACGAGCTCCGCGAGACCCTCGCCGTCGTCAAGTTCTACCAACCTCGTCTCGACGTCATCTTACGCCGCGGTCTCGAAGCCCCCGACGCAGGGAAAACTAACTTCCGACCTCGTCGACAAGAAGCCGAAGCCTGCTCCCGCCGCAGCAAAATCAAAGCAGGAGAAATATGTCTACACAACCTCGGGCGGCACGGCGATGCGTGGCGCCACGGCCGAGCTTACCGATCTCGAGTCGGCGCTGCGGGCTCTCGAGATGTCGACGAATCCTACGCTCAACAATCGCACCCGCAAGTTGTGTCCCTGTCAGGGCCTTACGCACGAGGTGCTGCAGGCTGCACCGAATTGTTTAGCGTGCGGAAAGATCATCTGTTTGAAGGAGGGACTGGGACCGTGTACTTTCTGTGGTGCACCGCTGTTGTCCCCGGATGAAGTGCAAGACATGGTACGCTCGTTACGTGAGGAGGCCGGCAAGGAGAAAATGGCCATCAATGCGTCGCAGAATAAGCGCGCGGAGGTGTCCAAGACCCCCCGGCCGTTCTCTGCGGCACCAGAGGTGGGGAGGGCGGATGATGAGAGCTTGAGGAAGGCGCAGGAGCACCGTGATCGCCTGCTTGGTTTCCAGGCGACGAGTGCCCAGAGGACGAGGATCATCGATCAAGCTGCGGACTTTGAGACCCCGCTGACGGCTGGCGGCTTGAATCAATGGGCCACTCCTGCCGAGCGCGCGCTACAGTTGAAACGACAGCAGAAGCAGATGCGGTTGGTTCAGTGGAGTGCGAAGGAGAAGTATGAGAAGCAGAGGGTTGTCGTGGCAATTGACCTCAGTGGGAAGAAGGTGGTCAGACAGATGCAGGATATTGAGCCACCCTCGGATTCGGAAGAGGAGGTGGGGCAAGAGACGGAGTACGATCACTCGATCTCGCGCGGCGGGAAGGGGAAGGAGAAGGCTGGCAGTGGTGGTATGTACGCGAGGAACCCGCTGCTCAAAGGGTTGATCAAGCCTGTGTATGAGGCGAAGAAGGGGTCGAAGAAGGAGATGCACGATGCTCTTGCGGCCAGGGGCACGGGCTGGAGGAGGGTGCAGGATGATCTGGCGGATAATGAGAGAGTCATCCTCGATGGCGGAGTGCGGGGCATCCAAGGCGATAAGGGAGATGAGATTCCCTGTGGATAAGCGCGAAGGATGTTGTACCCGTCTTGTTTGGCCTGGCCAATTGTGCAATGCATCTGTCTATCAACAAAGTAATTGGTTCGGCTGAAAAAAATGTACCCAAGAATGAAACCCCATCCCACTTGAGCCGCTGACTTTTGTTACAAATACACACGTCTATGATGATATCACCGTATCTCTTCCCTCGCATCGGTCGGCTTAGTACCCCCTTCCCACCGTCCTCACCACAAACGCCTTCTCCATACGGCGTGTGTGTTCCTTGAAGTCTGCAACCTCCTTCCAACAATCAAGCGGCCTCGTGTTACTGCCCCCATTAGCACTTCCGTACCTCCACCGCATCCCTCCCAACTCGGCGAGTAGGTACTCACTTGTTCCTGAGACACCCGAGCACACTCTGCCTCGCAAGTTCCACGCCCTCCTCCAGCTCCATCAACTTCGGAATCCTGTCGAGCCGCTCCCTCAGCGCCTCGATATCGTGCTGCACTTTGACCCGATCACCCTCGCCTTCCTTCACCTCGGCTTGCTGCAGGCGCTCATCGATGCCGGCGAGGACCTGGCCCTCGCGCGCCTCGAGCCGCGCAAGCTCCTCGGCCACCCGCGCTTGGATGTGCAATTCCAGCTGCTTCTCGCGCGTGCTGTCCGTCTCACTCGACTGCGTGAGCGTCGTCACCAGGCTGTTGGAGAAGCGGATTGGGGTTTGTCTGTGGTGCGGACGGTGTCAGCCGGGGAAGGGGACAAGAGGATGCGGAGGAGAATGGGGGGAGAACATGCCCGTGGATGACGATCGGCTCGCCCGACGGCTTGGAGGTACTGCTTCCCATGGTGGTGGTGGAGGTAGTTGTGCGGTGGCCGACGGTGAGTGCGGGTACGGGTGGGCGTGGGCGTGGACGTGGGCGTTTGCTGGTGCGATTGCCGGTTTGCGTTGACGTCGTCTGCTCGGTTCGGGTGCGAGAGGCTTGGCGATAGCAACCCCACGTGAGGTCCATCGGGTGTCACTCGGAGTGGTTCAGTTTGAGGAAGCGGTCCATATGTGGAGTATAAGGTATTGAGTATGTACTCCTCAAGCAGTGATGATCATCTCTGAGTACTCAGTTTCTAGTAACGCGCCTTACCAGCTCTTAGCAACTAGAGCCAGCCAGCTGTGTCACCGCATCGACCAGTCACCAACCTCACATGTTTCCTACAGTAGGTAGAGTGAGTACCCAGACTCCAGCACACAAAAACAACCAAAAATGGCGTGGAACGGGAAGTTCGAAGAGATTCCCGAGCCATTAATGAGTTTCCAAGCTCGGTGAGTTTAATTGTAACACGCCGCCACGCCGCTAAAGTGCGAGTCATGAGCTGTGCATTGTGACGTCGGAGTATCACTCGTTTTCCATCCGCACTCACTAAAAAAAGCAATTCTGGAGGGGAGAGGGGGTTGATGATCTCTATGGTATTCCTCGGTTTCCCGTTAGTTCGGGCGGGATACTCCGAGTAACTACTGACGGCAGTGAGCTTCGGGCGCCTCCCGCAGAACTGCCGTGGGATCCACCGCAACCACCACTACCATCCCCACCATGCACTTGCCAGCTCCGCCAGGGATGAAAGCCGACCGAGGTACACCCGGCAGTGCTTGCTTGCTTAGAAAAACTCGGAGGCCGGTGAGACTGGAGTGCAGAAGATGCAATCATGCAGATCCATGCCTAAGACTCGGCGAAGAAGGCTATCGTACCTACCGGTGGGGTAGACTAACTAACGAAGCACCAAAAATTGGGACAGATGTGCCTTACACCTTCTGCCGACAACAGCCCTTCCAGATCAGTCAGGGTGTTCCCCGAGCTCGAGCTCGATCTGTTGGTTCACTGTTCAGCTAAAAGATATACATAGGCAAGACAGACGTAATTATGCACCTACTTGGGCATAGCTAATCCGAGTGTAGTCAAGTCTAGCGCGGTGATGTATAGTTGACGTGAAAACAGAAAGAAAAGAAGTAGCAAAAAGAAACCACAAGATAAGTGCATCCATCGGGAGTCGAACCCGAGCCAATTGCTTGGAAGGCAATTATCCTACCGTTGGACCATGGAAGCTGTTTCTATGAATGAAATGGATTTGACGAATATAACCTAATTTCAAGAGTTAGAATTCCTACATTGAAAACCATTCCTCCGGTACTCCCATCATCTATGGATACCGTATTTACACATTTGGGTGATGCTATGTACATAGAATCAGGATCGGCCCTATTCTCCCTCGGGTACTCGCCGCAAACCTGTGTTCATCAAGCTACTATACCTACCTACTTCGTGCAGCCGGGTCAAATGCGCAGTTACAACTTACCTATGCAGAGTAGTTACCAGCATACATGTACATGGAAAATCACTCGTCAGAGTCCGGGAACCTTGAGATTTGAGATTTGAGATGTAGTACACGGCGTCCAGGGAACTTCTTGAAGCACGACCCCTGCGTAGAGTACCGATAGACAAAGGTGATAACGATGGATGAGGGGGTGTAAGGGAGTATGTACATACAGCAGCAAAAAGTGGGGTGCGATTGATACCGAAGGTTTCTAGTAGTACTGTTTCAATCCAGCAGTCTTAGATAATACAGATTTACTCTGGTATTTTTCCCCCTCTATACTCTCAATTCTACAGTAAAGAAAAACATTATACGCAGTGTTGTAAAGATACGCTCACTAAAAAGCCGGAAGGACTACTGCAATTCTTCCGAATGCAAAAATTTACGTGCTGTCCAGATTACCAGGAAACTACCAGAGAACTACCTAGCTCGCACAACAGCATAATGCAGAGAAAATGTTGTGATGCTAATCAAATAGTTCCGAGACTGTAGTAAACCTACGACGGCAAGAGTCTTGCAGAATATATGCCGTGGTGAGCAAAATGCACCAGTCATTGAATTCGGTATGCATACGGTAGAAACCCTCAAGATTCAACAATACGTACTGTGAGTAAAATGTGCTGTGTGCAAGCAAACATTTACGACATTCTTGTAGTGTATGAAGTGCCGTAAGCCTACGGAATAAATAGTGTAGAGGAAACTATACGGATTGAGCTGAATATAGTGGAGCTGCCGAGCCCCTACAGAATTGAGAAGTATCAGGCAGTGTCTACACTACGTATATTTTACGTATGCAGGTACATAGTTAACTCATACTGACTTTAGTCAGAGTCTTCTCCAAAGTGTATTTTTCCACGCAGAGGAATGGAATGATTATGAACGGAAACTTCCATGGATAAGGCTGCGAGCTTTGCTAGGGAACTCGAGGAGAGAACTACTTGGTTCGGTGTTCCGACGGTGCACGTTCGTAAACGCACACGAGATGGCAAAGCAAGGCATTGCTGGAGGCAGGATATAAAGCTTCGGTTCAGTGTTGGCTTCAACCTTCAGGAAATCGCAGTGGAGAGAGCAATGAACGGTACTAGTAGGTATGACAAGGGCGAGGAATGAGTGGTGAGCCAGAGGAACAAATAGAACGAGGAGAATGTATCCGGCGTGTTATACGGGGTCGGAGAGGAATGTGCGGTGAGTGTTCGCCGTTCGGTCTTGAAGCATTTCACCGCACTCGTGCACTGCGCCCATCAGCTGTGTACCTACATACGTACATACATACTAGTATCTAGCTGATGCGACTTGACGTCTAAGTGTCTAGAACGATGATTGAATTCTGCGGACAGATCTGTGGCTGGTGAGTATGGCGATATCCGTAGGATTGTTGGATGAGCTAGATACATAATAGTGCACCCACCAACGCACACGGTGACGGGATACCAACCACGGAATAGTTAGCGCGCCACTTCTGCAGAGGAGATCTAGGTACTCTTACTGTGATCGCTGCTGTCGGTGTTGTTGCCGATGCCGCTGCTGCTGTTGTGTAGCCTTCCGGAGCCCGCTCGGCCGCTTTAGCGGCGCCAGCCAGGCCGAGCCCATCGGGGTTCATGGTAGTTTAGCACAACGACGCCGTACGTAAGGTTGCAGGGCATCTACATCCCGCCGGCGGCCGTAGATCTCCCCGACGGCGGCAGCCATCCCCCTTACCATGATTCACAGGCGCTCACTCCGCATCCGCCGGTGATCCCGTCATCCCGCCGTCTCGGCCGGAAACCCCCCGAAACCCCCCGAAGGGGGGAGCTTGGGCCTTCTAGCGTGGCGTCTTTAGCCCATGTGGGGTAGTTAGTGAGGCAGCTATACGCGTTGTGGGGTGTGAGTCCGACCAGAGAACCCGTATCTCAGTAGTCTCCGAAATCCGTCTCCGAGCCTAGCTACCTAGAGTGCTGTAGCTGTGTAGGGAAGGATTAGGCGCGGTTGGCGAAATGGCCATGCACAGCCGAATCATGAGCGCTACATACATACGACTGGGTTTTGGGCGATCTAAAAGGTTCCTGATCGATCGACGGACTAGAGTAGAGTAGAGTTCTCTACCAATTGCGAAGCGGAAAGGTTAGGTGGAAAGTGACGGGTGGTTTTTGGGCCCTTGCGCTTAGTCACATACTGGGCTTCTAGGGGGAAAAGGAAGATTCCGCGATGCAAGTAGTTAGCACCTTGATGGGCCGGGTTGTGAGTGTCGACACCAGGTGATGGATTCTGAAACGTTGGCGACGAGTTGCGCATTGCCTCTCGTGAGTCGGGACGAATGGAGGCCGCAGCGACGGGTTTCACCGGAGGCGAAGCGTATGCAGCGCGGACGGACGGACAAGTCATCGAGACCGAAACCAGAAAGATCCAGGTCCGCGAGGTTGCCGAGGCGGAAAAATCCATGCGTGCATAGAAGTTGGGGGACCGCGGGACACCTATGTACAATATATCTAGATGCTGCTAGACGTGACGGTTCGTGATTGGAGGTGGTTGCGGTGATGCGCTTCTGGCCATGGCTGCGGTCGTAAAGATCAGAAACGCTGACGACAGGTCCAAGACAGTTCACAGTGCAGTAGGTAGGTACGCCAGTGTATTGCAACGAGATTTGTAGTTCAGAGCCGGCCTACGCACGTATGTAAGTATATATCGGTATCGTCAGACGGAGTGGGGTAGTTAGACATCCCATCGAAGTGGCCATTCCCATAGTTGCATATCGTACGAACGAGCGATGTACCTACATATGCACTGCTGGATCACACACGACCGTTCGTCAGGGCGATGCCGCGAAGTTCGTATGCATGTAGTTATGTACGCAGGACGGGTGCTGACGAGTGATTGCACCCCGTGGCCAGCCCGAGATCGACCTCTCCCGGGGGGGTCTTCGGCGTTCCCGACCGGATCTCTCCGCCCGCTAATCTCCCGAGTGGTTTCCCGGATCCACAGCACGGGCCGCCCGGCCGGCCGGATGTTTCATCTTTTCGGCGGCGCGATGATCCCCCCTCCCACCCCCACCCATCCCCTCCATCCCCCCGATCTGGCCATGACCGCCGAAAGAGCCCCAATTCCCCGAGAAAAGAAACTCGGGAAATCACCGTGTTTCATCAAAGATTCCTTCGGTACGAGAAGGAGGAAGGGAGGTCCGAGTGAGTTGGGTTGAGTCGACGACGGCGGCCGCGGTGCGGTGCGCTGTGTTTCGGATACCAGACTCCCGATGCGGAAGAAGAGAGAAGAGGAAAGCCGGACTCTTGGCGGGAAGTTCAAGGCCCCTCGGGTTTCCGAAAATGCAAAAGATGCACAACCTTTTTTTTTCTTTACTTTTTTTTTTAGTGGGGTTGGTTTGGTTTGGGTTGGTGGGTTGGATGTCTCGCTCTCCCCGAACAAGCACGAGCGATGATTCGGAAATCTAGTCTAGCTGCCGAAAGGGATCTACCACACATACATGGGAGGGGGATTTCACGTGCTATGCTCTATTCTATGCAGTTAGAGTACAGGAGCCCGGTGAGCTGCCCGAGCTTTTTCTACTGCTGCAGCTAAGCTTGACGGTGATGCATCAA